GTGTAAAAAATTGTAACAGCTTAGGTTTGTACAGAGCTCAACTAGACTGGCCGTGTGACCATGCATGGGACTGGGAGTAAATTTTTCTTCAGTTCTATTATCAGATATCTTAGTCCTGGTCCCATATAGTGTTTAGTAAATTAGTCACTTTACACTGTTTATATTATAGATCTAGTCCCAGGTCATGTTCTTCTTATAAATTACTGATTCTAGTCCCATTTGGTCCCATTTTACAAAATGGGACCAAATGGGACCATGATTTACCCTATATAGATTGGCAGTGATAGATTAGCAGTGATAGGTAGGTTGGCAGCGATAGATTAGCAGCAGTAGGTTGGTTGGCAGTGGTAGGTAGATTGGCAGCGATAGATTAGCAGTGGTAGATAGGTTGGCAGTGGTGGGTAGGTTGGCAGCAGCACTAAGCAAGATAGGGGTAATATCTCCACCAATCATATCATCAGATTGATGTATTATATAATCATCAGAATGGGACCAAATTTCAGTCAAAATCATAATCAGTCCCAGATCATGTTCTGATTTTGATAGTCAGTCACTTTACACAAAATATCAAGATTTATTAGTCCCATTTCACTCATGTTTTGAGAATTCTAGTCACTTTACACTCCCATTCTGATTCTGGTCCCACTTGAAATCACGCCAATAAATGGACTGGGACCAAACCAAATCAAACCAAATGTGTAATTCATGGTCCCGGCGGCCAGTCTAAGCTCAACTGACCCTTTGACTAGTCACCATTTCTATTGGGTCAGGTGACATCCACTAGCGTAGGTCAGGTGAGTCACCCGAGGGGTCAAATCCCCCCAACATAACCTGAGCCGGTTGCCCTATTTGGCAGCGTCACGTGGATGAATTATATAGATCACGTGGTATAAAATCCGTTTTCCTCCGAAACGAAGAACTGTGTACATGTACACCCCAAAGCACACTTGTTCAAAATCTACGAAAGGAAGAATGAAAAAAAAAGAAACTGGAAAAGAGGGAGGATAGAACTCATATCTTGAAATGTACCTCTATATTCATTCTCATTTTTTATATACAGATGGTATAGTGATGAATAGTAACAATAGCCTAGATGATATAGACAGTTGAAAGGATTAAGACATTGAACACTGAAAAAATTAATTAAAAAAATGACAAGACAGAGGGGGGTACTCCTTTTTTAATCAGCTGATTGATTGATTGATCGATAGATCAGTCAGTCAGCCACAAAAGAACAAAAAAAAAAAACAAAGAGAACAACCAGAGTAATCAAAAGAAATATAAAAAAAGGGGCAGAAAAAGCTTGTACAGTATGCATTTGAAGAGAAATATATCAGAAATGAAAGAGAGAAAAAGACACAAAATGCAAAGTGAAAAACAAAATATAAACCCAACCACCCAAACCCATTGAAAAGCTCACACACACACACACACACACACACACACACACACATATATATATATATATATATATCTCTAAAGAAAAAAACTTCCCTTTTCACCATTTAACCTTTTTCTGGCTTTCCCTTTATTTATTAGTGGGGTAAATGTAGGAGGTACACTTCCCATCTTCACATCTTCACATTTTGTTCCCCCATTTCTTCTTTTGTCGATGTCCCTTGCTCATTTTGTTCTCGTCGCGGTAGATAGGTAGGTGGGTTAAGAGAGGGGTTATGAAGACAAAGGAACAGAGTCAGGCCGACATCGAAGTGGGGAATCCAGAGGAATATATATATAGTAATAAAACACTCCTCTTGTTCTTGTTGATTTTGTGTGTGTGTGCGTGTGTGTGTGTTTTCTTTTTTCTTTTTTGTTCTTGTTAAGATTGTTGTTGATATGCATGCAAAGAGAAGCGAGCCAAAAATGAAGAAAAGAAAATGGAAACAAATCTGATGATGACAAAAGAACAGAACAGAGTGAAAAGGAAAAACAAAAATAAAAGGTGAAAGGAACATTTAGCAATGCATAAGACAAAGGGAACATGAAAAGATAAAAACCACCAAGCCCTCCCAAACCACCCAAAAACCACAAAGCAAAATAATGCAAAGGGATGGAATCCTTTATGGGTGTGAAAGAGAGTGAGCGAGAAAATCTTGTACAATCTCAAATGAAAAAGAAAAGAGGAAGAGAGAGCGAAGACAAAAACAGGAAAATACGAAGGTGTCAAGCAGACTATGTACGTACGCAATTTCTTTCTTTGCTGGGGGTTTTTTCTTGCCCTAGTTAAGAGGAAAAATGAAGACAGCCGTTAACATCAACATAACCTGGTATATGTAGCTTTCCTCCTCTTCTTCCTCCTCCTTTTCCTCCTTCATTGTCGTCCACATTTCTCCCCCCGTTCCGCGAAATAACCGTGTATATATGTATGTACGTGGGGATTTTTTCTGAAGTGGAGGAGGAGCAAATCCCGATAACGAAAGAGCGGAGGGAGGGAAAAATGAATGAATGCAATAACTTTTGTACTGAAGCAGAAAATGAGGAAGAAAGAACAAGGAAGAATTTCTTTTTAAGGGGGAGGAAGCCCACTCCTATGAAAAAAAAAATATCAAAAAAACAAATAATCACAAAAAAATAATAAAAAAATGCTCCGTGTCTCCAAGTCTATAAATGCTAGATGTGTATTTGTGCGTGTCGTCCGGTTTTTTGCCAGGAAATGAGATGTTGTGGAGGTCGCACCCCCGCGCCAGCGCTCTTGGATTGGTGCTGCCACTCGACGATGAGGAAATAGGCACAGAAAAAGAAAAAAGAAAGAAAAGAAAACGTTGCGTTGCGTTGCGTTGCGTAGCCTCTAGTAAAATGTCTGCAAAAAGAAAAGGTTTGATTTTCGGCCGTAAAGTGCTGTGCGTTTGGTGGTTTTGCATCGGTGTTTATTGTGTTGTTGTTGCCTGATTGGCTTGATTGATTGATTGATTGATTGCTTGCTTGGCGTTTTGAATCCAGAACGTAATGGAAAATGGATAAAGCAGTAAAGTCGAACCCTAAAGCCGACCCTGTCATAGTAAGTAATCATAGGAGGGATTCATCCTCATAGCCCTCGTGTAGCCTCCGTAATATCGCTGTAGGGGTCTGAACAATAACTTCATATCAAGCGAAAGCTCCTCAATAGCATAGGCATCATCGATGTCACTGAGAAAACCACGATGTTGGCGCTTCCGCGCTGCATCTGTCTGAAAATATCCACGAACTGCTCGAAACATTCCCAAGATATCTATAAGGCTGCTATCGTGGATGAAACAAATTTCGAATAGCCGTTCGCGGCTCTGGGCCGATATCAAGTCCGTCTGGATTCTGTAGAATGGATAAGGGCTGATTTCAGCTTAAGATGCACGCAGTATCGTCGCAAAGTAGGGGAATATTGGGTCCCTGAGGATTTAAAAGGCGGCTGACGGTTGAAAAGTCCATGGCGGTGGCGGAATCGGCAACTGCTAAGCAAAACAGGAGCACAAGACTCTGAAAATCTCCTCCCCGTTCCACCCAGCCATATCGATCCCGACTGGAAACGTCCCCCCACTTCCTCGCCAAGGGGCCACATCGTGAAGCCAAAACGATACCACGAAAGATAGATTGATTTTCGGTACCCGCAGGCCCAAGCAAAAACGGAAACGACGAATATGGCGAGCAAGTGAAGGTAATATAATATATATCAGGACTGTGCTGTGGCTCGTTACTCAAGGTAATCATGCCCAAAGGGAGTATATACTAGTATTCAACATCAAAATGAAGATTGAACTGGATCGATTCGATGTCACCAGCAGAACAACGGTTTGAGGGGAATCTCTGGATTCCACATTTGATCGAAGAATCTATATCTGTATCTGAAATAATGTCAAGGTCAAGGTCGGTTCGTTAGGCTAGTTCGTTTTGGATGCGGGAGATTCGCAGTATGGCAACCTAGTAGCCTTGGATTGAGGCTAGCAAACTCCGAACAAAAATCGATTCCAACACCGTCGGAATAAAAAATAAACAGCTCCAATACAGCACATGGCAGAAATGTTTATAAAAGGCCATCGTACGCATCTTCAAAAGAAAAGGGGAGAGAGAATTACAAATGGCAATATATAAAAGTAGGAGGAGAGCCAAACTTGGCCGTGGTAATTCGGATCGTAAGTACGAGTTCGAGAAAAGAAATGTTTCACGTTATCGGCCGTCACCATCACCGTCAAAAAAACATGCAGCAAACCCTGCGCGTTATTGGCGTGCAGGTTGAACGGTTCCTATAATCCAGAAGGAAAAACAAAAAAAGTTAATGAGGTGCTCTGCTCCACGCTGCAACAGAAGGCTAATTCTGCGACATGTTAAAAAGCCCACAAAGGGATTATGGGGCGAGCGTACCGTCACCGCCCAGACTGGTGGATGCTAAATAAAGCCCATTCAAACCACCTTCAGGTTGCCCGCTCGTTGCCGTCGGGTAAAACTTTCGATCGGTCTCAACTTGGGGGTGCATCGAGTCAGGAACTGGAGCCACTGAAGCTGGAAACATTGGTTGCATGTAGCCATCTTGAGTGCCGGCCTGGAACATGGACGTCCAGTCGATTTCGCCTGGCTGACCGGGGTTCGGTCCGGTAGGCATGCCAGGGCGTTTGCTATCAGGCATGTTGTTGGCAGATTTAGCTGCATCGATAGGGGGTAGGTCAACGTTCGACTGGCCAGTTGTGTCAGCTCCAGACTGTGCGAGATACGAACTCTGTTTGGATTCAGCCATCCAGGGAGCTCTCTGATGCGTCTGGTTTTGGGCGTATCCATGATCATCAACTTGACCACGGTTGATCCCGCCAACAGGCTGCATCGGAAAACCAAGGGGCCGTGGATCTGTAAATCCGGGGTTGTGGTGACCAGAGGCCATGCCAACCCCGTTCACGTGCCCTTCCCCAAACGGTGTTCCGACGATACCATTAGAAGCCGGAATGGAGCTACTGACATCTCCTGAAACAGGTTTGGGGACAATGCCCGCAGCCTGAGCTTTCTTCAAATGAGCGTGGGGGTGCGACAGGTGAGTAGCACCCGTCGGATTGCCGCGACGTAATGAACATTTTTGAAAGTGGCGTTTCAAAATATCGCTTCGGGAAAATGTGTCTTTGCACAAAAAACACATGTACGGGCGATCGCCAGTATCTATATTGAATAATAAAAGGATAAGATATCAAAATAATCCAAAGATCAAAACAAACGTATTTTTCCCTTTTCAAGTAAGTGGGAATGGCTGATCAAGGGCTAGAACTGAACTTACGCCTCAATAGATGCCGCTTAAGATGCTTTGCATGTAGATATGTTTTGTTGCAGTGCGGGCAAGGGAACTTGCCATCCGCGTCTTTCGCAGGCATAGCAGCTTTTGTGGTGCCATTTGCTCCGTTAGTAATAGCAGCCGCCCGTCCTGGAACACTTGGAAGAATTCCCCTCCGACCTTGGGATCCGACTACCTGGGTGCGTGGCAGGTCCTTTGGAACGAAAGTTGCTGGGGAAGTAGGTAAGCTATTTGTTGTTGCCACTGCGAGTCCCTTTGGCCCTGTATCACTGAACGAACCGGAAGGTAATGTACCACCAAAATCTGTTCTTCTATCCCGAGGAGGAGCAGGCGCAATGGGCTGAGGATAGGCCTGGGAGGTAGTCGACGGAGGCAACAAGCCATGCGACGGATATTGTTGCTGGCTGTGATGATGGGTTAAGAACGAGGAAGGAGGTAAGCTGTTGACGGTAGTATGCGGCGGCATAGGAGCGGAAGACGCAGCATACACGTCGTTGGCGGACGTGGTTGGATACCGGGGCATCTCATGTCGGTATGGCTGTCCTAGATAGGAGGGATGTACAGGAGGATGGCTCTGTGGATGTTGGAGTGGGGGCAAGGTATGCGGCTGCGCCATTGAATAGTGTGGCTGCATCTGGTACTGATGCAGGTTGGACAGAGGCGGGGGTCCTGGAGGGGGAATATTTGCAGGAGGCCTCGAGGCTTGCGCTCTGATGTTGGGATTCATAGCGAAGGAAAGAAATAGAGGAAAAGTTCGAACCGTGACCTTGTAGGATCGTCCAAACCATCGATTGTGGGATTGTTATACACCCCGAAGACCTCTTTTTTTTAATAAAAAAAAAAAAAAAGAAAAAAGAAAAAGAGAACGGAAAAGAAAAGAAAAGGAAAGAAGGGAAAAAAAAAGAAAAAAGCGTTGTTCCTTGGGGGGGGTTGGGTCGTTGGGCCTGTTAGAAGGGAAAAACTACATGTTGTCAGCCGTCATTATCCTGTCAATGCGAATGCCACGCCCAATGCCACGGATCTGCTTCTTTGTTCTCATGTTTGAAGCATGCGCGCATCATCGTGCCCAAAACGGTGCTGCATTCCAGATTGTTCATTGCGGGAATTCAAAAGAGAACAGGTACTAACCCGAAAGGAATGCAACAAATTCGCGAATGGTGTCGCGATTCGAACAACGACAGGTTAATTCCGGACGAAGGGCGCAAGCCGGCGGGTAATTTCCTTGGACAATGGGCCTGAAGAACTTGAGAGAATGTGTGTGCGTATATATATCTATATATATATGTAGTGGGAGAGTCGTGGAGAGGAGTGTTTGTGTGAGTGAGTTAGTGTGTTGTTTTGGGTGTTTGTGAGAGAGAGAGTTGACAACGCGGGTGGATCAGGAGACGGTCGAGGGTGAGATAGACTACGACCAGGGCTCCACCTTGGGAAGGGAACACGAGTGGAGGCTCTTAAAAAAGACTGGGAGCACAACCCAATACAGTGGACAAGGGAGGGCGGAGGTAGCAGAGGATAATTGGGGATAGTTGGGGATAGGGCTCCACCAGCAGAAAACAATGGAGGAACAGAAGAAGGATTGAAGAATGGAAGAATGGAAGAGAAGAAGAATTGAGTCCTGGGTATGGATGAAGGAGCGACTCGAGACTCGGGATGGACGAGAGTCCGTGAGGATTGGAAGGAGAGAAGTGACAAGTGGAGGGGAGGAGGAGTAACAGTAGTAATTTTATTTTTATTTATTTATTTATTTATTTATTTTTTTTTTTTTTCGGTGCAATGGATGGGATGGATGTACTTGTACTGTGGTTGTGGTGATGCTGGTGGTGATGCTGGTGGTGGTGCGAGGTGGTGGTGGATGGTGGTGGATGCTGGAGAGGAAAGGAAGAAAAAAAGAAAGAAGAAAAAGAAAAGAAGAGGGCAAGCCAATGGATATGCTTCGGGGCTAGGGGCGGGTGTGCACGATGAAGAAATATGAAATAATAAATAAATAATAAAAATAAAATAAAATAAAATAAAATAAACGAGGAGGGAGAAAAATATCAGAAAATGACAGAAAAATGACAGAAAAGAACGCAGCGGCGTGGCGGTGTGCCGTGGGTCGTTCGTTTCCTAGCCGTCCGTTGGCTGGTACTGTCCCGTACGGTGTACGGAGTACTGAGGACGATAACGCAAGACCAGCAGCCCTAGCAACTGGCAGCCCACAACGTAACTTGTCAACTTGTACTTGTACCTGTACCCGGACCTGGACCTGTCCCGTTGTTCCTGGACCTGTGCTCACCCCCTCCCGATACTCCCCCGATACAGCGCGGTGCTGGCCTGGCGATAAGTACTATACAGATTGATTACTGAGTACGGAGTACTGAGTACCTGGGCGCAGATTATTGCGACGAGCCTATATCTCTACCCTGACGCGCTCGTCGAGTCGCCGCCGATCAATCCTTGCAATGACGAAGTCCGGGCTCCTTCCTGCCTGCCATCAAACCTTCTTCCCACCGTTATGCGGTTTCTCCACTACTTGAGCTATCTATTACGAATTCTGATAATGCTTAAATACTTATATAGCAATACGAAGAATATGAAGAATATATCACCTGCTGTACGGCCCCGTCGTTCACCGTCCAGAGAATCCCTTACTTCCTGATACAGCCAGCAAGGAGCAAGGGGAATTCTTCAGCGAAAAATGAACAGAAAAAGTAAAAAAAAAAAAGTCACTGGCCAATCGTGTAAAGCAAATCAGAAAATCAAAAAAATCAAAAAAATCAAAAAAATCAAAAAATCATATGAACAATGCTCTAAAAAGCGCGCTCGAAAACCTGGAACACCCCTTTTCCGGTATTTGGTTCTCGGAATCTTGGGACCTTTGGTTTCGGCCTTATTATTTTCTGCGCTTGGGATTTAGGGTTTCTTGTTGCGGGATTGGTCTATGGTTATAGCTATTCTGGTTCCGGGCGTCGGCCGTCTCAAAAACAACAGGAGGAAAAAGAGAGAGAGTGAGTGAGCGAATGAAAAAAGATGACTTCCACTCAACACCCAAGACGACAAGGGATAAAAGGCAAAAGCAAGTAAAGAAAGCATAAATTGCGTGACGAATTGTGGATATCTGCCGTTTTAAGAATAATGCTTTTGCTTCGCCCTCGAGTGGCAAAACAACCTGGCCCGCTGCCATAACAGGAAATGGTCGGAAATCTCAAGAAGCGAAAAGGGAAGCAAAAAAAAAGGGAAGGAAAAGAAGGGAAGGAAAAAGCGAGCAAAGATCATAAGAGAGCATTACATTTACTTGGTTAAGGACGATGGAAGGTGGCCCCTTTTTACTTCGGATCTCGATGGATATGACGCCACGCTCCCTGTTCCGCGGTTTGGTACTTTGGAATATATTGATTGACTCGTGGTAGTGGCCTGCGGAACAAACCACGACAGGCACCGGAACGTGAGAAGATAATTGGCTTTTTGGACCAACTGCGACAAGGCGGAGGGAGCCTCTGGAAGGGGTGGGGATCAGCGGAAGCCTGTGTGAGGCAGGGTGAATGTTTCCGGAAGGGCAGAAATGGTGTGGAGGGGTTGAAGGTTGCGCCAGCGGAGGAGCGGCGGGAGAGAAATCAGTAGAATAAGCAAAGCTTGGGTTTGATTGATTGATTGGTAGCCGGAACGATGTGACAGAGAGATATATCCAAGTTGTTTTTACTACGAACAGAACATTCCCCCTTTTAGAAGCCTATCCTGTCCCCCTTGCGAGTCAGGTGTCCAAGGCCACATTGAGTATTCGCTTCTACACCCCTGATACCTACGAATAATCGCCGCCAAACGCTCCGATCGCCGAATCCCACAGACAACCCAGACAAACGACACGCGCCCACGCACGGCCAAACGCACGGCCACGCACGCATGCATGCTCACCGAATGGCAAAACCCCCCGTAACAAATCATACACAACCGACCGTACTCGCGATAACAAGGGACGAAATTATATACTGCTTAATATTACTTGCTCTTACCTAGGAACGATACAACTTTGAGAATAACTACCTTCCAAAAACGAGGTCTTGGCAAATTTCGGTACCATTGAAAACAAAACCCTCTCCTTTCCTGAGCCTGAAACCTAGTTTAGACGAGAAACTTTAAAAAATCACATCATGCGATGGATGGTAACATGAAATAATATGATTCTTATCATTACGAGTTAACGTTATTACTCTTAAGTTGACTAGTTCGTTACTACTCTGATTATTAGTTATGTACTGTAACATGTCCCCCCGGACTAGCGCACCACCCACGATCATGCTCATCTAACTAGCATGTGTACAACGGAGTAGTTATTTTCTGAAAAACATTTCAGAGAAGCTGATCGTGGCAAGGGGTTTTTGCGAACCACGATGGTCTTTGGCCCATGCCATTTCAAGGTTGGAGCAATGATCAACTCTACCAACGCTAATGTCATCCCCATCTACGCCGTTAGAATACCTACAACCCATACACGCGGATTTATTTATCTCTTATCAACCCCTTGAACTTTCTAGAGGTAGGATATAGTAAGGATTGGAGGTTAGATTTGAAGATTAGATGAGGGAGCTGGTTAGTGGAATTAGACCCCGAGAAACAGCGGAGAGAAGTCTCTCCCTCTTCCACCTTCTCTGGAAGTAGAAATATCACTAGTGTGTTGAGTTTTATTATTGCTCTTATTCTCAGATCTTTTGAATCCCGTTCAACTGTACTCCGTACTCCGTAACCCGCTCAGAATCTCCACACTCTCAGTGCAACTTCCTCATGTGATATCAAACTCTATTTTAACATGGGTCTGCAAGCAAAAATAACCCCCCCTTACCCAGTACAGCTAGGTTTTCACCCGCTCGAAAATCTCTTTCATTGGTAGCTCAAGAGCCAATTCACAACTCACAATCGAATACCATTGTTTTGAGCTAATCGCCGCCCAGTACGGAGCTTCTTAATTGCCCAATCTGGCTGTACTACATGTAACTAACTGCAGTCCTGTCATTGCTAACTATGTTTGTAAACTTCATTTCATGCCCACAAGGTCCCCATGTTGGCGCTGCTTAATCATCACGTCATCGCCCTCTCCATACACGGGCGGCGGCTTACCATACCGGTATGCAGGTATGCAGGCCAGAACTCCGAGGCTGTGACACCGTCGGGCTGCCCAGCCGCTTCCAGACTCCAGTCGCACGCACGCAACTTCTGTTGCAAAAACCAAATTTCAAATAGGAAGACCAAAAAAGAAAAAGAAAAAGAAAAGAAAATCAAAATCAAACCCAAAACCAAAACCAAAAACCCTTTGTACCTGAAATCGAACCATGGGTCAAACAAAAGATCTCAAAAAGGGCTTTTAAAAACAGGTAAGAAAGGAGGCAAATAACAACTTCCACCGGAAAAAAAAACCTTTTTTTTTAATTTTTCCCTTTTCTCTCCTGGCGGTATTTTCGTCTCTCTCTATTTTATATAGACTTTCTTGGCATGTATTGTAAAACACATTCTCGCCCCCCGGCACTGAATCTCGGGAAAACTGAAATATGCGTTGGGAACAAACAAGATGTTTGCTCTACACGCATTATTTTTGAAAATGACAAAGCTGAAGTTGTATTAGCAGAAGTTAGTAATTTTAGAAGGAAAGACTCTGTTAAAGAAACGGGATGCTCTGTGAGCATACAGTAATATATCGGGAAAACCAAAACTTTCAACATAGGGGTCCGATACGAAAAAAAAGAAAAAAAAATATGCATTTTCTTTTTTTTTTTTTTTTTTAATTTTTTAATTTTTTAATGTTACCCACCACGTGGAGGTGGAGGTTGGATTACTCGGCAAGCCCCATCACCAACTCTCATGGCGGCATGGCTCAGGGAAAATAAAAATAAAAATAAAATAAAATAAAATAAAATAAAATAAAATAAAGGCTAAAAAAAGTCCCCTTTTTTGTCTTCTATCTTCTTCCCCAGCCAAAAACAAAGCAGATGGAAGCGAGGTGGCATCGTAAAAGCCATTCAAGGTACTAATTATCTAGGCTTGGCCCGCGCACCTTCCGCTGGATCCTGGCTCCGTGCTCCGTGCTCCGTGCTCCGTGCTCCTGGCTCCTGGCTCCTGGCTCCTGGAGGATGGAGCGATCGCAGCCTCCGAAGACCCCAGGGGACGCCAGGGATCAATACCTCTCCAGCTCCAGGGTGGGCCTTAAGGTGGATAGATGGGTGTACCCACAAAATACACACAGCTCCAAGATATTCCATGCCACTGGCACACTGGGCACCACTGGGTTGTACCCCAGCTGGCCGCTGTGGGGAGCGGGAGGGATAATCATTCATTCCTCTAGGCTTCGCGAACAACTTTCTCTTTTTAGGGTTTGGGATTGCTGGTTGAAGATAGGAAGGTTACAAATACAGTATATGCATGCGCGAAGAATGAATAAATAGCTTTATCCGTCCTGTTCCGTGCGGGGAACATTATATACAGCCTCCATCGTCGAATTTTTCCGCAAAAACAATCGCAGGAACAGGATGCAAAAAAAAAAAGAAGACGCAGCGAGCCGTTCTCTGCGTTCTCCACACCCAGCAATAATGCCGAGGCATAGGACGCTAGGGCTGGAAATCCCTTCCTTCGCCCCTCATGTTTCTCCTCCTCCCCCCTCAACCACCACCACTCCTCCTAACTCGTGAGCGACGGGCATATGGGAGGATTTGGGACCTTTCTCCACCATTCCATCTTCTCTTCTTCTATCCGACCCGAGAGCCTGCAGACGACAGCCATAACCTGGAAAGGCCCCAAGAAACCCCTTTACCGCGCGAAGTCTGGGGCTGAGCCTGCCAAGCCAAGCCAGGTTCAAAATCTAGCTCCAAACCCCCCCCCCCCCCCCCCCATTTTCGAAAGGTTTGGGAAATGAAAAACAACGAAAGGGCCCAGCAGGCAGCCCGGTCAAAGGGTGTAGTGTTAGTACATGTACTGATAAAAGTAAAGCAAGAATTTTTTGATTCTAGTTCCTCATTCATTATTCCTGCGTTACTGCGAAACCCCTGCCCGCCAGGGTTTCTGTTTATTGTTTTCTCCCGTCTGGATATCCCCAAACCAAATCTGAAACCACGAACCAGCCAATAATGGGGGGGCCCCCTCCCATCCTCATCGGCTTCTAGATATCCTGCTTGCTGGAGGATCCACAATATGCAAGTTATCCAATTCTACCCGGCGGCGCGGGCACCACATAGATTATAATGGTGGTGTTGGTGTTCCGCCATCGGGATCAGTCCGCCTATGATCATTCCCTACATGTTGTCCTTTTACCCTTGGGCTTGGAGCCACTGATTGCCAAGCTAGGGGTTGGTTTTATGGAGATGATGATCGACACAGTCCGAAGCTTCATAATAATACCTTTCTTTATCTGAAGGGGGGACAACTGAAGCAAAAAGATTGGCAAACTGTGGACCTACGATTGAATTACATACTCTATCTGTATGATTCTTCCTGGAGTTAGATCACGCAATTGGCCCTCATGCGTCCCGGACTCAAAACACAGAATTGTTGTTTCTACGGCGTACACAAGCGCATCCCTGGCGTCGAGCCGAAACAAATACGCGTGTTCAAGCTAGTTGAGAGTCTACTAGTGCAACAGAAAAAGCCCGTGTAGAATTTTGAGTTTGCCTGAGTCATGCACGAAATAAAAATGTCCACCAATTATTCTTCAAAGCAACAGCCCCCTTCCCTCCCCTTCCCAGGCATTACAATCAACTGTGCGTTGGCAAACACTTTGTTTGTTTACTGGTCAGAAATGGCCACAATGGACAGAACCTCTTTCTCCCAAACTGACCAACGGGGCCAATTGGTTCTTCTGGTATGGCAAGGCATGGCATGTCACATACTTATGCTTTTGTCTGCTTTTGTCTGAAATCCTGTGAACCAAGCATCTGGCATCCCTCCCAAAACCAAACACTTCGCACAGACGTGCAACGAATCAACGAACATCGCCGACACTACGGAGCACTGGCCGCGACTTGGCCAAGAAATGAGCAATGCACTGTACAATTGACGGGATACCCTAGTACGGCCAATGGAAGCCAGCAGGTATGGAGGGCTTTTTTTTTTTTTTTTTTTTTTTTTTTTTTTTTTTTCAAATATAAAACCTGTCGAAAACCCGATAGTGGCAGATCCAACCCCGGCAATCCTGCCTTGGAAATAAATAATGCACAAGCTTGACAGCCCATTTTAGACTCGTCGGCTACTGGCTTGGCTGTTTCCCCTGACGGTTAGCGCTGGCTGTGCAGCCTGGGGGCTTGGTGATAGGACTGTAACTAATGCTGGCGCTTTGATGATATGACGTAAGCTGTAGTATCCTGAAACCCAACGGCATCGTCATTCGTTAGGCCGAGAGGACGCGGCATGGTTAACTACACTATCAACTTCGTTGAAAAGAGGTGAAAAGTGGGCTGAATGCCGAGATATGCCGAACACGCAGTAGGCTAGCCAAGACATTTATTCTGGCGTTCCTCGGTATCCTCAACTGAAATTTAGTCCAAGCACAGGGGGACAGCAGATATCGCCCCTAGTCAGATAGACGCACACTGAAAACGGCTTGTTCCGGGGTGGACTCAAATTGGTGCTTTCCGCATCAGCCCTTTTGAAAGCGAAGGTTGAAATCCACGGGTGAATACGATTAACTAACCGTTCCGCGAAACACACAGGAAAACCCAAAAACACCCAAAGTGGTGAGCCTACCTCACCAGGAGTCAAGCATAGTCCTGGGCGGAATTCCTTTGGTCGAGGCGTGGCGCCCAGCAATTTGGCAGCAGTTCAAATCTGCAGGACGCAATGCACCAGAGCTCGCCCCAATCCACGCTCGACCGTCCCAGCGCCCAAAAGCTGTTTGCAGCATCGAACGGCCCACGAACTACGGCTCCCCTACCACTGCCTTGGGCGTTGGAGGACGATTCGTCAGCTCTCAACACATAAGGTTTAGTTGTTTTGTCTGCGCCTTTTTTTTTTTTTTTTTTCTTTTTTTTTGTCGCTGGGCCGTGATTATGTTACTGCCACGCGCTCGTGGTGAAAACCCGTGATGTTGCTGTGCAGTATCATATTTTCAGACATTCCCACCCTAAGCTGATTTGACTCTCCCTATCCAAAAATGTTTGTTCAACCTGTTCTGCCTGTCAGAGCAGAGATCTCACTCTCCGTGGGAGGAACGCTCTCGTCCAAGGATTCAGGAATAGCGTTGACACGCGGAGCACAAGCAAGCACGGTGAGGAAAGGCCATGAAGTCTCATCACTAGGCCCAGCTAATGAACCGGCGGCAGGTCCCTCTCACCTTGGGGAAGGGAAGGCGAGAGCATAAACACAGTTCAGCACACCAGCCTCTGTTTAGTTACATCCGTACTCATAGAACTCTCAACAAAATCTCACAGCCCCAATCAATACCTTCGGCCTCTGATCCTGGCCTTCACACAACATGTTGTTATTCACAGTAAGAGACGAATAAATGGACAGGGCTCACATCAACCACCATCCATTGATCCGCAACTGATGATAACCGCAGTGTCTCAGCGAGCCAGTGCCAATTTAGCAACATCAAGCCGAAGCGCGATCCTTCCTTGGCTCTCTGACGTATCTCCTCGTCTGGGGGCGAGGCAACAATTAGCGCAATACCATTAGTGTAATAACTAAGCTGTTAGCTTAGAAGTACCAACCAATAATTTCTCATACTAAAATCTATGTAATCTGATTTGTTGATACTGCTTCACTATCTCATGTTTTCTGCTCTACGCGTTCTGCAACCTTGGAACCTTCTCTTCTTGATCCATATTCATATCCACCGTGGATGTGACACCCCTGGCCACCCTGGCCACCCTGGGATAGAAATATAGATTCTACAGGTGATTTCCAATTCTTCAATACTTCTTTTAATCAGATTGACTGATTTTTTTATTAGACAGTACAAAAACAGATGTAAAGTGAAAGCAATCTATCAGTGCACTTCTTGCAGACATTTCATCTCTTGGGAGTATTAAATTCAAATCTATGGAATCTCTTCATCGCCCCCCAGCTGTCAAATCTGTTCAATGATATTGATCCACGAAATCCATACACTCTATTCTCTCTCTATATCTCAGAGGCAGATATTCAGAATATTGCCAGTTTCATCAATGCTTACACAGAGATTTAGATATCAAGGAATTCAGCCATCAATCCACGGAATTAGCAGCCAACTACTTCTGCAGAAATCAAGATATTTCTTGAGCAGATTATCTATATAAGAGTACATAAATCTTCAGCAATTGAGAACTATTGAAACAGAAATGATGTACAGAAGCCACTTCATTCATCAAGATTTCATATAACACTCTATTAATTTGAGCAGATCAAGAGATATATTCATATATTCAATTCTCACAGACTGAAATCCTTCTACTTCTTCTTCATACAGAAGCTAGAGCCTTTATACTTCAACTTTCATACAGCATGTCAGAAATACTACAACTCAGATTCAAATCTCTTCATTGATGAAATGATGATTCAGTTTTTTGAACAGTTCAAATATACAGTTAAGATGCTTCAAAAATCAATCAGACAAAGATATAAGATCTTTGAGTTAGAAGAACAGATATCTTTGAATCTTTTCCATGTTTCATGATAATCTCCGCATAAGTACAATGTTCCGGACTTCAGAATTAATCAAAATTGAATCTCTTATGATGAAATTGATTGAACAGCTGTCTGTATTCTTGCAGAGCTCTGAGCAGCAGAGTTTCAAGCAGCAGAGCTTCAAGCAGTAGAACTCTGAGCAGCATTCAAAATTGAATAACAGTAAAGAGATTGCTGACTTTATATGAATAACTAGTTTACATCTGTTGCTTTATTATCTTTGAAAGCAAGAAATTGAAATTTGTGGAATCACTCATTCTGTCAATCTGCCTACTCTTCTGTAAAAACTGAAGAACTTTGGACTATTCTCTGATGTTTCCTTTAATACTCTGTGTATAATACTTCAAAATGAGGTTCTCTGTCTTGTATGGAAAGACAATAACATAGTATTACTACTGTCTACAATTCATATACCAGACAGCTTTGTTGAATGTGTCAGGAAATACCCAGAATTGAGCTCTACTAATGACTCTCAAATTCAGAGAATATTTGAAAATAACTGGCAAAAAGCTGTGAAGATTCCTATCATTATTGATGATTACAATCATAATATGAATGGGATTGACCTAGCAAATCAGTATAGAGCTTTCTATGAAACTCATATGCTCACTAATCAGATCTGATTGGCAATTCTGTACTGAATTATTGACCATGCTATTGTCAATGCTTATATTCTTCATCGACTGGGCTACTACTGGGCTCTGGCACTACTACTCTATCTGATTGGCAATTCTGTACTGGAAATTATTGACCATGCTATTGTCCATTCACTGATATTCTTCATCGACTGGCTACTACTGGCTCTGGCACTACTACTCTATCTCATGGCAACAGCTCTATCTTCAACTCTTTCAATATTCAAATCCTCTATCTATTACTCAATCAAATTCAGATCTAAATCACCATCGGATCTCCTTGCCATATACTCAAACTTGTGCCTGGTGTAAGTACAAAAGAAAGGTAGCAGGGGAGAATAAAGGAAGAGCTCCAAGGACAAGATATGGTTGTGAAGCATGTAATAATATTCCTCTCTGCTTGAAAAGAGGGTGTTGGAAGGAGTTCTATTCTCATGATATTAATTAGGGCTAGATCAAATAGATTACATAAATTACACTAAAACACGCCAATACAGCCGATCTCTCATATAATCCAGTAGTTTTCGCGTATTTAATACACTAATGTACACGCTAAAAATACGCTAATTGTTGCCTCGCCCCCAGACGAGGGGATAGGTACATGTGCCTAACAAAAGGTGCTTAACGGTTACACCTGCACGGGGCGACTTGCAGAAGAATTCTGTTACACATCTGCAAGCACACATCCTTTGTAGATACATACATGTATGTACAGTGCATCTGCTTTTACAACTTACATTTTTGTCCCCGCCAGAGTCCTCATGTTTAATCGTTGCTTGCTCCTTTGCTCAAAAAGGAAAAGCAAAAGTGCAAACATTTAAGCTCCCACCCCCCGGAATAATTGTAGGTAGAGCAATCGAGGAAGACCCAGTACCCCACGACTCCAACAATGGGGATAGGTAGGAGTTCTCAACTTCTGAAGAATCTACAATAAGGAATAAAATTTGACATGGGCCCCCCTCCTCCTTCATGCCCAGCTCAGGCCGTCTGGGTGTCTCTCCATTTTGTCTTTCTACAAGGCTTTTTCTCAACAAGCATCGCAGGAAATAATGGAGCAGCCGAAGTTAAAAAATCCAATCAGATAGTTAATGACCACCGCATTTACCTGATTCAGCAAGGTGAAAAAGGAAAAGAGATTGCTTAGCACTGCAAAACAAGCTTCACGACGTTCTTGACCTGAAGGAAGAAACATCGAAAAAAAATAAAATATATAAAAACCATAATTTTAAATGCTTTGTTTGAGCTTTTTTAATCATAAGAAAACAAGTTTCACAACTTTACATTCAATAAGCTTTGTATCTTTTAAAAAAATAAAGTTGGATTGACTTCCAAATTTGGCGAAATTTTTTTTTTTAAGATTTCTTTTTTAAATTTTTTTCTCAAAAGTCTTCAAATTTAAAAGTTTAAAAAATACATATATTCTCTTCATATCGGTACCACGGTAATACCCTCGCTCATTACGAAACTTCCAGGGGTGTTTGGTGTTTGGTACTCCGTATTCTGACGCAAAACAGCATTCCCCGATCTTTTCCCCTCGATGACACAATTTGTGTCGTTTTATTATTAACCATCGAAGGGTTCTAGAAGAAATGAGAAATGCGGCTCATGCCCAGATCTCGGTGGCCCTGGGATCCATGGAATGGATTCCAGCATCACAAAACTCTCCATGTATTTTCATTCGTGATGGAAGGAGTTAGTTAGTTACCAACTAGTAAAGAATGATAAATAAACATCCTCTATTCTATCTCCCAGGTCGCAGCTCAAAACCGCCAAGTCTGCACATGTTGACTAACCGGAAATGCGCAGTTGACCAGTTCTTTTGCCCGAGGTACTTACTCTTGTATGCGTCGGTTCTGCTCAAGCAGGAGACATGGGCATGGGTTTGGTCCAACGAATACAGAGTAGTTTATGTAGAGTTCTGCATGGTGGTCAACGAACTACAGAACAGTTCTAGCATTTTTCAAAAAAAAAAGAAAAGAAAAGAAAAGAAAAGAAGAGAAAACGGAGAGGATGTTCGTTGTGGTTCCATTCCCCTCTTCCCGCTGCACAAGGCCAGAGCCAGAGCCAACCATAGTTAGCATACGCAATTATTAATAAAGCATGGAGTGGAAATAGATCCGCTCTCAACGCGTGTTGCTGCTCGATATCAGAAATCAATCAAGAAAAATCGCTTTTATCTCGGACCCAACCCCGAGCTCACACCTTGCACGAAGGTCCGAACTGGATTGCCGAGACCACCTTTCGCACCGACGGGGCCGAGATGGTCAAGCATTAGCATGCTCGTCATCCGGCAATATATGTACTGTACCTTGCGAGACGCCACGCACTAACCGTGCCATGCTTACTCACTCTCTCTAGTGAGTGCGCCACAGCGTATGGAAAACCACATTGTATGGAAAATATTATCAATATCTTCATTCTTCATCTTCAAATAATCATCATTAATTATAACCATGTTTAAATCTTCTAATTACACTGAGGAGCTGTTGTAAAGAGCTGTTGACATGTATAAAAACAATTCAAAATTAAAAATCACATCTCTATCACAAGAATTCGAAGTCTCATATGCCATTTTGTATGGGAGGATCAACAGGAAGAAATCAAGAACTATGAGGGTTTCACTGAATAAAGCATTGAATGACAGTCAGAAGGAGATAATTAAAATATGAATTCATCAATTGAATATTAATTTTTATCTGCTCATCATCAAGCATATTGAAGCCACTGTGAACTGCATGTTGAGACAGCATCATACAAATTTAGAGACTGCACCTCTCACAATAAATAAGATGTGAACATATCAATTCATCAAACATTTATCAGATTACAAACAGATCAAGCAAAAGCTCATGAATTTAAAACATATATTTTATGAAAATATAAACTTTATTATCAATTGATTTGATCAATATAAAACTGTTTTCAATCAATATCATTTTTTTCACTGTGATATCTATAACTTTGATGAGATTGGATTTCAAGAAAAAGAAGGATATGAACAGTAGGTTATAACTATTTCACAAATTAATAACAATAATAAAGTATATCAATGCAGATGACACAATATTGAATTTATTGATTATAATAAAATTAAAGATTTATTTAGAGAATTGATATACACACTTCAATTTATCTGACAATTACACCATCACCATATCTGAGTCTGGCTTTACAAATAATGAAATTAGATTTGAATGAATCAAGCAATTCAATAAAATGACAAAAAAGCATCAAATGAGCAATCATTGATTATTATTAATGAATAATTATAGTTTTTATCTCACAGAAGAATTTATTCAATACTGTGATTTTTATAAAATTATTCTATTGAAATTCTCATTTCATATAAATCAAATTTTACAATTTCTTGATGATATACCTTTTCAGCAGTATAAGTATTATCATACAAAAACAATTAATGAGGCTGTTTGTTATAAATATGAACAATATGATGACAGATAATTTCTTGTTAATTTTAAGAATATCTGATTGCAAGCATTTGAATCTGACACTGTGAGAGCTGACTTTGCTGATTGTAGAATGTATTCAGTTAATCATAATATAATTCTCAATCAATTGAGACCTCTTACCATTGATGATGCCTCAGATTTCAATATATACAATGATGATGATGATGTATGCAATCATTTTATCTCACTATCTGCAGATCAACTGTCAACTGCTTTTTTATAATTAATCTTTTCAGAAATGATTGCAAAACTACATCATCAAATTGATGCAACAGTCAAAGTCTTACAAAATGTGAAAAATACTTTTACATTTGATTTGACAAAGCAGTTGAACAAGATCTTCAACAATAGCATAATTCAAATGAAATTGAACACACATTGTAAGAATGAATTTGTAAATCATTATTGAATAAATAAATATCAGATTATTAAATTCTCCTGCAGGCAGATGTAAATAAATGAAATTCTCATTATTAAAAATATCAATTGCAAGATCACAATCTGTAAAGCAGATGAAATGAAAAAGATGTTCAATAAAAATTTTCAATCAATTGAAATCCAATCTACAAAATCTACAGCCACTCAATCACAACAAGATAATTCTATAGAATTTCAACCTACAGTGGATTCTACACCTTCTAATGAGTATATAGATAATCTTTATGTTATAGATAGATGTGGTGGTGGTTATTAATTAATTTTTGAAGATCACTATATTCAAAATATTTTCCATACACTGTGGTTTTCCGTATGCTGTGGCGCACTCACTAGAGAGAGTGAGTAAGCATGGCACTACAGCAGCTCTCCTCCTACTCTCGGAGTGGTTGTTGGAGTTGCCTGAGCAGTTCAAAGAACAAAAATTCATTCATTCGACGCGAAAAAGTTGGTCTGTCCACGGGAACTTGAAGAGCGGGAAGGACTGTCCATAGGCGCGGCCCATCTTCCGCGTTCATTGATGGTTTGGTAACGACAGAAAACTCTGATACGCGACTTGGGAATCGCTTGTCAAAACCAAACCTGGAGTCTGGAAGGGGAAAGAAACGTATTCCCCCTCTCTACTCAAAAATGAGCCAAGAAAGAATCATTCATAAGAGGGAGAAATCACCAAAACCGTCCCCAAGACGTTTGTTCGGTGCCGATTTTCGGAGCTCTTCGTCAAATCGCGCCATCTTGGAATCAGATAACCCCTTGCCTTCCTAGCCTGGTTCTAAGCCAACCTGGTGATCCTGAGATATTGCCGGCTGAGCCCTGGCCACCCCGAAATACGCAGACCCACTCGGCCGGTACTGGGCCACAATGCCAACGGGGATGTTCGGCTGCAACTCAAGCTCTTCCCCCCTTTTATGATTCTGTCCTGAGAGGACTCGTGCAGGCGTTGTATTTTTGTTTGTGAGTGGCTGCCACCTACCTAGGTTGTGTCGCATGGTTTTCAATGCACCAATCAGCCTCGGGGGATCAGACAGGAATAGGTGAGACATTCATTCCCCTTTCGTCCAAAGTTCAGCATCCTACCTCCCTATTCTTAGCAACGGTATTAAGACGAGAATGGACGAGCTGTTTCGGCTCCGACGGACAGCCGGTGTTGGCAATGTCAGGGTAAAGAAAGGTCTAAGCGAAGTTGCGGTGCACTCTATCACGATATCTTTGATACCTTCTCCTCATCTTGTCTTTCTTGGGGTTGAAACTAGGTATTTTTTAATTTTACCCATCTACCCTGGTATGCCCTATCTTCGCGCTTCGGCACCTGTCATAGTCTGGTGGAGAACTGGAGTTTACAGCCATTCTTGAAGCGCGAACAATGGGCGCTAGGTTGGGGTTTTTATCGCCGTGGATTCTTAGTTGGGGAAATTTTTCACATCCCATTTTGATTAAGTACTCTGTGATTCCAATGGTTGTATAAAAGTTCACTGGATATTCCGCTGATGAAACAGAATTCGGAACTGTCGTTATATCTAAATTATCCTCCCCATGGGATATTTTTATTTTATTTTATTTTATTTTACAAGCCGCAATCGCTCGCTTGCGCTCGCTTATCCAGCTTGAAAATGCGCTGTTTAATCCCTCAGGTGAACATAATGAGATATCCAACAGCTATAGCTAATCGAGTTTCGATTTAACTAGAGCCTCCGACCTGGAAAGTGCAAGTGTGATATTCAGTTCTTCTAATTCCCTTTCCCATTTTGAGAGATATTCAAGTATACAGCTGTCTATCGTCGCTTAGCACCATGTGCAAATTAAGCGCTTGTACTCCGTAGTAAGGCCTGAATGCTGTGCCAGTCATGCAGGATTCTAAGAATTTCCCCTCCTTTCAGTAAGTACTTTTCTGAAATAGTTTTTCCCTAGAACCTTTTGTGTGATCCAAGTTACTGCTTCTTTCTTGGCCTTTTGAATATCTGTGTTTGTTTCGTAAAGGAGGTAGTTGGCGTAACACCTGCCGAGGCAATATGGCGCTGACTTGGCTGGCTGTCATCATCCTCGACTGCAAGCACCGATTCGGAGTTAGATTGTTGGGAGTATTGAAGTTCCGACTGCGAAACGTCAAAATCCACATCAGGGGGTATCTGATCAATTGCAGAGCATATTCTTTTAAAATGAGTTGGCATCCATATATCATAGACATTTCTCGTGAATTTGTACGCCGTCCATTCTCTTTGCCATCCAGAGCGGTAAAATCGAACTTGTGGATTGGGTGGCGATAGAAATTCGTCTTCTCTCCTTCAAGAACTGCATAGTGAGCGTAGATCCTCACTGCTGTATGGTCATGCGAGACTGAGAAGGTGAGTATCTCTCGGTCAATCTCTTTTTTGCGCTTCATGAGCTTGAATAGCTCAACAGTAGCTCTCGCTGCAATAGTTGTGCTGTGGGCATTCTGTCGATCTGCGATATCAAGTGCCGCTGCGCCACACTTGACTTCACATGTTAAGAATGGGAAGTACATGTAGAATGTCGCCATGAAGTAGGATGTATCGGTCAGGTCGCCGACAAAGGGCTGAAGTCTTTGCAGTTGGCCATCTGTAAATGCCTCTCGTCTGAAACCCACAGAGTAATCAGGCTCTTGTTAAGCGACAGCCTCTGTAGTTGTGCCAATGTGTCTGCAGACTACTCCGTACCATCGGCATCTAATGTCATACTTAGTCATCACTGTCCTGCTGTCCTGCGCAATAGCTGATCTCAAACTACGACCTCTCAGTTGTCTTCAATCTCAATTAACAAACTTCTGTTTTGATAGATTATTTTTCAGCTGCATCTAGGTTCAGAGGCAGCAGGCCCAGCACTTGGTACATCTTCCTTCTACCAATCAGACCCTTTCAATGAACCAATGATCGTTGACTAGTAATGCCCAGTACCACTGCCTCGCAATACTCTTTTTGTGCCTCGTCGGTTCATTATTGAGGCAAATAAGATCAAATGTAAAGATTTACAATGCATGGCGCAAAGTGCCTTGCATGATCTAGGTCGTTACGGACAACATATCTTCCATTTGGATATGCGCGGAGACGGTTCGACTCAACTTCGTGAACGGATGAAAGGGCATTCAGCTTGCGCGGATTGATTACCTTTGAAAGCCATGCTAACCTTGGGCTTTCAACGCAGGCGGCTGATTTGAACCCGGGTGATCAGCCATCTGTTGAACCCGTGGTCGGGACTGAATCAAGTACCGGAAAGAGAATGGGCAAGAAGAATAAAATAAAGCAAAAAGAGAGTACAATGATCATGGGAGGACAGGCAGATCGATTCTGCATCTATCATTAGAATGGCAATGAGCACATCCCAGCGCTCGCTATTGAGTACAAGGCGCCCCACAAGCTCACTCGGGATGAAATCGTGGGAGGGCTGGCTCAGGACATTCATCCTTTCAAAGAAGTAATTGATAACTCAATCTGACTATCTAAAAATGTACCCAGCTATATCAATGCACATTATTGGGGCGTTGTTGGTGCTTTGAGTAAAGAACAAAACAAGGGACAGAAGGACTGAAAGGCTGAGCAGGGTTCATGCTGCCTCCATAATTACCCACACAATCTTGAGAATGAGTTACTGTTTCGTTGAAGGAACAACTTCTTCAGATGGTCAAAGTGTGTGGCAGGATGCCTTTTTAAACTCCACCCTTCTTCCTTTCACTCCTGATACCCGCCATTCATGCCGCTACATTATCAACAGCCTCTTTAGGAGATCGCCTGTTCTCTATCAAGAATGACAGAATCTCAGCCGGGCTGAATTCTAACTCCGATACCTTGCTAGTAAACTCATGTGCTAGTGGGTCGGCTGCTTTCTGTTCAAAAGCAAACCAGAAGAGCCGAGCTATTGTTTCTTTATCTGCAAGGCAGAACTCGGTTTTCACATCCACACGACTGGCTTGCAAAAGTGCGCTGTCGACTAGTTTGACATGACAGGTTGTCATGATTAACACTTGGCCATCTTCTACACCGTCGACAACATCAAGTAGTGTGGTCAGAGAAGCCATCTCAGGTGAGCTTGAATTGACGATCTCCACATCTTCCAAAAGAATAACACAGTGGCCAGAAAGGTTGGCGAACAAGTTCCTCAGGTCATTGTTGTCAATGCTGGAAAGATTGATTGTGTAGATATCCAAACCAAAACACCCTGCGATGGACAAGGTCAAACTTGTCTTTCCCATTCCCGGAGCCCCATGGAACAGATAGCTTCGTCGGTATGGAATGTTGCAATACCATTCTCAAGCTTTCAGATCAAGGAAGTCGTGGACATTCTGTAATTTGCGGAGCGAGCGTAGCGAGTGAAGCAATATATATAGGCTTTTCGTGCCAGAAAATTTCCTCTTTCGGTCATCCGGATTAGGAAAGCATTCTCGCGCTCTGATTGGCTGAATTCCTGCGCTCTGATTGGTCAATGAGAAGTTATGCTCACGTGATTCCACGTGACCACCCGTAACCGTTGCAGCAACGGGCCGCCCGCGTTAGGAAGGCCTGAGCAAAATACAAGCAATTACAGCTTCATTCATTCTATTCTATTTCAAGGCTCTTTTTACTGCATCTGTATAAATAGCCAATCTGAGCTTCTTTATTGCTACTTGCTACATTTCAAAGGATTATAATGAATCTAATCATGACTTACAGCTCTCAAAGAAGAGTTTGTGAATGACTCACAGAGGTTTCTTTCATCTTGCATTGGAATCTATATACAGCTTTTCCCAGTTCATACAGTCAAATGACTGAATGCAAATGTTTTTGTTTTATGAATGCTGCTCTGGATTCATACAGTTCTTTCAGTATATCACATTAGCAACTTTGTTATGACATTGAAATTTCTATATCATATCAATAGAGCTGTCTCTTGCAGTTCTGTATCTCAACCCTTCTCAGCACATCAATATCTGACCTGTTTAAGACTTAGGGTTAGGGTTACATCTGTTTTTGTAAGAAGAAGTCTCAGACTATGAAAATGAGATGTTTGAATGCAGAATGTTGTCAATCTCAACAAATAAGTAACATTTCTGAACTCATTGATCTTTCTACTGATTATCTGCAATTTCTTGCACTCCCTGTAGCCATTACTTTTGATCTACCCATTCATTCCTCTTCATCATCATTCTCACAACCTCCGCAGCTCTCCCAAGCTTCCACAGTGTCTTAATCAATGCAGGAGAGTGATGATGATCCATACACAGCCAATATTTGAATAATTAAAAAGTAATTGAGTGGGTTGAAGTGTTTAAAAGCTGGAAATCCATGACAGTGGATATATTTACAGATGGTCACATGACCTTTAAATAGTGAATTGCGGCCCGTATTTCACATAACAATAGTATCAATAGAATAGAATAAATAGTAAGATGTGAATTACATGTCAATGAATAATTCCAATTATCCTCTGCTCGCCCCCCCACCCCTGCTCCCCTGAAAAATATAATATAGCAGTAGTAGTAGGCATAGGCGTAGAATGTCAAATAACACCACCTCCACAACAACAACAACACAACACACAACAACACACACACACACAACACACACACACAACAACAACAACAACAACAACAACAACAACAACAACAACAACAACAACAACAACAACAACAACAACAACAACAACAACAACAACAACAACAACAACAACAATAACCTGAAATAAGAGCAACAACAACAACAACAACAACAACAACAACAACAACTATAACAACAACAACAATAGCAGCAGCAGCAGTAGCAGCAGCAGCAGCAACAACAGCAACAATAACAGCAACATCAACAGCAGCAGCAGCATGCCTTCTTTCATCACAGAGTCAAACTCTGAATCAGACATGTTTACAGCCATCAATTCTGAAGAAGTTTGTCGAACACATCAGTTCTATGCCCATGCTGTGGAGATTGCGGCTGCAAAGGTCAAAGAAAAGAACAAAGACAGGATGAAGAAAACAAATCTCTGTAAATTGAAGAAAGCTGAGGCATTCTGAAATTGACAGATTTGATGCAAACACTCATCTGTTAGATGAGTGTTAGAAAACTGATGAATAGAATAGCTCAAAATATCATAGCAGCTGTCACTTAAATCAAAGCTCAAATGACTGCAGAGGAGAATGCTGTTGCTGCTAACTCATTTTACCCTCTTTCTGCATCTTCCATCTTCTTCTTCTCTGCCTTCTTCATCTTTTTCTATGCCTCTGCCTCTGCTGCTGCTGCCTTTTCTGTGACTGCAGAACAGGCCCCTGGACGCTGGACGGCTCTGAAAGAAACCCTGCCAGCTAGGCTGACAGAAGAGATGACTGCTCTCATGAACATGTCATAGCACTGTGAGTCTGATGTCTGTGAGGATAAGACTCTTAACCTGGGCTGTTCTGTCAATCAGAAGGCTGTTCTTTTGCAGTTGTGAAGGCAGATTGCAAATCCTCTCTGCCCCCACTGCGCCCGAGGTGAAGGCCCTTTCAAAACTTGTGTTGGCCTCTCCGGCCACTGCTGCGAAGCATGTGCTAGCTGTCACTATAACAGCATGGGGAGTCATTGCTATTATCATATAAGTAGGTCTACAACTAAATCAAGTTAGCCATTAGCCATTAGAGTTAGAAACTAACATGGAACTAGGCAACCGCGAGACGTCAGTGGAAGATGAGGGGAAGGAGAAGGAGAAGGGGAAGGAGGAGAAGAAGAAGGAGAAGGAGAAGAAGGAGATGGAGAAGAAGAAGAAAGAGGAGAAGGAGAAAAAGGGGAAGAAGTCTGTGACTGTAAAGGCCAAAACCATCAGCTGCAAATGCCAGCGCCCTGCAGAGGATGAAGGAGAGCTGGGTCTCTTAATCAAACAGCTCAGCAAGGCCAAGCAGAAGGAGTGGGAGGAGAGTGTCAAGGTCATAGACCCCAAAGATATGGAGATTGCCCATTTGCGGGCAGAGAACACGGCCTTAAAGGCCAAAGTCAAGAATATCGGGCGCCTCCTAGAGGCAGCGGTTGATATGGTGAAGGAGTAGTTAGTTGTTGTTTTTTTCCTTTTCCTTCTTTCTTTCTTTCTTTCTTTCTTTCTTTCTTTCTTTCTTTTTTAGAAAATGAATACGTTACGGGGCCGCTGAGTTAAGATCTCTTATATTTGTAGAGCTTCATATCGTAGAGGTGAGGTTGGAGGTGATGTTTATGAGCGTTATTTACGGCTGCCTTCCTAATTGGGACTAGCTCCTCAATAATTTAGCACACTGCAGCTCGTGTGCTACAATGTATTTTTGTATACTGGTCTTGATACCCAGTTAACAGGCGTGTTGAGTTTTTGGCATCAAGCCCCTCAACTTACCCGCGAATTTGTTGGGGTGTTATACTGTGATTCATACCGGATAACAACAAGCGACCAAAACGGTCGTGAGAGAGCAATGAATTCAACATAGTTAATGCATTCCGTAACCTACAATGTAGAAGTGGCAAAAAAGAAGGTTGAGATCTACACTAGCATGTGGTGGCGTTGCTGCTTGGCAAAACGTCAAAGCTCCAACCGCTCAGTTGGGACTCTCTGACATCAAACGGTCTGCTTCCCCACTTCTTTCAGCATCGTTAATCCTTTTATAATCATTCCTTGAATTCCTTTCTCTCGATCTTATCGAAAGCTCTTTTTTTCCATACTAAAGTCACGTCTAAGCCGAGCCGGAAACTTTTCCAGAAGTATTTTGAGAGAATCATAATTGAAAATGGGCGAACCAACGCGTGACGAACCAACGCGCTCCTTACGGAGCAACACGTTGCTTTCTGATGAGCCCACCGCGCAGAAGTTGTTCAATACCATTCGCAAGAGTATTCTGGACACAAACCACTCCATCGACTTAACCTTTCAAAACATCGCCCCAACATCAGGGTCCTTGATAGTAGCTTCCCTTGCTGAAGACCCAGACATAGAGCGCTCACTTCCTAGGTAGGTTTCCCGCTGTTGTTCATCTCACCAGGTCAACATGACATATTACCATACTGATGCGTGACGCCTAATATAAATTCAGACTTTCTTACAATTCCGTGACCCGGGTATTAACTGCCCGAATAATGCCGACTCACGTCCATGATTGCCATCAAGAATGGCTTTGCTTTGAGCTCGGCCAAATGCGCATGGCCGGCTTTCTGTCTCCTGCAGAGGCAAGGTTGATCAAGTTTCGCGTTGGCACAAGTGAGTTGAATTTTGATTTGCGTCGAATGATTCATTTCTTTCTTGTTTGTAGCGCAGCGGAATATCTCCCCTCAGTTTTCCCCTTCGTCACCTCGTGCCATATTAACAGCATGTAGCTTTTGAACATTTCTCTAGCCCATACCTTTCGTCTGCCAAAGAACCCGACTCGTGTTTTTTACCTGATATGTTACCTCTCCCCACCCTCGTCGTAGAAAGCGGCTGGACAGAGTCCTGCACCCGGCTAAATAACGACAAGAACTTGTGGTTAATAGGTGGGAGACCTCACGTTCAGCTTGTATTTCTCATCAAATGGGCAAAGCTATCGGGGGGAAGAATCAAGGGTGACATAGAGATTCATGGAAGAGATATGTCGGGAAATGCTATTTTGCTACAAACTGAGGTGAGAACTGTTTTCTCCTATCTGTCAACACGGGATTTTAATGGTTTATCCTTGTACCAAAGTAATATATCACAATAACTCACCGCATGCACAGCCTATATTTCCTATACCGTCTGGTAACCCCAGACAAGTTATCCAGATTACCCGAGCCCAAGTATTTGGTACCGCCATACTTACCGGAAGAAACCCTAGCGATACATATCTCCTCCAAGTTGAGGAACTGCGTCAAAAAGGGCAGGATGCAATAAGACAAATGGGTTTTGTGCCGGCGTAGCCAATTGGTTGGTATTTGAAAGTTTGGTGAGATGTGCAAGCGTGGTTCCCACACTATGCTGCGACTGGCGGTTGCAGTTGTTGTTGTTGTTGTTGTTGTTGTTCTTCATATTTTTTCTAGGGCCATATGCAGTCTGAGACTATGACAGCCTTCACCTCACTAGCCTACCCTTATGTTCGGCTACTCTCTAGTTACATTTCTCTATTCATAACTGAGTCATCCTTGATGGAGAGACTTCACTATACCATTCTGGATCTAGCCCTCAAGGGGGGCCTTGCCCCACAATTGCTCACGCAATACTACGGATTTTGCAACAGTTGCGCGCACCAACAACTGCGCGCACCAATAATCCGATTATCGCCTAGTTGCCAAGTACGCGGCGGATTTTAATAACCACCATGTAATTATTAAATTGCACTATCCGAAGGGCTTGTAAAATCAAATCTTGGTGTATTATAGAAGCGGCGTGGGTATATTTTAATCCGATGAACATCTTGGCCGTGGCGCCAGAGCAATACAATATGTTGGGGGGCACGTGATAGGGTAGCCGTAGTACCCACTAACAATTTTTCCTACACCGTGATCCATCATAATCATCCACGTCATCCACGCCACGGGCCCCTGATTTTCAAACGCTTAACCCAATATGGCAGATTGGAACGCGCACCAATATTACGGGGCTTTACAAGAAGCTAGCAAGAAGTGGGCGGCGCCGGCGAAGTTAAAAATACGAGGTTGGTGCGAGCACCTAACTGAAAGCGGTAATTTTTTGGTGCGCGTTGCAAAATCCGTCTGGGCGTGTTCGGTTGCACGTACAAAGCCGTATATCCTGCACGCAAAAAGTGGATACTAGCGTACTGCCGGCGTTGATTTTTCAAACCTTTATTGCCACCCTAAAATCACCGCGGTTTTTAAATGTAATAATCAAATACACACCCGTGATGACAGGCAGACCGTTCTTATTCAATTCAACCTCACCTATTTTGTATGATAGAGCTGTGAAAAATGCCGGGCAGTCAGTCTTCAAATAATATGGGGCTCTTTGAACCCGAAGAAGTTTCAGTTTCATCAAGCCAATGGCCTACCTCTCCCTCACCTGCCATAGTGCCTGCCACGTTGCCTGCGCCGCCAATAATAATAGAAGATTCAACTCAGTTGACGTTTCCTATTGCTTTTCATCAATCCGCCGTTGAATCCGCCGTTGAATCCGCCGCCCAATCCGCCTCCCAATCCGCCTCCCAATCCGTCTCCCAATCTCGTTCGCGCGTTGCATGGAATCCGGCAATGGATGAAGCAATGCTGCTGGGCCTGTTTGACGCGAAAAAGGATGGGTGGGAAACAGACAATGGAAACTTCAAGATTCATGGATGGAATATTGCAGTTAAAGCAGTCCGACGTGTCACTCATCAAACTATCAATAAAAACAACCTTGAGAATCGATGGAGGAGTAATAAATGTATTTGGCGGCTGTGGATGAGGCACAAGAATCAGATCTCTGGCTGGACTTGGTGTGCAGAACGCGAAACGTACATTAATGATCCGGAGGTCATGGAAGAGTATTTTCAACGTCATATGGACTTGATTATATTTCGAGATCAGGGGCCCCCATTTCGAGAGTTGAATGAGCAACTACTTGAAGGGAAACTTGCAACAGGGCAATATGCAGTTGGTTCTCGAGCTATGAGACGGCAACTGGATACAGATGATGACTTATATCCTTCATCATCACCTGCATCAAATGCCCTGGCATTGAATGATCTGGCTCTTACTGCTGTGGACAGTTCTGCTGCGGACAGTCCTGCTCCAGAACGAAAACGTTTGAGAAAGGGGAAAAAGAAGATGAATGCTGAATCAATCTCAGAGCTTAGATCAGTATTGCTAGAAATGAACAAGGAGATGGTTAATGGCTTACGAGAGGTTTCTGAACGGGCTCCTGAGAAAGCCACTAGATTATTTCTACAAGAAGTAAATGAATTACTTCTTGAGGAATGGAGGGATAGTAATGGAATGGTTCCATATTGGCGTTATGCTGCAGTTCCACGTCTTTTTGCAAGCAATGGCGCAATGGCGCAGGTTTATTTGGGATTCAGTGATAGCTCACTAGAGCAGCGGCGTGCTTTTATAATGGATATTCTAGAGAACGCAGGTTAAAAAGCATGTTAAAAAGCATGTAAAAAGCATGTAAAAGGAGGCGGAATAGTAGACAGAAAAGTAGATGGAATAGTAATTGAAATAGTAATGGGAACGCGGTTGAAAAGTAGAAGGAAAAGCATGTTAATTGACGATTTTTAGAGGATGAATGTAGATATATGAGCAATATTGCCATATTCTTGCACATTCTTATGATTTATTTAATATTACGATATGGTATTTTATATGTATTTATGGTATATATTACCATGATGTAATCTATTGGCCAATTAAATCATTTTATTTACCTAACCTCCTCACACAAAAAGTGGTGATGATTTAAAACAGTGTTTTTAATTGTATTTACAGTATTTTTGATAAAATTCGAAAAAATATCGCGATGTGTAGTTCTATATTATGATTAACTAGATACAAGATCTCATCAAGCCAGCCACTCTACTTTTCACCACAGCTCCCACTATTATTTCTATTACTATTTCTACTACTATTCTTACTACTATCTCACCTACTTTTCACCACGGCTCTCACTACTATTTCAACTACTATTCCTACTACTATTCCGCCTCCTTTTACATGCTTTTTAACAGGCTTTTTAATGTGCTTTTTAACCTGCTTTTTATTGCTTTTCAACCTGCGTTCTATATGCTGCTAGTTCTCTATATAATAAATATAGGCCTTCCACATCCGCTCCGCGATCTCATCTCGCTTTTTAATCATATAAGAATCATCCTTTCACTCATCACTCTGTTCATTATCTAGTGAGACTTCTTCATTTTCTGATAAATCAACATTCAATTCCTCATCAAGTTCTTCATGCTTGTTCATAAAGTTATGAACAGCTGCAAGAGCAAAGATCAAGCAGACTTGAATTCTAATTGAATATCCTTCTCTAACTCTGTCATAGATTCAAAATCATTGTTCGAAGATGTCAAAAACACACTTGATTACATTTCTCATACTTGCATGCTGAAGATTAAAAAGTTCTTGCTTATTGACAGATCTTCTGTTGATTTGTGCGAATTCCTTGAAGTGATATTGAACCTCTGAATATGGAATCAAAACGCCTCTTAATCTCTTTGAATAACCGGCATCTGCAAGGAAATAGCAGTCATTCATTGCAGTTGCAGTCAAAAAATCGTCATTATTTTGAGCATGAGCAATAACACAGCTATCGTGAGAAGATCCTTCCATTCCAGGATAAATATATACGAAATTCAACTCATGATTGCATGCCGCCAGAACCTTCTGTGATATCCATCCTTTTCAATTTCACCATGATGACTGCTGGTTTGAAGGAACTGCAATTGACAGATGAGTTCCATTCAGAGCTCCAATACACCCTTTGAAGAATGGCCACTGTTTGGGATTATCACTCAGAGCCTCCCTGCTATATTCCATTTGACAGACAGGCAGATGAACAACATGGTCATACAGTTCACATAATTTCTTAAACACTTCATGGAATATTCTATATAAAATAGTGAGTATTACACATATCTGCTATGGGTGATCTATGCTTACTTTGATATTGTATCTGTGGAATGATGGAACATCTCCGCAGTGTTTCTATATGCCATTCCTTGAGTGGTTATATATAGAAAAATCAAGAGCTTCTGTTCAATATGAATAGCAAGTGGATCTGTCAGCTCTTTTATACTTGTATAGTTCCGTAGCCAATTGACAAGCTCCAAGAAGGTGCCAGGCTTCATCCGCGTCATATTTTTCAATCGTTGTTCATGAGAATCCGGTTCGAGAAGGTCGGAGGTAAGATCCATTCCACAGAAAGGGTCTTTATAACTGGGTTCAATTAAACTCTATCCTCCCTTTCGTCCTTCGGCCCAGGATTGCCCATTGCTTTGAGCCTATTGCCGACCCAATATTTTGCCATAAGTAGGAGGCGATTTAACATGTTAATGAAATGCAGAATGACTGGTCATAATTCACGAAGCTCTCCATTTTTGTATTATTAACCTTGGTTGGACAGCAGAGAGAGGTAGGATTGGATGTTATGCTGGGTGAATATATATCCTAGAGGCTATGCTCATGATCCTTGTTCCCATTTCTCATATCCGTTTGCATCTTTCTCCGTATACAATATCTCTGCTCCTTGATAAGAGTCTCCTTTTGAAACCCATCCTGTTTACTGCCACAAAATATCTACAAAACCCCGCCAAAATGTCGCTCGCAACCCTCCGCATCGTCATGGCATGCGATGAAAGCCGGCCACAGCTGCAACGAGACCCTAAAACCCCACCTCTCAAATAACCTTACCCACACATTGCCGTCCAGGCCATCCAACTCATCAAGGGAGGAAGAGCGGACCACACCCTTCTGATCTGTGGAACTGGCCTGGGTGTGGCGGTTGCGCGCCAATAAGATTACGGCCATCCGCGCCGTTGCCGCCCACGAATCCATTCTCCGTAGAGAGATGAGTTCTCAGCAGCGATTCCCAGGTGCTCTGCTTTGGCCAGAGGGTTATGGTTATTGGCATCGATCTGGCGAAGAAGTTGGCTGGTGACTGGCCGACCTACCGCTTTGATGCCGGAAGTGCCTCCGCAGGCAAGGCGAAAGTTCTTGCAGAGTATGAGGCCAAATTTGCTTGTTAGAGTTGTCTCTGGAAGGTCTCTTTTTTATATATGTAATTTAAACATCTACATTGTTTGAATGCTCAAGCAAAGGGGGTCGATTCATCTCCTTCTTTTCCCTCGCTAAAGTAACTGCGCGAAAATTCCCCATGATCATGATTCTTCCACATTTATTTTTTATGTATATAGACGAGCGTTTCGACTTTTGAAAACCACATATACAGACAAGGCGTTATTCCGATCAAAGTCGGGAAGAAAAGATGAAAACTGCACGGTTGCGTAGGCGACACGACTTCCTCTATTTTCCGTCTCTAATGCGTATTTTTCTAACTTCCCCTTTTCACTACCCAGAAGGCACTATATGTTGATAGCTGTCAGACAAAGTAAAATATTGTTCCAAGACCCAAAACAATCCAATTACTTCTCTACCCCGTCCGCAATTTCTCGCATTTCTGCTTTTATTCTAGTAATTGTTCCGCTGCCCCCGTAGACCAACCCCGTGTAGAGCATCGCTAAGTCAGCCCCAGCTTTCAGAGTTTTCGCAGCCTGTTCTCCATTCATAATTCCGCCAGATGCAAAAATCACTTTTGGGACCATGTGGGATTTCATTTGTGATGTCGTGGTGTCGGTTTCAGACGGTGATGTGCTGTCACCAGTGTCGTCAGATACGACCATTTTGTCAAGTTGCGCCCGATATCTGGTGACGAGGGAAACGGTTTTGTTGAACAAATGTGGACCCGAAAATCCTCCCGTCTCTTTTAGCGTCTCTTCCTCGCGGGCTGAGAGCTTGTAGCCTCTGGGTAATGCTTCGGGCCTCGTTTTAGTTGTGTTTCCCACGATAACTCCGTCCACGCCAGATGCGCGGACGGCCTCGCAGATCCCAGAGATCTGCTCATCGGTATCTTCATCTGGGCTTACTTTAACCATCACGTAGGGTTTTGTCTTCCTGCTCGTGTGTTTCGCAGCATTGACTACACCCGTTAGAAGCGTGGTAAGCGGCCCTGACTCCTGAAGCGTTCGAAGGCCAGGGGTGTTTGGGCTGGACACGTTCACAACAAGGATATCCGCATATTTCCCCAGCAGGTCCACGCAGTAAACGTAATCCTTATTGACGGCTTCGATGTCCGTCTCCGGCGTGTCTTTATTTTTTGCAATCTGGACAGCGAGAAGTTTACCTTCGATAAGACTGCCGGGTGGGACACCCGCTCCCCCATCTAGCACCCACTGTTCTCCAAATTCACTCGAACCAAATCCGTGAGAGTAGGCGAACTCACGAACTCGCTGCTTGAGAACCGCAGCCATATGATCTGCTCCTTTGGAGTTAAGCCCATAACGATTTATCAAAGCATTCTGTGACACGATGCGAAACACTCGACTTCTAAGGTTTCCTTCCTGAGGACGAGGTGTAGTTCCTCCAACCTCAACGATAGCAGGTCCCAGTTCAAACAGGGCTGACGGGATATCTGCGTCCTTATCAAGGCCACCAGATATCCCAATCGGGTTGCAAAGGGTATAGCCAAATACCTGATTTCAATCATTAAAAATCCTTATCTCTCAAACAAAAAGGAGGGCTCAGAGATGGCATATCACCTCAGTAACAAGTTTACCGTCCCCATCTGGATTTCCCCTTTCTCGAGGATGGAGGCCAAACCGATAGAGAAATTTCATCCACTCCACTCCAGCATGATGAGCATCTTCCGCATCTGGATAATACCACCTAATGAGGCGCGGAACAATCCACCGATGGGCATTCGCCCGGGTGTCAGTCCCATATATATATCCAGCCCAGAGGAGAAAAACGATTGATGTTCCGAGAAAATATCTCTTCACTTTTCCACCAGGAGGCTTCGCGACTTCTGCGGCAGCGCCACGTATTGGAGAAGGCGACGAAGTTGAGGATATGCTCCTTGAGCCAAAAGGCAAATTTGACTTGCATACCGCGGGGCCTCGACTAAACCGTGCTGCAATGGAACATCGGGAGGCATGGGGCGCACCACCGCGGGACATCGCTCCTAGGATTAGGAGTGGAAACCGCGGAAGGCGGCCATTGCCACCGGGTATCATTGGTAATACGGCTAGGAATATGCGCTATCAAATTCCCATTGACGATGTGCCAAATTGTCCGAATGTAAACGAGAGTGCTGTTAAAGGGTTAACATCTCGCCCAATATTTATTCCATGAGACGACAGTAATTTAAGCAAAGTTAGAATATACTAAAAAAGTAGAGCAACGTATTTTAAAGCAAAATGGTAATTAAAACAGTCAGTTTTTTAAGATTGGCTGCCTTCATCTCATCATAGTGACTTTTGAGCGAGGTTAGACCGATGAAAACTACCAAGGATGCCGTCGAGCGCAAAGACGCAATATCACAGACAATTAAGACAGGACATAATATCAAATAACGCACTTACACGGTATATGGTCCAATGGGTGTTCTGGGCCTAATTAACGCTGCAATGCGTGATATCACCGCTGTCTCCCTGAAAATAGAAATTCGACGCTGGAAGGTCATTTCTGGAGCTCTGCTTTGAGGTCAGCCATGCCGGTGACGGAAATATTTTTCACCGTGATATTCTTGATCACAGCATCAAATCATTGTCGTTCACAGATGCCCTTTTTCCAGAGCCCATTCCTATCACCGATAGAAAATAGTCCATACTCCAGCCGCTTATTTGGGTCTCAAAAAAGGTGTGCATGGCCCTTCCAGAGGGCTTTGTTTTTTTTTTTTTTTTTTTTTTTTTTTTTGGCAACACCACAGTTATGGAAAGTAGTGCATCATAACTTTCAATCGACACAATGGTTTTTATTCATACAGCCATTCCAGGATATGAAATCCCAAGTGCGAGGCCATTCATTACCAGTTGGCGAAAGTAAGATCTGTCAAAATGCTCCATCGGCGACCATGTGGATGGGATATTCGGTGTGCGCCCCGACGAGAATATCCCAGGAACTCTCGACAAAGGGGGCCCTTCTCTTGCAATATAGCGGGTAAGGCTATGTATGATCTTACACGAAGATATATTTGAAATCTTTCGGCTCTAGGTTCATGAAAGTTTTATAGCCTCCTGTTGCCGCAGAACGGGGTTCTTGTCCTTCCAGAGGCCTCAGATCTAATGGCAAAGGCTTCAGGCAATTTAAACTCTGCTCTACCGTTGCAGATGACTAGATCTGATGCCTCGCGTCTTCTCTCTGTTGCCTCAACGCATTCCTCCAGGCTCTTGGATTACACTTGGTGGAAGAACAGAATTTCATTTTCGTGACCCCATCGGGCCAAATATCACTCTCCAAAGTTCGAACTATGTTGTCACCAATTTGGCAATTTCCAGCTGTTAGAAATTCCATAAGAATGAATTTGCTGATATACTTATGTCGACATGACTCATGCCGAATCCAATTGTGCCCAATGTCAATGAGATACTCCGTAGAGTGGATGGGACCGAAATTGGAATTCTACATGAGTGGAAATTCCCTTGAGTGCTGTCTTGTTCACAATACAAGCAATTTCGCATTCCGTGTCAGTCCATCCACTCTGCCATTGATGGAAACCTTAGCGAATCAAATTTCTCCTTCTGCTGTTGCGCATATTACTGTTTCCATAATGGCGGATGTTTATAATGCCGACCTTGCTGGAAGGCGAAATACATCCATTCTACTTCATTTTTGCAATTGCGCAATGCTATTTGAACATGGAGTGATATCCATGTCTCTACCTACGAGAAGCTAACTTCTTGTCCACCCCAAGAGAGGCACTTACTAGAACGGGTGATTCTAATATCTGAATGCGCTTCCAACACTGGGCCATCTTTCAGTCTATAAAGTATGTTTCGGGTCATTCAATGGCTACTCTATTCTGATATCTTCATCGCCATGGAGACCTGAGTGGTTCATCTTCCAGTCTAAAACCTGGAGACCGCCATCGAGAGGCTTGGAGGCTAAAGATGTACTGTACATACATGCAGTAGAGAATGAAACCTCATGTTCTCATTCATATGCTTAAGAGAACGTACTGATATGATTTCCTCCTATATCAATGACTACTTCTCATCGCAAGGATTCACCGACGCGGCTTCCTTCCCTCCGTGGTGGAACTTCTGTGGCGGTGAAGTCCGTGAGGGAACCCGATTATTTACCCATTTGGTTTCTGCCCTTATTGCTGACACCAATGGATGAGGCTTAATTCCATGGTGATTTTTGAGGACGGAATGATACGCCTCCCACGACCCCAGAGCCGATATTGACATGTTGGATACGTTCACATGGTGGCCTCATCGTAGTAATCGCATGCGCAACTACGGCTTATTTGTCTTAGTGCCTGTAGAAATTATGGGGTGACATGAGATCGCTTTTCCCACGATCATCATCAGTGGTTTCCGCTTTGGCCAGCGACCCTAGGGAATATTTTGTTTTTCATGTTTTAGACCATCTCACCTTAAGTCGTAAGAGGACATACTGTGTTCTGTTTTGCTGAACCATACATAAAGGGCATGGCTCTATAAACCTTTCACAACATTGATCTGATGGCCTGGAGCAGAGAAATGTGATGCTTCCAGATTGGGAAAGATGAATATCAACTCAGATTGGCAGCCAGATAAGTTGTCCGACAATATATTCTCTCCTCTACCAGCACATAGGAACCGGTATTGAAAGGTATATGGATATGTATTCATGTTCATATGGTTTCTTGCTAAAAACAAGGATATTTAGTTCTATACCACGAATGTAGTCTATTGACTCACTATTATTCCGCTAAGTCCAATCTCCACTAATTTACTTCTATCTATACTGGACTTTTGCGTCATTCAGGCTGGGAAACGGAGGAAGATATCAGTAACCAGAGATTCTGGATTCCTTCCAGCGATTCAGGATCTATCAACCCTTACGTTGCCATCATTACTCCGTTCCAAACACACCAAAGACATTTATACCAAAATTTCTCCGTGAAACCTTCAACCTCAGGATGGGTGGGGTATGACAATTCAATATCAGAAGAGAAAACAAATTGAAGCAAAAGCAAAATAGTGAAAAGCACACAGTCCATGAAAAAGCCAACAAATCACTTTTTGATACCCGCCAACAACAGTTGCCAAAACTCAAATATACTTACCTGAGGTCAAGTCATCAGCGAACACATGCATCTCCAGCCAGAAGCGTAGTTCAAAAGTTCACCCCCACGCTAGTATGTTGATCGTGGAATTTTATAGGCTGATATAATTTTCAGTTACAGATTTATCAACGTCCCTTCAAAAATAGTTAGTTGATCATCAGGGCCTTCTTAAATGACAACTTGTAAAAATGAAAACCATCAATGTCCCAGTGCGAGGACGTGAAAGGCGCTGCTGAATTTGCCTACAGTTTTTCACATTCCACGTCTTCGTGACTGCGGAAATATATGGGCTGATTTTTCATCCAACCAAGGAATCAATTCGGTTCATAGTCTTAACAAGGTTGAGGTTCTATTCTGAAATACGAGGTTCAGAGGGCAGGGCCAACAAGGAAGACCAATATGCATGGATGGGTAAGCAATGAAATGAAACTGCGCCTCATACCAGGTGAGATCTTATATCGAATATCTCAATTCTCTGAATAAAATATGATCAGCAAGTGGCAAAAAAAAAAAAAAAAAAAAAAAACCAAAAAACCAAAAAACCAAAAAACCAGTTAACGAACTGACCTTCCTTACGCTAAAAAATGCATGAAACCTCAGTAAAGCGCTGTAAAAAAGTGTGAGCACTCTCTCTTCCTCTTCAATAGCCAGGGAACAGGCAAATCCTCGTGATCTCTTGCCAATCATGCGAGCCCAGTTTCAAACATGGCTGTCTTAACCACTTTTTGTCGCTTCAACTCTCATGCTGCGAAAAACCAGAAAACCAGTCGTGGAAAAAGCAAAGAAAAACCTTATGGTATTACTTGCAGCTGAGACGACAAAAATCCCGGCAAGACATCAAAATTGAACCCGAAAAAAAAGGGAAACAGAACAACACTTGATTTCCTCATCCTGATCAGCTCAATTCCAAATCGAAAGAATGCTGCTCCATCCGCATTTAAATGAATCAACACAGCTTCAAAAGCTAGATTGAAAAGCCCCAAATCTACCAATCACAAGGTAGAAGAGTCGAGTGCGACTGACGCACGATCACGTGGTGAGAAAAGTCGGTGGATAGACAGATTATCCCATCCGCAAGCAAGGGTGCGCCTCGTTTCTCACAGGCACTATCCTTGCGAAGTTTGTCGTGGAATGGTAATTATGATTCGCGGGCGCGAATTTCTCCCTGATTGCAAAGGCAGGGATGGTGGATCTGCAAAAGGAAGATGTCATTCCAATTCCTTGTTGGTTATTGCGGGGACTCTGAGATTCATTTCGTAAGGTTTGTTTCATCTTTCACCCTTGGCTCTCTTATTCTCTCTTTTGTCTTGTTTTTCCATGGGTTCTGCCTTTTGGAGGTTACTCCTATGTGAGGATGAACGATGAAAATTTCCAATAGAAAGTGTGGTACCTCACTACCATAGTGTCATTTTGCTTGTTACCTGCGCTCGTAGCACACTACAAAGTTTTAATGCTAACATTATACTGCACATCATATCATACAGAAGTTGTCTCATATCTATCCTGTGGGTAAGAGAATGTGAGGTAAAAAAAAAAAATAAATAAATAAATAAATAAATAAATAAATAAAAATAAAAATATTCGACACGGACAAGATTCGAACTTGCGCACCCGAAGGTATGAGATGTCGAAACCATTTGCTGGTAGAACACACAGCGGGTTCAAGTCTCACGTATTAACCACTCTACCACCGTGTCAATTTGTGCTGGCGTAGACCCCGGGATTAACATATCTCTTTCCGTCTCATCTCTTCCTTTGGTCCTATTTCATTAGGGGGTGGCAATAAATAAGAGAGCGCTTTTGCGACACCATTGCTAAATAAATCAGCCACTGGTAATTACTGATAAATAACTAGTGGAAATAACGTAGTAAATATCAAACAATATGCTAGAACAGACGTAATAGTCCCTGGGAGAGCAGTGTGATGAAGGCGGGAGAGGGAGCTAGTGCGGCAAGTCCTAGTTGAGCAACTATTCTAGCGTTCTTCTTTGCATTCTGTACATCATTTGTCGTTGACACAGCAATGAAGGGCTTCATAATTTCCAGGAAAATTCTTAGTACTCTTGTGGATGCGGATATATCGTTTCGGATTTGATCGGACTCAGTTCAGTATTCGCCACCATTACCATGTATGTTTGAGCTGCATCTTGGATAATGTTCAATCATTCTCCATTATTGAACTTTAAACACACACTAAAGACAAGCCGTATAGGAGAGTGATCTTCTCATGCTTTTGCTGAGGCGATGGGAGGTTTTTTTCGTTTTTCATGAACCGACTTGATTTCTGTTGAATAGTTGGAATCATCGAGATCGCTGGAATGATTTGGGCTTAGAACATAAATAAAAGCGAAAACTATCTCCACAAGATCCCAAGAGCTTCCCCACGACATTTTCGGTCTGCAAGAGTTCCGTTTGTGTGTGGGGCATTCCTGTCGACGCTGCTGAGAACCTTTCTCAGAGCAGGGAGGGGGGGAAATGTTGCCATGTGTTTGAGACATCAAAAATCAAACGTATTTCCTGTATGCTTTCCAGCTTCGTTGATAGTAGATCAGCAAAAGAAAAAATATTATACTTTAATAAAATTATTATCCAAAATTAGCAACTTCTTCATCTTCCTGAATATACAGAAACAGATCCCTGTTCCCCTCCTGAATCCTATGTTGCTTATCTTCCACTGGTTAACCATTGGTGGGTAAAAATGGTAACATTGCCCGTATCCAACGATCCAGAGCTCCAATTTGCAGATCAGCTTAATTAAGAATTTGGGTAATTCTTTAAGGCATATTGTGCGGTGTCTGATTGGGGTCCGCAGCCTTTAGCACTGACCTCCTCCGCCTGGGACTTTCCTTCTTTGGTCCTTCCCCCAGGCCGGACCTCAAGACCCCCGGAATCCCCCAGTTATGCGGGGCGTTCCCGGTAGGCCCATGGATCCAGCGACACATCCTTCAAGAGACCGGGAGTGGGGGTGGGGGGGCGGGGCGGGGGACAGCAAGGTCAAGAACAACGCCCGAGAAGATCCGTCCATTTGATCGAAATTTAAAACTATTGCTCCAGTATCTTAGGAGAAAGAGTTCCAAAAGCTCTTGCCATGATCATCATCTTCAAAAATATCGTTGAAAAATAACTTCCGCATCGGATCGTATCTAGCCCTTGGTGGCGAGGAGTGTGCCACGGGGCGAATAAAGTTGCGTGCCCAATGCCTATACTGCGTAGTCCTTGTAAACAACGCAGTAGTGCAAAGAATCTATTTTCAATGGAGGAATAATCCTCTGGTGCCGTTGAATACGAATCCAAGGGCTTGTTGACTGGGCTAATGTAAGGGCTCGCCAGCAAATTATCATTGCGAAAAAGGAAAAGAAATGAAAAAAAAAAAAGGAAATAAATCCCTCGTGAAGCTCATATCGCGATTGTTTCAATGGCCATGGGATATTTATCGTCTTGATACACGGGCTGTTGAGAATTCTGTAAAAAGTTTCCATGCAAAATCATGCCAGAATGATTTTCTATAGCCCAAGCAAAAAGGTCGGGGGACATCCTACTGGAATTTATGTCACATATTTTCTGATCCTCAAGAGCTTTTGCTTGATGATCATGAGCCCAATCAGAGTCTTGGTGGATTCCCGTGGACCATGTCACATGTATTGGTAATTTATGTGTATGGAAAGTGCTTGATTAACTCCTCTTTACTTAAGAGTAAAGGGTTGATCAGGATCGTTGTAGTCTCTTCAGATGAAGGGAACAATAATCTGTGGCTAAATATGGTAGGTATCCCTTTTTGAAAACAACTTCGACTTTTTTTTTTTTTTTCTTTGCATGGTCAGAGATATTGAAACTCTTAGTCAACAGACACAAACTGTCAGTTCCACCCCTAGAGACTTGTATATTAGCCCTGACGAGAGACGGTTAGGTATGGAGAGATACTTCAGCTGATATACAACGGTTAGCTGGCACAGACATTGCCAACCCCGATAGATAAGTCTGATATTGTCACGGTATGGTATCTATGGAAGGTGTTTGAGTAGCCCACACTAAACCAGCTATGGAGCACTGATGCCGCACGGCTAGTTTTCGACGGGGAAAAAAAAAAAATAAATAAAATCTCTCTTTATATCTTCTCTCTTCTCTCTTTATATTATAGAAAAACCAACTTTTTCCGTGAAAAAAATACTGTAACGTGACCTCACGCGATGTCATGTGAACCCCATCAAATCCATGAACGGCAGCTCTGAGTGAATTGACTCTGTTGTACTGTATGACAGCTGTGTTGTAGTTGTTGCAGCTTGCCTGCAGCATTCATATATATAACAGCAGTTAACTGTACTACATTTGACAAGAAATATAAGACTAGCTGTTGATAATGATAACATGACATTGTAACAGATGTATTTTAATTAACAATCTGGCACTGTTCTAAATACAGATTATAAATTGATTTAAAAAAAAAAAAAAAAGAGATCAAAAGAAAAGGTCATACAAAGAAAGTTCTTATAAAAAGAAGATTGAAGTGGAAGAATATGACAAGCCATTTCACAGTGAAGCATAGAGCAAAAGAACATTAAGAATTATGTGAAAGAATTATTAAAATTATATGAGTGCAAATTATGAGATGAAAGAGATTATATGAAAGAATTGTTAAAAACTACACAAGCACAGAATGCAATGACAGAGACAAGTAAATGCAGAAGAGAAGTTGATTGCATAAATTAATTACTAACAGATGCTAATTCATTATAGATATTTATAAATTGATTTAATCAAATATTATATAATTCAGATTGCATTGACTGTATTAATCTTTCATTCTATATTTATCAGATTGCTAATATCAGCATATTATGTGAGAGAGTGTTTTCTATAGCTGAATTTATAACTGCAGTAGTTTACTCTGATTATTTTAAAAACTGTATCATTCTCACTGTATTAAATCAGAATGCATTTCATATTAATGAATAAATTATAATAATCATATCAAAGAATGTTCATACATTTTATATTGCAGATGTAATTTATACAGGTGATCTGATTCTGAGCTGTGAAGAATTTTTCCATAAATATCTAATTATTATTAATTGTTCAGCTCTGTTACTATTTATATTAAAATTGAAAGTGAGTATTTTTATTATATTTCTTTGTAATCTTCAATTATCTGAAAGACTCTGCAATAGTATAAAAATGATTGTTCAGTAGATGACAATCTGTTTACTTAAGATGAAAATCATATTCAATATATATAAAAATTCAGTTTATATATTGCTGCAGAATGATTTACATATTTAATTTGTTGAGATTTTATTTGATATAACTCACTATCAGTTTTCAGTTCATTTATATTTTGCAATGATAATCAACAAATCTCATTTTTTTATAGTTAATATTAATTTCAGAAACTCTGTATTCTCATATAATCAGCTGTATATTGTATTCTTTTAAATTACAAATATCAGTCAATTGACTATTCTGCTAGATAAGAATAATGAAAGATATATATTAAATGAAATATATTCAGAGATTTTACAGTTTCTCAATTAATTCTTCTACTACTACAGTTTTTCTTCTTTGTCTACAGAATGTCATCCCCGGTGGCCGAATGGATAATGCGGCCACCAGGTAGCGCCTTGGCGTGGGGACCCAAGGCGCGTGGGTTTAAAACCTACAAGGGACAACATTACATCCGGAGCCAACTTCTCAGCTTCTAAAATAAAGAGATATGAACTTGTCAAGTAGATATCTTCAGATGAATCTACTACCTGATTTAGCTTATTGTTTCTGAGTTGAAAATCTGTATTGTGAGTATTCTTTCATTAATTTTTCTATATTTCTATTATATTCTTGACATTATTCAACACTAAACATTCCTTCTGTATAACCAACTCTTGCCTGTATTTAACATTACACAAGGACTCGTCATAAGCACTGCTTGCATACGAGTATAATGGAATAATAATAATAATAACATACAACAACATTTTCCACACATTGATCAAAATGACATCATTCAAAACAATGATCAGTCAATCAACTGAACTTTATATAGATGTGAAATCTTCAACCACAGATATTTTAAAATCAACAATAAAATAAGTGAAATGAATGAAATAAATAAAGAGCAAGATTTGAAAATGTTTAAAAGCTACTAAAGCAGCTGAAAAGAAATATTATGATAAATATCATATATCAAAAAGTTTTAAAATACAGGACTGAGTAATGCTGTGTGCAAAAAATATATCCATTTTATGACTTTCATTCAAGCTAGATCACACATCAGCGACATCCTCACGCGCCCACTGAACATTATGCCAGTTGGAAGGCCTAAAGTGCCGAAAGCTGGCAGATCACGCACGGCAGGTCGTCTGGATTCACTCAGAAAGCTGAACTACACAGCCATATTGGAACAACATGAGGCCGCTGGCCGCACATCCAGAATCTACACCGCAAATTCTCAGAAAAGTGTGGGGACGGTCCGGCGAAAAGTTCAACAGTAAGTGTTGATCTCTGTGAGGAAATTGAATTTACCTTCTTACAGAGAAAAGCTTCTGCTATGCTGAACTGAAGACTACAGAAGAGGAATTCCTTGAGAATCTGACAGCAGGCCGAGTCAAGACATATTTTGACTGGGTCAAGAACACCCATCAGAACAGCATCAAGGCAGCATCAGCCTTTGACTCTTACTGGCGGGTCCTGAAGATCCTGTATGTGGAGCGCACTGGTCATGGCATGGACAGCGGGATGGAACAGATTTGTCTGAACGTAAGCTCATCCAAGTGACTGATGTTGCTCCAGCTGATGGATGCCCTACACAGTATAAGAACGTCGTGATCAAGAGATGGGGTCTCCGGCGACAGCGGAGGAGGGGCACGTCTGGCACCAAGGATGATGTGTACCGCATCCTCCACGCCCATTGGACGTGGTGTACGAAGGCGTATGCTGATGAGAAGCAGCAACTCTACATTGCTGCAGATATCCTCTTGTCCTTCATCTCCAGTGGCAGACTGGTCTCACTGTTCAACACCCGGATCAAAACCGGTGATGCGAAAGCTGGAGATGGACAGTCAAAGAGAGTGTTGCACACAGTGAGCAAGAGCTCAACAAAGAGGACCAACCGTCGCCATCACCGTCCCCGAGCCACAGGGGCCACCCCCGACCACTACTCAACAGCGGGATCCAGGATCGGCCAGCACGGTAGCAGACCCACAGCATCAGAGAAACACAAGTGGACTCTTTCCGACGATGACAAGGAATATTGCGACACAAAGAAGGCATGAATCATGACTCCTTGAAAAAGCTGTCACTCCGCCCGGGAAGAAGCGTCCTGCGGCAAATACAGGATGCACGGTGAAGATGTTCTGTACAATCCTCTGAATAGCGACATGGATAGTCATATGAGCAATGATACGGACTTTGACTCAGGGTATGTTGACGAAGAGAGTGACAGCACTAGCGGCAGTTCTGAGGAATCTCTGTTTGGTGAGCTCGTGCGAGAAAACGATACTGACACCGAGTCGAGTGCAGAGTCAGTGGAAAGCGGCTGCACCAGTGATACATCCGCTGACAATGACCTCAGTGAACTTGGCCGCTTCATAGAGGACATGACAGACGACGAGTATGATGCAGGCCCTGAGAAGACTGGGGCCATTGTCTGGTGGCATATCAGCTTCCACATCATTCGGAGCCCTGTGGCTGGCCGGCCAAACATCCTCCTAGCCAAGGTCACACTCCTCCACACCAAGGGTGAAGACAAGAAGCTGTGAGTGTAGCTATGCAACTTTCCCTCTTCTTACTGCATTGTGCTTCATTGGCTGACTGACAATGCAGGAAAACATTCATCATCAGCCACAATCCGGAGCCGCTCCTGGATCTTCTGAGGCACCTTCTCTCCATGGCAATAGATGATGAGATCTTTGCGCCTGAATTTGAGAAGCTTGAAGACATCTACTGGTATCTCATCCCATCCTATCTAGATGGTATGAGTCTAAAGATCAAGGCAGAGATGCTTGACGTGCCGGTGTTCCGCCAGCCCGAACGCACGGGCGATGGGTATCGAACATCAGAGAAGACGCTGCTCAAAGAATCTACATGAAGCAGCTACCTCAGACACCTTCACCTGATGGCTGGGCTCAAATATAGTCTGACCCAGTATGTCTGGCGATGCTCTCTCATCAACGCCATCAACAGTATGTGTCTGCCCCACTACTCTCCTTGGTCCCTTCGTCTATCCTCTCTTTCTTCCCATTTCCCTTGGCCAGACTAACTGCTGACCTACCGGATCCGCAGACAAAGCTCCGTCCTCTGTTCAGGATCAAGTAGCCGATCACGAATCCAATGCAGTACAGTACTATCTGGACACGGTCATCCACTTCAATCTGGAAGCCGCGGCCATGGAGCTTCCGTCCAATGATGTGGTCCAGAAAGCAGCCCATGGGCTGTTCTTGAACGCCGACGCCACTGCCCCGACGGAACTTACCGACGAGCTGAAAAGAAAGATCACCGAGAATCCAAAGATCATAGAGCTTACCGAGCGTAGTAAAGAGTTGACCCAGAAGCTGAGGGCGATGGGATTCCGTTCCGTGCCGGCAGCGCAGGGCAAAACTCCACTGTACGAAGAGAAGATGAAGGTGGTTTCCCGGCTGAACCGCAGCAAAGTTTACCTTCACTCCAAGCTTATCGAACGGCAGAGGCGGTGGCACTTCCGGCATGCTGATATGGAGCGATTCAACCAGCGACTCCGCAACAGCGCCGTCGGTGAGTCTTTGGATGAGTGTCCGGCCCCGCCACCACTTCAGATCTCGGAACGGAGACGGGTCGTTGAACTGACATGCGCTGGCACTCAGGAACTGACTGAGGATGAGCAGTTCGCGCGCCGGTGTGCGTGCATCATCGTCTGGTTCAAGCTGCAGCGTCGGAAGGAGGTTCAGCGTCGGGGCCGTCACAAGAAACAGCAGCCGTCCCAGCGAGATTTCCAACCAAACCCGCCCCTAGACACCGTGCGGGCGAAAGAATCCATTCCGGCGAAGCTGGGCGAAAAGCAGTGCCCATTCTGCGTCGCTGATATCTCGTTGCCTTGGGGGGAGCGGCTGAAGGTCCGGGAGCGCACGAACAAGTTCTGGAACCATATCGAGAGCGTCCACCGCGAGGAGCTGAAAGCATACTCCACCGGACAAAAGCACTGCGGGATCTGCAAAGTACAGGGTGTCACCTTCACTCCACCATCCATCATGGAATTCAAGAGTCATACTCTGAGCGTACATGGTCCCCGTCTGCGCCCATGAGATGTCTGCTGAACATAGCATCTAGAGTACGATACATAGACATGGTATGACTAGTGACTGATTGCTTGAGATGATTCTCCCCTCCCCTTACTGTAGGCTATATCCTCACAGAGTTGAAAAGCACGGTCTCGTAATCCACCACTATCTAGGCCAACTTGCGTACATGTCTTTCCCTCAAAGTAATCTCCGCTTGGTACTGGTTCTTGTGTATCACGACTGGCCCTAATTCATTCTGGGTCAAAATCCTTCCGTCCCACAGCTCGTCCTCCATTGCACAAAACTAAGAGTTAATGCAGGTGGAGTTACCTCCCTTTTAGATAGATAGATTCAGTTTCTTAATTACACTCGTTTAACTGTACATCTCATATGGCAAAACTCAACTGTCTTTGTTCTACCTAGTAGCTCTTGATAACACCAACGACAACCTGGCGAGACGTTCCGCAGGTTTCATTAATGGGGGGAGCGCATTCCGGGCAATACCGATGCCCACACAGAAGGGTCCGCCATCCTGACGGGATGGCATAACAGATCTGGCATCGACATTGATACTTCAGCTCACGGACTTCGGTCTCAAGCTTGTCAATGAGCTCATTCTTCCTAGTCATTTCCGCACGCAGGCGCTGCACTTCTTTCTCCAGTACCTCTCTCTGCACATGCTCCGCCTTGAAAATGTTATGGATTTCCTGGTTCGCGGTTTCCTATCTCATTATCAGCCAAGAAGGAGCCCCGCCATGGACCCTACAGGGAGGAGTCTTACCAATACCATGCCCAGGTTACGTCTTTTCGGTGGCTGTAAACCTCCCAAAACAAATAGGCCGTCAAAGGCAGCTCAGTCCAGAATTTTCCGAGGATTTCAATCTGAAGTAGAACCTCATGTTATGAAAATTATCTGGACAAGTGGGGATAGCCAAACGAACGCCGTGAGCGAGCTTCACAAAGTGAATCAGAAAATAGAAGCATGGAATAAAGAGCATAACTTTTGGGCTGCAGATGGTACCTTTGATATTGACGACTTTATATCCATCAATCATGCGATTGAGTTGGTGATTAAAGAAAATGATCCTAAGGCATTTGACATTGCTAAGACACGCATGGACAATATTATTGAGCTGCGCAAATACCCAAGATGATGGCAACTTTGAAAGAAGGACTTCTTGAAAGCTGCTAAGGTCTATGACAGAAGGAATACTTCTATACCCCTCTAAGCCATGACAGCGCTTCAACACATACTCATGGGAAATCAAGGCCCAAAGGCGACAAGAGGCCTGGTACTCCAACACTCATCAGCAAAACAAAAGGAAAACAGAAAGTGATAGGCAGCTATCAAAGTGAGGAAGAGCTGAGTAGTGATGATGAGCTTGCCGCTTCAACACCCCCCAGCAAAATAAAAAGCAGACAGAAAGTGAAAGACAAAGAGAAATGCACAAATCTGCAAAATGATGAGGGATGCTCTGCCCCCAGTACTCTCTGAGTGATCTCCATCGCCTGCACTGTAATTCCCCTATGGGAGTTAGGGAATTGGAAGATAGAAAACCATGCGGTGTCAGCAATCCCTGGGGCAGTGAGCTCTTTGAGAAGTGTCAGAATTTTTAGTGAAAAGGCAACAAAGATAGAATTCCGTGTCAGCATCTCTGGAAAAGTAAGCCCCTTAGAGAATGCCACAATTTTGAGTTAATAACGACCATAGTAAACTCCTCTTAGGGGCGCCATAACCTCAGTAGAGAAGGCCACGAAATTAAAAGTCTGTAAGAAGCCAACATTCATCAGAGGATGGCACAATGCTGAGTGAAAAAGCCACAGAAAAAATGCCCCTGGGGGACATCAGCTTTTTTAAGTGAAAAGCCACATGACAGATCACAATACTTGAAATCTTATTGATTCTTGAAAGAAGTCATGATTTCAGGGTTCAGCAAGCGCTATGACTTCGGGAGAGTAGTGGTTTGAATTTATAAGTGGATAGATTGTAGATTCGGCGGCTGCATCATGACACATACTTGTGAAAACAGCCAATAGATATACTTTTCAAAAAGAGCTTAGTGATGATTTCAAATTAACTCTAATTTACAACAGAATCTTCTATTCTTGCTTCTTCTCAAGTTTCTCTTGCATTCCTTCTTCTCTGCTTCTAGACTTCTGATATTGCATGTAGTTCTCGCATGTTGTTTGAGATGGAGGTGGATAATGCTTTTTCTGTTTCTGTAAGAGCTACATCTTTTCAGAGCTGTATGCATGACACTCACTATATCCTTGTCTGGTGGTGGAAAGTGGCTGTTCGAAGCATCGAACTTGTTAAAATTAATCGTAAAGTATCGGTTGTCTTCATGGATGAGGAGATAGATGCCCTTGCAGTGACAGTCATCAAAGTAGCTACACAGCATATGCTGAAGTGTGCCTTTCCATCAATAATGCATCTGCACAAGCTACTGTGCTCAGTCCATGACTTCTTGACACACTTTGAGTCTAATGTTTGCATGGTGTAGCATTTAATTCCAGTGAAGGTGAAGGATCTGAGACTTGATTATTATGGGGAGAGGTCTCAATTTATAGCTATGAGTGAGTGTTGTGCTTCATTAAGTCAAAAGTCATTTTTTCAAAGTGTACTTCTGTTGGATCTGACTAGTCGGTTTGCTGTGGCACTTGCATGCTTGGGCCGCGATCTGCGATCCGAAACCGTGGCCCACCCCATTGTGTCTCAATTTTCCACTGGGCCACGCGATCCGATCATTTATGCTAAAAGAGAGCATGAAAGTTAAGAAGGAAAAAAAACCAAAAGCTGATAAGAAAAAATAAAAAGAAAAAATAAACAAATAAACATAAAAAATACATTGTAGCACACGAGCTGCAGTGTGCTAAATTATTGAGGAGCTAGTCCCAATTAGGAAGGCAGCCGTAAATAACGCTCATAAACATCACCTCCAACCTCACCTCTACGATATGAAGCTCTACAAATATAAGAGATCTTAACTCAGCGGCCCCGTAACGTATTCATTTTCTAAAAAAGAAAGAAAGAAAGAAAGAAAGAAAGAAGGAAAAGGAAAAAAACAACAACTAACTACTCCTTCACCATATCAACCGCTGCCTCTAGGAGGCGCCCGATATTCTTGACTTTGGCCTTTAAGGCCGTGTTCTCTGCCCGCAAATGGGCAATCTCCATATCTTTGGGGTCTATGACCTTGACACTCTCCTCCCACTCCTTCTGCTTGGCCTTGCTGAGCTGTTTGATTAAGAGACCCAGCTCTCCTTCATCCTCTGCAGGGCGCTGGCATTTGCAGCTGATGGTTTTGGCCTTTACAGTCACAGACTTCTTCCCCTTTTTCTCCTTCTCCTCTTTCTTCTTCTTCTCCATCTCCTTCTTCTCCTTCTCCTTCTTCTTCTCCTCCTTCCCCTTCTCCTTCTCCTTCCCCTCATCTTCCACTGACGTCTCGCGGTTGCCTAGTTCCATGTTAGTTTCTAACTCTAATGGCTAATGGCTAACTTGATTTAGTTGTAGACCTACTTATATGATAATAGCAATGACTCCCCATGCTGTTATAGTGACAGCTAGCACATGCTTCGCAGCAGTGGCCGGAGAGGCCAACACAAGTTTTGAAAGGGCCTTCACCTCGGGCGCAGTGGGGGCAGAGAGGATTTGCAATCTGCCTTCACAACTGCAAAAGAACAGCCTTCTGATTGACAGAACAGCCCAGGTTAAGAGTCTTATCCTCACAGACATCAGACTCACAGTGCTATGACATGTTCATGAGAGCAGTCATCTCTTCTGTCAGCCTAGCTGGCAGGGTTTCTTTCAGAGCCGTCCAGCGTCCAGGGGCCTGTTCTGCAGTCACAGAAAAGGCAGCAGCAGCAGAGGCAGAGGCATAGAAAAAGATGAAGAAGGCAGAGAAGAAGAAGATGGAAGATGCAGAAAGAGGGTAAAATGAGTTAGCAGCAACAGCATTCTCCTCTGCAGTCATTTGAGCTTTGATTTAAGTGACAGCTGCTATGATATTTTGAGCTATTCTATTCATCAGTTTTCTAACACTCATCTAACAGATGAGTGTTTGCATCAAATCTGTCAATTTCAGAATGCCTCAGCTTTCTTCAATTTACAGAGATTTGTTTTCTTCATCCTGTCTTTGTTCTTTTCTTTGACCTTTGCAGCCGCAATCTCCACAGCATGGGCATAGAACTGATGTGTTCGACAAACTTCTTCAGAATTGATGGCTGTAAACATGTCTGATTCAGAGTTTGACTCTGTGATGAAAGAAGGCATGCTGCTGCTGCTGTTGATGTTGCTGTTATTGTTGCTGTTGTTGCTGCTGCTGCTGCTACTGCTGCTGCTGCTATGTGTTGTGTTGTGTGTGTGTTGTGTGTTGTGTGTGTTGTGTGTGTGTGTGTGTTGTTGTTGTAGTAGTTGTAGTTGTTGTTGTTGTTGTTGTTGTTGTAGTTGTTGTTGTGGAGGTGGTGTTATTTGACATTCTACGCCTATGCCTACTACTACTGCTATATTATATTTTTCAGGGGAGCAGGGGTGGGGGGGCGAGCAGAGGATAATTGGAATTATTCATTGACATGTAATTCACATCTTACTATTTATTCTATTCTATTGATACTATTGTTATGTGAAATACGGGCCGCAATTCACTATTTAAAGGTCATGTGACCATCTGTAAATATATCCACTGTCATGGATTTCCAGCTTTTAAACACTTCAACCCACTCAATTACTTTTTAATTATTCAAATATTGGCTGTGTATGGATCATCATCACTCTCCTGCATTGATTGAGACATTGTGGAAGCTTGGGAGAGCTGCGGAGGTTGTGAGAATGATGATGAAGAGGAATGAATAGGTAGATCAAAAGTAATGGCTGCAGGGAGTGCAAGAAATTGCAGATAATCAGTAGAAAGATCAATGAGTTCAAAAATGTTACTTATTTGTTGAGATTGACAACATTCTGCATTCAAACATCTTATTTTCATAGTCTGAAACTTCTTCTTACAAAAACAGATGTAATCAAATGCCTTCTCAAAGAGTAAACCTTTATAGAATTTGACCTGTGATACTGTTACATATGTCAACCCAGACGTGAAATCCTTCTTTGTAATGTTGAGAACAGCTTTGTCAAGTGAGAGACTCTGTGATTTATGAACAGTAATGGCATAAGCAATAGTAATTGAGAACTGAGTCCTGCTGCAGGTTATATTTATGTGAGCAAACTCATGTCAGAACTGAAATATTGGTATGAGTTTGCAGCCATTCTGTTCACAGTAAGCTGGGCCATCATATTTATCAAACTCTGCAAGAATTGCAAAGGGAGCCTCAGTTCAACAGTTAACAGTGGAAGATTGTCAAATGATGTTGTGAATAGTAGCAAGAGCCTCATTAACCAACTCATGCTCTGTTCAAATGTTGATTGTAAGTATGATGCAGCAATCTATGAACAGTGGAAGTATTTGATGAAGATTGCCTGCTTCATCAGAGTTTAACTCATCTGTTTTTGGATCATCATTGTCTGTTATAATATTTATGACAGGGTGATCTGAGTCGGAGATTGCCTGCATATTATATCCACGGACAGGTTCTTGTTTAATGTAGAGTCGAATGGCGTCTGTAAATTCATGAAATTGATGAGAAAGATTGGCTTGGATGCGGCCTGCAAGAAACTTCCAATCATTTACTGACACATTCTCTTCCCGAAGACTATATAGAACCATGCGAAATTGATTGGATTCTTGATCATTTCCTTCCTGCCGTCGGATAACCGTGAGCTGAATGGTTTGGTTGAACTTATAATAGAGGTTACAACTGTTAATCTCGTCCGGATTCTGAAGTTCTCCACTGTGAAAAAGTGGCTTTTGCAGAACAGGAGGCAGTTGATAAAAGTCATCTGAAAAAATGACACTGAGACCATCAAAAGAAAGATGATGATTGTGAGAATATATTGCTTTGCAGGTCTGGTCAATCCAGCTAAGTTGACATAGACCAATCATGAATTTCTCATCAATGATGAGATATTGAATGTTGCGCATGCCGGCCTGCATCGCCTGAAGAGTTTGAGGATTAAGCTCCTCATAACGAGAGGTTTGCTTAATAGGCAGGCGAAAGATGGAATGTAGAGTGCGATCACTAATTGTATGAGCTGCAACCCCTGTTGAAGCTGCGCGGAGAATTGGAGATGGGATATCATTTTCTGCAGCCATGTTTTGCAGGGTTACAGAGAGGACCGTAATAACAAATGTTTTGCCAGTTTCTGTCTTGCCATTCAAATTGATGAGCAGAGGGACTGAATTATCATCAGTTCTGATGTACTCATTGAAATGATTAACGACTGTATCAAACAGCAATCTCTGATCGTGCTCCAGGCTGTTGAGGGAGGCAGAGGATTGTAAATCAGTGTCAGCAGAGAACTCCTCTTTCATTTGATTTCAAAACTGTGAGTAAAGATCAGAATGAATGCCAATGTGCGAGGACCAGTTATATTCACAATCGATAGAGCGGTTGCCAATGAAACTGAGGTCATTCAACTCTGTAATGTTGTGGGGATCATCAGGAAGCAGGGCCGCAAGCTCATTAAATGAGTTTTGCAACTCATTCTTCTCAACATCAACATCCTCAAACTCAGACTCTGGCTCTGAAATGTCATTATCATAGACATCATTAGAATGAACATGAGCCTCTTTGCAGTAGTTGAATGCCTCTGCAAATGTATCAAAAGAAGAAGGTAGATCAAGAGTTTTGAGATCATCAACTTCATGAAAGGGATGATGTAAAAGTAGTTTCACCCGCCTGTAATCCTCTGCTTGAGATTGAGGTTTGTAAATAGGAAAGTATATTAATATTCGATAGTTTGCGCGGGTTCGTCTGTTGTATCGGTTGGGATGGTGGTTATACTCCTGCAAAAACTCAAAAAAGGTGAGATCTTCTAATTCCTTGGGCCGCTGTTTATATTTTTGCAGATATGATAGACCACGGGTGAGACCTTCTTCTTGAATTGTATATAACTGACGTTGCTGATCTTCAGAGCAACAATCAACATTAATAGCTACACAGAAACCAATCTGCAGAGGAAGATCAAAAAGCAGATGGCAAATTTTCTGTGAAGATCAATCTCTTTCTGCAATAAGGCAATTCATAAGCTTTGTAACTGTGGAAAGCAGGGGGCGATTCTGATTAGCAGTTCCAAGAACTCTTTTCAAAATATCATGATAGAACTCGGTTTCACTTTCACTCTTTGAGACATATTTGAACAGATAATCAAGTACAGCTTGCTATCAGTGCAGGGAGCGATGTCTGTATTGGCCAACCAGCTAATTGTAATCAAACAATTGTAGTTATTTAACAAACTGTCATTTCGACAGGGAAAGAGACGGTAATAGCTGCTGCCAGTAGGCTTTCGTAGAGTTGGTTCAGCTTGAGTAGGAATAGAATAGTGAAAGTGACACCGCTCTATGCCAGTACAGCGTTCCTTGCAGATGCAGTATTTAGCACTGCAATGATGGCGTTGAACTCGATTGAGCACTGAAGATAGATGGCCAAACGTATTTTGCTGATCAGAAGATGCCAAAGCAATTGCTGAACACTCATCTTCAGATCATAAATGACAGCCAGGTTCTGAGTTTTGCACAGAAATATGGATGCCCCAGTGGTCTGCAAAAGCCTGACACGCAGTTTCATCAAGCCTGCCAACCTCAGGGTTAATGCTGCCGTTGATTCAGTAGACACCATGACAGTGAGTGGAACTGCGACCCTGTCACTCGTAACGGTCCCACTCATCTACAATGTCAAATTTCTTGGTCAGGACTTCCTGTTTGAAGATAGTAAAACAGAGATGAAACCAATGAGCAACAATGGCAGGGTTGTCACAGATATTTTCGCGGACGATCTTAATCCGTTCGGAGCTAGTCCCGTTTTTCCAGTTTTCATAGTTGGGAAGTAGCCGCATGAGGTCGTCCCAATGGTAATCAGCAGCGGAGAGGGTAAGAAATAGATGAGGAGATTGCAAATTCTCAACATATTCCTGCAACTGTTGGCGTTTCATTGCTCAGAAAGGGCGGGTGCCATAAAGATTGGATGAGAAGTGAGTAATGGAGTTTAAAACTGCCTCTGATTCAGATGTGGTTTCTGTAAATGCGGCCCGTAGATCTTCAAAAGAGAGATCTTTGAGAATGGAGTCACTTTTTTGATATCAAAACCAACCACGAACTCCAACCTGTTTATGAAATAGAGTGTTAAAAACAACATAGTGAAAACGGGGGTGTCTGGCAAACTGTTGATCATGAAACTTAAGCAGAAATTTTATATATTCAGCGTATTGAATACTGCACTGGCGTGGAAGTGTAAACTCAGCTTTTCCATAGAGAAACAGACTTGGGAATGCTCAAGAGAGTAGAGAATAAGTGTTGTTGAACTCATCAAAAGAAGTGTTGCAGAAGGATGGCATTGTTAACTCATGTTGCAGAATTTGTGGCTGTTGCAGCTGTGGTTGCAGCTGCAGATCTGATTCAGAGTTTTGTGTCTGTTCAAATTCCTGGCGAAGCTGCTCCACTTCTTCATTGTGGGCAAGAAGATCAGGCACTGCTGCACATTCAGAGGAATTATCTATATCATCAGAGTTGATCTCTTTATTCAGCTGAGCATCTTCAATATCTTCAATCATTAACTGATCTGTAACATCCTCATTGACTGGTAATGCCTCTAGAGCCTCCTGGTTAATATCGATGTTGGCATAGCCAGGATGGTTAACTCGAAGAAAAGCTAGCCATTGTTTAACAACAGCCTTTTGGACAATGAAATCGCGACGGAATTGATGGGAGAGGCGGGGATCAGCAGACGTATTTGAGGGCCGCAAAACAATGATATCAAGGTCTTTGAGCAGCAGTGGAAGACTATTGTAAATGTGGCCAGTGTCTCGAAGGAAGTTGACAACATGACCCTTGTACTTGTATTGCTGGCCGCGAACCTGACGGATTTCCACAAACACATGAACCCGAACAATAAGCATTTCCTCAACCTGGCTTATAAAAGGAAGGTCGGGAACTTGATCAGAGTTCAGATTGTTATCTGTAGAAAAGAAAAACAATTCATCTGCTTGTCAATTTTTATCAACTGTAATACAGTGAGCACAGATGTTGTTTTTCAATTTCATGTTAAACCATTGACATTGACAGTGACTGCAGGTCTTCATAACCTCATCTTTGAGAGCTTGGTGAAAGTTTTGAATATATTGTCAGTCAGTTGATGTCAACACTGGGTCTTTGAGAAGAGTAGAGCTGTTAAGCACTAAAGAGGGGTCTGAGTCCACAAGATTCTCCATAGCAGATGAAGTGGGGAATTCCAAATGCAAATATGAACAGAGATCAGTATCAATTGATGAACCACTCATTAAGCTCTCTGAGTAACTGGGAGGTGCATGCTATTGAGAACTGAGTGGAATGAATGAGGAACTGAAAGGACTGGCTGAGTGATAGAACTGAGTCTGTAATGACACTTGAAAGGTGAAATCATCACTGAGCGGCAGAGGCGGGGCTGCAGTGGATGAGAAACATTCAGCTGTTTCATTGGCATTCTGTAGCTGTTTTTGAGCCCTGTGTAAGAATGATAATGTGGGCGTAGCAGATGGAATCTCATCATGATGCTGAGCTGCCTGATGACTCCGCTGGATTACACTCTGCTTTTTACAAGCTGCTGCAAGTGAAGGAGGGTCTGACATGTGTACTCCATGGTAACGGAAGTCAGGCGGCTTCAGTGGTTGAAAGGGGGCTTGCTGGCAGCTCAGAGAAGACCTGGTTGGCTGCAAATATCAAAGTGAAACTACTGAGTGTTGTTGCAAAGGTGGTGGGAGATGAAACTCCAGTTCTCTACTTGCAGAATCACTTTCTTGTGAAGAAGAAGGTTCAACAGAGCCACTGTCGCTTGGAATTTCAGATGGTTTTGAGGTCAGAAGTATTGAAGTTACTGATGTTTGCAGCCATTCTGCGGGCGTCCCAGAGGCAGTGTGAGGAGATTCTGAAAGAAGCTGAGCAGCACTGCTCGAGCATTTTAGAGTTCTAGAACCAGCAATATGACCACAGCAAGAGCTGCAGATTGCAACTGTAGTGATTGAAGAGTGTCTAGATATAAATTCCTCTAGAGGAAGAGAATTGCGGCAGGTGGAGCAGGTCTTGCTCTCCATTGCAGATTGCAGGCAGCAGACGTATTGAATCAGATAGAAGTGTAAACAGTTGAAAAGCTGGAAAAGGTCTTAAACAGATCAGATATTGATGTGCTGAGAAGGGTTGAGATACAGAACTGCAAGAGAGAGCTCTCTTGATATGATATAGAAATTTCAATGTCATAATAAAGTTGCTAATGTGATATACTGAAAGAACTGTATGAATCCAGAGCAGCATTCATAAAACAAAAACATTTGCATTCAGTCATTTGACTGTATGAACTGGGAAAAGCTGTATAACTATAGATTCCAATGCAAGATGAAAGAAACCTCTGTGAGTCATTCACAGACTCTTCTTTGAGAGCTGTAAGTCATGATTAGATTCATTATAATCCTTTGAAATGTAGCAAGCAGCAATAAAGAAGCTCAGATTGGCTATTTATACAGATGCAGTAAAAAGAGCCTTGAAATAGAATAGAATGAATGAAGCTGTAATTGCTTGTATTTTGCTCAGGCCTTTCTGTAATTGCTTGTTTATTTTGCTCAGGCCTTCCTAACGCGGGCGGCCCGTTGCTGCAACGGTTACGGGCGGTCACGTGGCATCACGTGAGTGTAACTTCTCATTGACCAATCAGAGCGCGAGAATGCTTTCCTAATCCGGATGACCGAAAGAGGAAATTTTCTGGCACGAAAAGCCTATATATATTGCTTCACTCGCTACGCTCGCTCCGCAAATAACATCTACCGTCAAACTGGTTAAGATAATTATCCATTACTTAAATATGAGCGGAAAACTGGGGCTCGAGGAGAGGTATTAGGGCTGGTTCAATGTTGCACCCCTTTAATCGGGGGTGTATCCTTTTTATTCAGGGTATTCATCGACCCACGGATTCGTAGGTTGAATGCTCTCAAATTATCAGCAGCCCCGCGTATCACGTTCTCCTGCAATGCTTTCAGATAAGAGATCATGCATGTCGAGTACGGGCAACATCGGCAACAAAACGGGTGTACCGTTGAAACATAGAGATTACCGTCCGGAAGATTTGCCATCAGCGGTGCGAACTGATTGTCGATATTCTACAGAGATTCGGATCATTTTTGCGAGTGCGTCTCCAGGTTTCAAAATTCGAGACGGCAATTGGTATTGCGAGGCGAACCACCTTTGTAGGCTTCCCAGGAGTCGGGCTTGGCTGGAGGCATGATGGGGTATACTGGAAAAAAAGATCACATACGTCCCTGTATAGATTGATTAAATATGTACTAATGTTAGGGCCTTCCAGCTGGCAGAATAGGCTATTGCCTGAGTTTCCATCAACAAACGTTATTGCAGCTTGAGACGGTTAGACAGGGAATAAGGGAAGTGTCAAACATATTCGCTTTACTGCAATTCCCTCATAGTGAATGATATAAGGAAATTATAGGACTCGCATCCGAGCCGCATCCGATCCGCATCCTTGAGCTGGGATTCACTTAGCCTATAAAATCTCTTTGGAAAACTGCAGGTTCATGGATTCACAAATCTCTGCCCACTTCAAGTTGTTGATCCACCAGAGCTTATGCATGTTGAATGATTCGGTTGGAGCTAGTTGGTCCTGTTACGGATGAGACATTCACATTATATCCCCATGCCAGAGCTCGCGCATTTTGGATATATTTTGGCAAGAAGTTAGAATGATTCAATCAGCAAATATCTCACATCTGACTGGGCAAAGTGCGGCAATCTTTATGCTTGATCAGGTCGCTTTGGCCATTCAGCCTTCCTTCTCTCAATGGTTAAGGAGCTGACAGTGCAGATCTTTAGGATACAACAAGGCCACGAAAAAGGCAGTGTATTTTTCTCGCCGATGTCTTTGGGTCTGATGCAATTGCAGAGCTTAATCTCATTGCACAGCCAAGTTGCCGAAGTTCGGAAAAGATGTTTGGTCCTGCTCACTGGAAACTGTGCAACCTATGGCAAAGTTAGGCCATTCATTCTGTCTGATTGGCCAACACTCTGAGTCCCCAAGAGAGGCATTGGGTCCCGAAGAACTCGATATATTAACTACGCCAAGTCATCTTAAAGTAACACTAGGTTCATGACACAGATATGAGAGCAAAACTCTGCATGAGCGCGTTTTCAACACTAAGATGCACATTTCAGGCGAGATGAATCCAGATACGCTAATGGCAATGAGCAATTTGGTGATGGTCCTGTTAGATCCTAGGCAAGGAGAACATGCACGTCGGATGGTGCATAAAGTGCACGCATCGCGTGAGGAAAGGGTTGGTAACGAACATCCGTACACCTTGTAATGCACTCTGTTACCTTACAAAGGCCCAAGTGGAGCTAGGAAACCTCGAGGAAGCGAAGGATAGGCTCGTGGGCGGTATCGCCGCTGCCAAACAAATGGCTTGGTGATGAGCATCTCGATGAAGCTCTGATGGGATGCACGGAGCTTGGACGGGTATACGCACGACAAGACCACGTATGCGAGGCTGAGGAACTCATTCTAGGCAAATTCCAAAGAATCAAAGAAACTGGCGGTAACGACCACTATGATTATTTGCGGGGTGTGGAAGCTCGGTTAGCCCCTTGAGCTCACTAGAGAAAAGCCGAATAGTAACTACATATCGATAGTATTCGAGGACACAGAAACACGCTAACACGCTTGGCCCAGCAAATCAAGCCACAGATAATTACTGAGGGGGCTTTTTGGCAGAACATGACAAGATCAATTGCAATTCTTTGCCCACGATCTCTATCCCCTCGTTTGGCCGCGAGGACACAATTAGCGTATTACTATTAGTGTAACAACTAAGCTGTTAGCTCTGAAGTACCAACCAATAATTTCTCATACTAAATTCTATGTAATCTGATTTGTTGATACCACTCCACTATCTCGCGTTTTCTGCTCTACGCGTTCTACAACCTTGGAATCTTCTCATCTTGATCCATATTCATATCCACCGTGGATGCGATCACCCCCTGGCCACCCTGCCCACCCTGCCCACCCTGGGATAGAAATATGACCTCTACAGGTGATTTCCAATTCTTCAATGCTTCTTTTAATCAGATTGACTGATTTATTTATTAGACAGTACAAAAACAGGTGTAAAGTGAAAGCGATCTGTCAGTGCACTTCTAGCAGACATTCCACCTCTGAAGAGTATTAGATTCAAATCCATGGAATCTCCTCATCGCTCTCCAACTGCCAATCTGCCCAATATTGATCCAAGAATCCATACACCCTATTCTCTCTCTATATCTCAGAGTCTGATATTCAGAATATTGCCTGTTCCACCAATGCCTACGCAGAGATACAGATATCAAGGAATTCAGCCATCAATCCACGGGAATGGCAGCCAACTACTTCTACAGAAATCAAGGTATTTCTTGGGCAGATTATCTATATGGGAGTACATAGATCTCCGGCAATTGGAGATTATTGGAACAGGAATGATGTTCAGGGGCCAGTTCATTCATCAAGACTTCATATGGGACAAAAGCGATTCGAGCAGATCAAGAGATATATTCATATATCCAACCCTCGCAGGCCGGAATCCTCCTCCTTTATACAGAAGCTAGAGCCTTTATACTCCAACTTCCATGCAGCATGCCGGAAATACTACAACCCAGGTTCAAATCTCTCCATTGATGAGATGATGATTCGGTTCTTTGGACGGTCCAAATACACAGTTAAGATGCCTCAGAAACCAATCAAGCAGGGATATAAGGTCTTTGGACTAGGAGAACAGGGCTATCTTTGGACTTTCTCCATGTCTAATGATAATCTCCGCATAAGTACGATGTTCCGTACTCCAGGATTAACCAAGACTGGATCTCTTGTGTGGAATTGATTGAACGGTTGCCAGTATTTATACAGAGCTCCGCGGCTCCTGCAGCTCAGAGCTCCGCGGCTCTGAGCTCTCTACAGCACTCTGAGCAGCATCTAGAGTTGAATAACAGCAAAGAGGTTGCTGGCTACTCAATTTACATGGACAACTACTTCACCTCTGTTGCTCTATTCCATTATCTTCGAAAGCAAGGAATTGGAGCTTGTGGAACCACCCGTCCTGCCAATCTGCCTCCTCTTCTACAAGAACTAAAGAACTCCGGACTATCCGCTCATATTCCCTTCAATACTCTGTGTATATTACCTCAAAATGAGGTTCTCTGTCTTGGATGGAAAGACAATAATATAGTATTACTACTGTCTACAATTCATATGCCAGACAGCTTTGTTGAACGTGTCAGGAAGCGCCCAGGATTGAACTCAACTAATGGCCCTCAGATCCGGAGGATATTTGGAGACAATTGGCAAAAAGCAGTGGAGATTCCTACCATCATTGATGATTACAATCATAATATGAATGGGATTGACCTAGCAAATCAGTATAGAGCATCCTATGAGACTCATATGCCCACTAATCGCACCTGGTTGACAATTCTGTACTGGATTATTGATCATGCCATTGTCAATGCTTATATTCTTCATCGACTGGCTACTACTGGCACTACTGGCACTACTGACACTACTATATCTCACGTTGAATTCCGCCGGCAGCTCTATATTCAACTCCTAGAATTCTCAAATCCTCTACCTACTACTCGATCAAATCCGGATCTAAATCACCAGCGAATTTCTCTGCCATCTTCTCAAACTTGTGCCTGGTGTCAGTATAAAAGAAAGAGAGAAGAAGGGAATAAAGGAAGAGCTCCAAGATCAAGATATGGTTGTGCAGCATGTAACAATATTGCTCTCTGTTTGAAGAGAGGATGTTGGAAGGAGTTCCATTCCAATGATATTAATTAGGGCTACATCAATAGATTACATAAATTACACTAAAACACGCCAATACGGCCGATCTCTCATATAATCCAGTAGTTTTCGCGTATTTAATACGCTAATGTACACGCTAAAAAATACGCTAATTGTGTCCTCGCGGCCAGACGAGGGGATAGTACTCGTATTAAGGGCCTGTTCGGTGACCCCGTCCAGGGCCGTATCCCCTCGTCCGTAGGTTTGTGCAAAATTAGCGTGGTTTCATTAGTGTATATTATACGAGATCTCATTGAATAATCAATGTATTTTTGAGTATTCATTGGTATTAGTGTAATATATAAACCCTAATTAAGGATCCGCGTAAATAGATATTAGGATATACTATGAAATTCCGCCCAACATTGAGTTTTCAAACATAAAAGGGTATTTTGACACTCTGAACAGTCAGAATTTGATCTCCCTATCTTTTTATATTTCTGCTGGCCAATCTTTCATTTATATTGACACCAGGCACAAACACGCTGCTTTGGAAGAGAAATCCGTTGATGATTTAGATTAGAATTTGATCATTCCCTTGATAGATTATCATGAATCCTAGATGTGAATTCAAAGAGTTCCTGGTAAAGCTTCTCATGAAAGCTTATATGAGAAGAAAGATCCTTCACTGAAATCCTCTGCTGCTTCATATATAGATATTGAAGCTGGTATGCATTAATAGCTGCGGAATCAATAAGTCAGTAGAGAATAGAAAGCCAGGTGTGATAGATGACTCTATGACTAGTATATGCTGCTCAGTATTGATTTGCTAGATCTACCCCATTCATATGATGATTATAATCATCTATAATCAATGGGATTTTCAGCTTCTTTTGTGATTGACCTTTAAAGACTTTTCTAACAATATTGACATTGATTGAGAGTTCCCCTGAGCATTTACAAGTACATTCAATAACTGCGTCCAATGAATGAATCGTAGTTAGTGCCAATACCATATTATTATCTTGCCAGGCAAGACAGAGAACATTCTCTTTTTCAATGACATGCAGAGTATTTCAGAGTATGGAATTTGAATGCTCTCAAAGCTCATCTAGTACTGCTGGAACCTGGTTTGAATGAGTGGTTCCACATGCTCCATACTCCTGTTGACGTAGTTCTTTGAATAAAGGAACTGATGTAAAGTAGTTATCCATATAAATTGAATAGGATGTGACCAGCTGTGAGATAGAGATTTCATTAGATGTGGCATTCGGTGTAGCATTCGGGGGGGTGATATTCGGGTTGATATTAGGGCCAATATTATGGGTGATATTAGAGTCGATATTAGGGGTGGCATTCGGCATGGTATTCGGTGTATTCGGTGTGGATACCATAGAAAGCCGCTTCACCAGATTCACCACCATAGATCTGGTTTTTGTTAACATAGAGAATTGAAACATAGACATTATACCCTGCCAGCAGCTAGATCAGGAAAAAGATCATAAATAGTCATGTTCTGCTAGGCCAAATATCTTATATCCTCAAGGAATTGGTTTATTAGACATCTTGTATGTATGTTGACTCCATCCAAAATATTTAACCATAATCTCATCAATGGAAATCTTAGATTCAGGGGTATAGTATTTTCAGCATGCCATATGAAACTTAGTAGCTAATGACTCTATCTTATACCATCAATTCTTATTTTTGACCTCCGGGCGGCGGGCCTCATGAAGGTTAGATATATGGATATATCATTTAATCTGTTCAAAACGCATATGGGTCATATAGAATTGAATGGAATGAATAGAGTCTTGTTTCAGATCATTCTGCCAGTATAGATCAATTCAATGGAATTTATGAACTTTCATATAAAGAAGAATGCTTATAAAGACCTTTATCTCTGCTGAATTGATATTTTTCCATGAACATTGCTGAATAGAAAGCTTTGAGAAGATAGATATTTCAGAAATCTCTATATCTATATCTTGAGCTTTCTCATTCTTTTTCATTTCTGAAAGCTCTGAAGCTTCATCATCAGTATCTCTAGTATCTCTCTTTAATTTTGCATAGAGATTAGTAGAATTACTGATATTTTAAAAGCATTTCTCAGAGAAGAATAAAATAAACAAAATGTATGAACTGCTAATATTGATATTTGCAGAAATATTGAAAATTGAATCTCATGAGATAGGCAATATTGAGTGGAATTTCACTGATTCTAGAGGTAGAAGTTCTGCAATAACCTCCTCAACAGACTGTTTTCATTTTCGTGATGTTTTTGTATGAACTAGAGAATGAATTAGTTAGCTAGGTCATTTGAATTGATTAATATAAGGAACTCACCATTGGATTTAGTAGGTTTCTCAGTGGATTCCACATTCGCAGGTTTGGGGGGTTCCATATTCACGGGTAGGGGGATAGGTGGGAGAATATATGAGAATCAGGCAGGCAGGCAGACAGGCAGGGCTTCAAACATGTTGAATTCCATACACATTCTTAAGATCTACATGAGATCTTCAATCAGTGGATCTAAATGACCAATTATTATTCATATAAAATTATATAGGATTCTATTGGTTATGCCCAGGGCGCCGGTGCAGAATTCCATACACTAATTGAAACCACGCTAATTTTGCACAAACCTACGGACGAGGGGATAAGTCCGTACAGTGCCAGGTATACGGACTTATACAGCTCTGTACGCGCTAATCTGGCCGAAAAAGGCCTGCTGTTCGGTAGATTTTGCGTATAACCCTGTATAACTCACCAAGAGTGCCAAGCTGGCTTCAAAATCCACTTTATAGAGTTCAACGGTGTAATTAGTTGAAAAAGTGGCGAATTTAAACCTAATCAAGTTAAATCTGTACTGTATACGCTGGAACAAGTCGTGATTTGTGCTGACTCGATCCAGCGCTGGCCGGCTTGGAACCTGCAAATATCATCAAAAATCAAGGATCATGGCGAGCAACAGTGACAATGCAACTCAGGAGGCAATACGACAGTATCTATGTTGTAGACAACAATTAATCAGGCTTGCTGCTGCAGAAGTGATTCATCGGAGCATCTCAACTGTCTCACCTGGCATACGATCCATGTATTCTGATCCATTTCGTGGATTTCAATTTACCACTCAGTTGTTGGATCCTACCTCCCACCCACTGCGTATTAAGAATATGACACGGATGAGTGCCAGTACGTTCATTGCACTGGTTGATTGGCTGAGAAGTAATACCGATATTCGCGAATCCGAACCAATACATGCCATAAAGATTGAGCAGAAGGTTCTCATATTCTTGTATATTACGACACAGGGGTGAGCTATTAGAACACTGCAGAGATGTTTCATCATTCATTAGACACAATATCCTAGTAAGTACAAATGATAGAATACTCACCAAATTGATGTTATACTAATAACTTGTATAGAGTCTTTCATGAGGTTTTGGAATCGCTCTGCGTACTCTATGAGCATTATGTCAAGATGCCCGAATCCCCAATGTGTGGAAGGTGTAAAGCTTGATTGATTAATTGCTAGCTAAGCGGACCATTTTATATAGGGTAAGATCGTTACACGAGACACGTGGTTGTCTCACACAATGGAATATAGCAAGAAAGCTCTTGGTTCAAATCCACGATATTGGCCTTTCTTCAAAGAATGTATTGGAGCTCTAGATGGGACTCATTTATCTATTTCTATTCCTTTGAATCAGCAATCTGTATGGCGAAATTGAAAGGGATGGATATCTCAAAATGTCCTCGCTGCCTGTGATCACGATATGAACTTCGTATATATCTACCCTGGAATGGAAGGATCTTCTCATGATAGTAGAGTTCTTTCACAGGCGCAGGAAAGGGATCAATTTGGAACCACATTATCTGACTGCTACTTTTTAGCAGATGCTGGCTATTCGCAGAAATCCAGCTTGATGTTGGTTCCATATTCAGGAGTTCGATATCATCTAAAGGAATGGGAAAAAGCGAATTCTCAACCTGTCAATGCTTCAGAGCTATATAATCTTCGCCATGCGAGCTTGCAAGGTGTAATTGAGCGTGTGTTTGGGGTGTTTAAACGGCGATTTCAAATCTATGATCGATGTCGAGATGGATTCTCTATAACAACTCAAATTGACCTGGTTTTTGCGTTAGCAGCGGTTCATAACTTCATGAATCACTATAAGGAAATGGATGAGCTTACTCAATATGATGAGAATTCTGATATTGAGGAGGAAAGAAGAGAAACGGTTCCTGCAGATGTTCAAGAGAATGGTGATGAAATAATGAAAAAACGGGATGATATTGCTAAGCAGATGTGGAAGCAGTATAAGGAATATCTGAATGGGAATCATAATTACAATTAAGCGAGCTAGCTAGTCTCAATAAAGCAATCAAGTAGATTGAGTACTTTCCACAGCAATATTGATATTTCAAACATCTTCTCACTTTCATTGCAGTAATATATGTATTTTATCAGTGTATTTGATGGTATATAATATATGCTGTAATTTATCAACCAATAGAACTAACATATTTACCTAACCTTCTCATACAAAAAGTGGTGATGTTTTATAACCATGTTATTCAATGTAAATACTGTTATTTTGGTAATTTATCAAAGAAACCTCTCCATTCATTCTTTATTTCATATTGATATTGTAGATACAAAGAAGCCTTCACTATTATTTTTTGCCACTAATCCCACAACTACTTCTGCTACTAATTCTACAACTACTTCTGCCACTACTTCTGCCATCATTTCTTCTTCATCTTACTACTTCTATTACTGCTCTTCTGAATCAAATAGAGTCAGTATAAAGCTTCGCCGATCCTCTATTGACCCTGCACTATAACCAAGATAGAGACCTGATATATTTGGATCTCGAAAAAGCAATGGTATCTTGCTATATCGTGAATAAGGAATTCGACCATCAACCTTCCAATCCTCTGGAAGCAAATCCTGAACCTCACTTAAAAATAGCCTGGTTGCTCGCTCGATATCTCCTGGCTGCTCAACTCTTAATTTGGCTGTTGCAGATTCTTTTATAACTTCTCTCAGAGCATCAATACTGTCCCCAAATTTTCTTTTGAGTGGTCGATTTCGAGTGCTTGATTCAGTTGACATTCTCGCAGGTGATTGAGATGAGCTAGCAGAGTTTTGATAAGCTGCTCCAAGAGATTCTACAACAGGTGTGGGTGTCAAGAAAGATGTGGATGTGAATGTCAATTCCTCCTCTGTTCCAACATCACTAGTATTTTCACTCATCATCTCTTCTCTTCTTCTTTGCTGACGAGCGTGATATCCTATAGCATAATCACCTGTTGCCAATCGACCATCAAGCAGTTCCCCGGTGAGTTCTGGATACACAGGTCCTCGATGTTGAAATTGTCGCATTTCCGGATGTTGATTGAAATACACGCTGGTAACCTCAATATCATTGACAAATGTCATTTTTTCTTGACAGAATGACCACCCAGATATCTGCTGTTGATGCTTATGCCACAACTTCCAAATCGTTTTAATCTTCCGCCATCGATTCTCACATATATCTTTGGTAATAGATTGATGTGTATGCTGACTGACAGCATCAACAATTGAAGGCCAAACAACACTTTTGTAATTGCCGTTGTCTGTCTCCAAACCTCGTTTTTTGGCATCAATGAAGGTATTGAGCATGGCCAGCTCCATGTCAGGGGTCCAATCAGTTCGAACTCGAGGGCCTCGCCGGGCTCGCTGGGTATCTCCTCGTGGTTAGGTTTTGCCCCAATTAGCGTGGTTTCATTTAGTGTATGGAATTTTGCACCGGCGCCTTTTTATAACCAATAGAATGCCATATAATTTTATATGAACAGTAATTGGTCATTTAAATCCACTGATTGGCGATTCCATGCCAAGCTTGAAAACGTGTATGGAATTCAACACATTTGAACTCTACTCTCTGCCTGCCTGCCTGCCTGCATATTTTCTCCATCATGGAATCCATCCACCCACCCGCGAACATGGAATCCACTGAGAAAACTGCCAAATCCAATGGTAATTTTCTTATATTAATCAATTTTTATGATCTAGTTAACTAATCAATTCTCTAGACTGTACAAAAACATCTAGAAAATGAAAATGAGCTGTTGAGAAGATCATAGCAGAGCTTTCACCTCTGAAGTCAGTGAAGTTCCTTCCAATGCAGCCTGCTTTGTGAGATTCAATTCTCAATATTCCTGTGAATATCAATATTAGCAGTTTCTACACTCTATTTACTCTATTCTTATCTGAGAAATGCTTTCAAAATATCAGTGATTCCATCAATCTCTATGCAAAACTAAAGAGAGATGCTGGAGATACTGATGATGAAACTTCAGAGCTCTCAGAAATGAAGAAGAAGAAGAAGAAGAAAAAGAATAAAAAAGAAAAAAATTCAGAGAGCTCTATATCTTTCAGTTTCTCTATTCAGCAACAATTATGAAAAAAAATCAATTCAGCAAAAATAAAGATGTTTATAGACATTCTTTTCTATATGAGAGTTCATAAATCTTAATAAACTGATCTATACTGATGGAATGATCTGAAACAGAGTTCTATTCATTCCATTCAATTCTATATGAGCCGTACGTGATTTAAGCAGTTTAAATGATATATTCATATATCTAACCCCTGTGAAGCCCGCCGGCCTGAAGCCTGAAATAAGGATTGATGGTATAAGGTAGAGCCATTGGCCACTGAATTCCATATGGCATGCTGAAAATACTACACACCTGGCTCAAAGGTTTCCATTGATGAGATCATGATTAAATGCTTTGAATGGAGTCAACACACATACAAGATGTCTAATAAACCAATTCCTCAGGGATATAAGATATTTGGCCTGGCAGAACATGGCTATTTATGGTCTTTTTCATGGTCAAGCCGCCGGCAGAGTATAATGCCTATGTTTCAATTCCCAGGATTAACAAAGACGGGATCTATGGTGGTGAATCTGGCGAACCGGCTTCCTATGATAGCTATATCCACACCGAATGCCACGCCGAATGCCACGCCGAATGCCACGCCGAATGCCACGCTGAATGCCACACCGAATGCCACACCGAATGCCATGCTGAATGCTGCTGAGAATGAAATCTCTATCTCACAGCAGATATCTTTCTATTCAATTTATATGAATAACTACTTTACCTCTGTTCCTCTATTCAAAGAACTGCGCCAACAGGGATATGGAGCATGTGGAACTACCCGCTTTAACCAGATGCCAGCTATACTAAGTGAACTTCATGAGCATTCAACTTCAAAATCAATTCCCTGGAATACTATGCATGTCATTGAAAAAGAGAATGTTCTCTGTCTTGCCTGGCAAGATAATAATATGGTATTAGCACTGACTACGGTTCATCAATTGAACACTGTCATTGAACGGGTACATAAACGGCCAGGAGAACTCTCAACCAACATCAATATTGTTTGAAAAGTCTTTGAAGAACAATCACAGAAGAAGCTGAAAATCCCAGTCATTATAGATGACTATAATCATCATATGAATGGGGTGGACCTAGCAAATCAGTACCAGGCAGCATATACTAGCCATAGGGTCATCTATCAAACATGGCTTTCTATTTTCTACTGGCTTATTGACACTGCGGCTGTTAATGCATACCCGCTTCAGTATATATATATGAAGCAGCAGGGGGTTCCTGCTAAGAATCTGTCTTCTCATATAAGCTTTCATGAAAAGCTCTACCAGGAACTCTTTGAGTTCTCACCTAAGATTCATGATGATTTACCACCTCAACGATCGAATCCTAATCTAAATCATCAATGAATTTCATTGCCAGCTCGCGCAGTTTGTGCCTGATGTAGGTATAAAAGCAAGCTAGGCCAGCAGAATGCTGGATGAACTGGCAAATCATATTCTGATTGTTCAGCATGTCAAACACCTCTCTGTTTGAAAACTTGATGTTGGGAGGAATTCCATGAGATGGCTTGATAGGGTAATTACGACGCGAATCCTTAATTAGGGCTTTTTTAAATACAATAATACTGACTAATACCAAAATTACCTTAACCGGTCAATAATATGCCGTATAATTTGCGGAGCGAGCGTAGCGAGTGAAGCAATATATATAGGCTTTTCGTGCCAGAAAATTTCCTCTTTCGGTCATCCGGATTAGGAAAGCATTCCCGCGCTCTGATTGGCTGAATCCCTGCGCTCTGATTGATCAATGAGAAGTTACGCTCACGTGATGCTACGTGACCACCCGCGTTGCTGCAACGGCCCGTATAGAAAGGCCTGAGCAAAATAAACAAGCAATTACAGCTTCATTCATTCTATTCTATTTCAAGGCTCTTTTTACTGCATTTGTATAAATAGTCAATCTGAGCTTCCACACATCAGACCCTTCTTCACTTGCAACAGCTTATAAAAAGCAAAGTATAATTCAGCAGAATCATTGAACAAATTCAATATTATGATAAGATTTTATCTGCTATACTCATATTGTCATTCTTATATAGAGCTCAAGAACAGCTACAGAATGTTAATGAAACAATTAAATGTTTCTCATTCACTACAGCCTCATCTCTGCTGCTCAGTGATGATTTCATCTTTCAAGTATCATTACAGATTCAATTTTATCATTCAATTAATTCTTTCAATTTCTCATTCATTCCACTTAGTTCTCAATGACATACATCTTTCAGTTATTCAGAGAGTTTAATAAATGATTCATCAATTGATACTGATCTCTGTTCATATTTGTATTTGAAATTCCCCACTTCATTTACTATAAAGAATCTTGCAGACTCAGATCTCTCTTTAATGTTTAACAGCTTTACTCTTCTCAAAGACTTAGTGTTGACATCAACTGACTGATAATATATTCAAAACTTTCATAAAGCTTTCAAAAATAAGGTTATGAGGATGTGCAATCATTATCAATGTTAATGATTTAACATGAAATTGAAAAACAACATCTGCACTCATTATATTACAATTGATAAAAATCAATAAATAAATAAATTTTTTTTTTTTTTTTTTTTTTTTTTTTTTTTTTTTTTTTTTTTTTTTTTTTTTTTCGCAGATAACAATCTAAACTCCGATCAAGTTTTCAATCTTTCTTCTATAAATCAGATTGAGGAAATGCTTATTACTCAAATTCATGTGTTTGTGAAAATCTGTCAGATTCACAGCCAGTAATATAAATATAAAAGTTATATTGTCAACTTCTTTTAAAACACTAACTGTGTTTACAATAGTCTTTCACTGCTGTTTAAAGATTTTGATATCATTGTTTTGCAGCTTTCAAATACATCTGCTGATCTCCACCTCTTCCATCAATTCTGTCATAATTTCACTTTTCAAAAAACTGTTGTTAAATAATGATTATGTGAGGGGTGATGACAGTATGAAGAGTGAATAGTAGAAGATAGTATATAATATAGTAGAAGATAATAATAATTATAGTAGTAATAGTAGTAATGTAGTTGAAGTTGTAGCTAATCGCTGAAGAGGAAAAGAAAGAGAAAGAAGATGTGCGAAATACATACATCTATATATATATATACATATAGAAATAGTGGTAGCGAGAGTATAATGGAAAGAGGTAAGAATAGACGAAGATATAAACAAAGATAATATAATAATAAGGAAATAATAAACAAGTGCATTACAGATTAGCTTTTCTTTGAGTTAACCATTTTGACTATACCAACATCAATATTAATCAGAAAGCTTTAAAGGCATTATCAGTTAATGAAAATGTTACAGATCAGTTAATGATTAAAGATATTGAAAATACTCAATTGAATAAAGAAATCAACTTTGATGATATAGATAATTTCTCTGAATGTATAGCAGTGTCTAATCTTCTTGCCTGCAATGAAAAAGTGAAGCAGCTTCATCAGAAATTTGAACAAACACAAAACTCTGAATCAGATCTGCAGCTGCAATCACAGCTGCAACAGCCACAAATTCTGCAACATGAATTAACAATGCCATTCTTCCACAACACTTAGAGCTTCATATCATAGAGGTGAGGTTGGAGGTGATGTTTATGAGTGTTATTTACAGCTGCCTTTCTAATTGGGACTAGCTCCGCAATAATTTAGCACACTGCAGCTCGTGTGCTACAATGTATTTTATACACTAATTGAAACCACGCTAATTGGGGCAAAACCTAACCACGAGGAGATAGGGTGGGGAGGCTCGCTGCGTGGCTCGGGTGGCTAGCGTTGGGGATTCAGGCCGCTGGCTCTCGCTTATCAAGGGTTCATCAAGGTATTGTGATGTCGGATCAATCTGAGACTCGTCAAGATCCATTTTTCACTGATATTTGGTGTGAGAAAGTAGTAATATAACGGGATTTTCAACTGCAACGCGTCCGCTGGAATCGCACGATAATCATCATGATAAAAACCGCTCGTAAGTAATAAAAGTAATGCCAGAACGCCAAGCAGATTAATATTCATATAGGGAAAGGCGGCAATAATGAAGGTTTACGCCGTCAAAAGGCAAATATCCACTTTCTGTACGGCCCTGGCACTGTACGGACAAAATCACCGAACAGGCCCTAAGTTTCTTTCAAATGTTGTTGATTTCCTCAATTGTAAACTAACTTGTCTATTTTCAGATTAATGTAATGCTGCTTCGGTTTTTCAGGGGTGATACAGTGCCTCGCAATAAGTTTGAAACTATTGTGACTTCTCATCAAAATCCACTAGTCCAAAAGTAGTTTAGTAGTTGCATTGTTTATTGCAGAACTAGCTCTAATTAATTAAATTACATCTGGAAATCAAGGATTTCTGTGAGGAAGAATATAGAAAAAATGAATGAGAGAATAGAGAATGGTGTAGATGAGTGGAAAAATAGGGGTAAATGGATGCATTTGAATATCATATGACACTATAACTACAACTAATTACTACAAATTAAACTTCTTTTGGACTAGTGGATTTCGGTGAGAAGTCACAATATCTTAAAGCAGCAGCTCCTCTGGTCGATCAAGGGCTAGCGGTAATTTCCATATCAAAGTGCCTCAAAGTGTGTCAAAGCGCCTCAGAGCGGCTTGCAGTCTTCTATTTCGCCATTGCTACAGTTGCTGTTCTTGAGCCATTCATTTTCAACATTGTTTGTTTTTTTCTTTTTGGGAGGAAATACCCGCAGTTGACCTTCCTAGTCACCCATATGACTTCACGTCAGTAACCACTAACCTTTATATACCTACGTTCATTATTTACACATCTAGACATTCGACTTGAAGTAGCTATTCCACTACTCCGTACATGACCGTCGAATAGACCCCGATTTGTCTGAACACCTCAAAATACCAAATGGCATATGAATTAAAATCCAAAGGCAATGAGCGTTTCAAGGATGGTGACTTCGCCGGGGCTGAGGACTTTTACTCCCAAGCGTATGTTTACTTCCGTTTGTCCACCAGCATCTAGCGGGGCATTTAGATGCACTACATCTATTTACTCCTACTGGAGGTTATATATTAATTCTAAATCAACCGGTGCATCTTTTTGTAGCATCCAGAAAAACCCCAACGATCCTTCTTTCTTCAATAACCGCGCCCTTGTTCGAATCAAGCTCGAGCAGTGGGAGGGCGCCGAACACGATGCGCGCATCGCCATAGATCTCTTCGGCCCAAAGAACTCCACGGCTATCAAATCAAACTACTACCTCTCCCAAGCCCTTCTCGGACTGCAGCGACCAGCTGAAGCACTCGACGTGGCCTTAGCAGCGTACAAAGCGAGCATAGAAACCAAGAACCCCAATGCGGAACCATTGTCGAGGGTCATACTGCGCGCCAAGCAAGCTATATGGGCGGCAAGCGAGACGACGCGATTGCGGAATCAAGATGAGACGCTGAGGAAATGGGAGGAGCTGCTTCAAGCGGATTATGAAAAGGAGCTAAGTGAATTGCGCGCAAGCTTAGCGGTGGGTGAGATTGGACAGATTGGATTTGAAGAGGATAAGAAGGATTTGTTGGACGAGATGCAGAGGAGGTTGGGTATTATGAGGAATATGTTTGCTGCTTCGAAGGGCGCAGATATGAAAGAACGGGTCTGTATATCCTCCTCCCCTTCCCCTCGCAGTTGCCTATATCCAATTGCGGATTCCGCATGTCCATTTCAAACTCAGTACTTAGACCAATTTCACCATCCCAGGTCGTCCCTGATTATCTCATAGACAGCATCTCCTTTGAGATAATGCATGATCCTGTCGTCACCCCATCGGGCCACTCTTTCGAACGCACCAGCCTCCTAAAACATATGCAACACTCCCCCTTCGACCCCATTACCCGTGTACCCATGACTATCCACGATATTCGCCCAAACTATGCCCTAAAAGCAGCTTGTGATGATTTCTTAACCAAAAACGGCTGGGCCGTTGATTGGTGAGCGTGACTCACGTTGAAATGCATTTTCCTCTTTTTCCTTTTGCTTTTCGTTTTTAATTGCATGATATCATATTCTTTAACATTTATATGATACATAGACCCGCTTCCTTTCTTATTCTCTTTTGCGGTAAAAGTCCAAGTATGGGGGATCCCTCTTTTCGGATTCATGCATCACCCTTGCTGATCGTCGATTTTTACCACGTCAAGCGTTTACTCTTTTATTCCTAAATTTAAACATCTTTTACTTTATTTTGTTTCCTTCCTATATGCTTCATGCTCTACGAATTTAGCCATCCTCCTGGTTTTTCCTTTATTTATTTTTGGCAAAAGTCTGCTTGCTCTGTATCCTGCAAGCGTTTTTATCCATCGTTCGTTGTATAATGATCCACTTTGTTTAGATATTCCTATAGTGCGCGGCGTTTCAGCTACAACCTCCCAGACATCCTGTCCTTTTCTTTTCTGATTCTACTTCTCATGGATTATGAAATAAAGGTACCTAAATTCCTTGTGCCTGGTTGTAGTTACGACTTGAACATTCCCCTTTTTATTTGATTTTGACCCTCAAATTGACTGGGGGAAAAATAATAATAAATAGATCTGATCCTGTCCAAAAACCAGACGATTCTTATAGCTTGAAGGGCGGCGTGGAACTGAAGTTCATGCACATGCTAGAAGTATAGAATACCTCACCTCATCATCAGGAAATCTCCACTCTCTGATGCCTGAATGAATGTGGCTGCTCTTCCACCCCGCTCCCAAGTGGCTCAGCCTGCAGTTATAGCTGCTTACTCAGCTCAGTTCCCCGCTCATTGGGACCCCGCTAAAAAGTCTCCAACATGCTTGATGTTGAAGTTGCTTTTACTTGTCTTAATTTCAAATTATTAAATATCTGGGAATTTCTTATTCTGGCCTTTAATTCTTTTTCTCCAGGAACCCGCTAGCCGTGAGTGTCTCCTAAAATTGCTACAATTCATTCCGCATCCTTGAGTTTTCCATGCACGTTTTGTCAGCAGCATTGTGCTGTATTTCATGGATTGTGGATGCATGCTGCACCACTAGATAAAGTACGGAAGTTAACACAACCTCTTAACACAGAAAATCACAACATATTGCTTCTTTGCCTTGCACTTCGAAAGAAATCTTACAACCAACAGCAGAGCGGATTTCTCCTTTCTCCTTTCCCCTTACCACGGCTTCCAAAAAACCTATTCCTCCCGCGCCGTAATACCACTTAGTCAGTAAAGATAATGCCCGTTCCAAAGACTCCCGAGTTCGAAGCCGCTGTCGTGGCGAGCCGGAAACTGGCTTCTAAGCCTAGTGATGATGAATTGTTGGAGGTTCGTTTTATCAATCCGCGAGGTTGCGAATTCTGGCTTTGTTTGATCGAGAGCAGTCTCTGCCGGGGGGATGAGGGATGAAAAGAGAAAGTAGAGCAAGAGGTGGAGTGCAAGATAATAAGCGCGTCAGTATTTTGGCTAACTTCAAGTGACATCGAATTTTTATATAGCTGTATGCGCTGTTTAAACAAGGAACCCAGGATCCTCCCTTCGAGGAAGCTCCCAAGCCTGGAACTTTTGACTTTAAGGTATGGAAATCGATGGCTCTAGAATATCTTATCACATATATACACGTTCCTTGCTCTGCCCAAGACCAAAAGAAGAGAATGCGCTAACGGATCATTTTACTCAACCGCCTTTTCACGTCCCTCAGGGTAAATACAAGCACAGCTCATGGAAAAAACTCGTTGACGAGGGCCTCTCCCCCGAAGATGCGCAAATAAAATACGTTGAGCTCATCGAGAAGCTCAAAGAGAAGTACGGATACGATGAAGGGAAGGAGCCGGAGCAAGTTGGAGGGAAATAGAAGAGTATAAACTAGAAATAGACTGGATGTTTGCTAGCATCTTGCGGGCGCTCCTGAGAAGAGCCAGACTGAACTACCTAGTAGATCATTTAAGACGATATGAGGTAGGCTAGATGGGTTTCTGACATGCGGAATGTGTGCCGGCAGTCATTTTCTACGTGAATTGAAGTTAAACAACTAAACTTCCTAGCCCCTGCCCTTGTTTTATTTATTAGTAAAGGCATTGGCCACCGTTCTCAATGATGGGATTTCAATCTATATTCGTTGCCAGTTCATTCCCCACCACCCCGGCCTACAATCGATCACTCATGACAATCCCAACATTCCCTAGGAGTAATAAAAATAACATAGAATCTTGGAAGTGCGATCTGATAAATGGATTTTATTTTCTGGTATAAATATATACTGCCCTAAATTTGGCTAATTGGGTGTTAGTTATGATGTACTCCGTATTGAATCATGGATTTGGTAGGTTCTATTAGCAAGAATTCTGTAGCAACTTGAAACCCGGAACGTCTCACTATATGAAACTGAGCAATGCCCCACTGAATCTTAGCACTACCTTGCTCATATAAGCAAGCATACTTTTCCTTAACTATAAATATGGCCTTTATTGCAGTTAGAATAAGCAATTCAATTTATCTTATCGATATTCAGTATTTGGGACAATATTCGGACTTATTTAGTTCCGACAGTTATGAGCCCGGGTTAGCTACCTATCACTATCTATTCAACTATATTGATATCTATCCATACCGACCTCCTTATCGGCAAAGATATCTATTTGATTATATCCATCTATCCGATCTCACCGACCTCCTCATCGGCGACGATTGCGGCACTATCTATATCTATCCGATTCTCATCGACCTATTTATCGGCGAGAGATAGCGGCGAGAGATAGCGGCGAAATATCGGTTATATCCGTACGATCCTATATCGATTATATCCATTCGACTCTATATCGATTATTCGTTCGATTCTATATCGGTTTTATATCTGTATACAACGACCAAGATGTCAGCAGGAAATTCCTCATCAAAAGCCTCAACTTTTCTTGGATTCCCCTACGAAATGGAACCTATGGTACAACATGATACTAGGTCTTGCCACCGAGCTCCAAGTACTGGATCTTATTAGTGAGGAAAGTCCCAATAGGATGGGTGGAGCATGAAACAACAAGAAAATCAAACAGTTCAGCAATTTGTATCACACCTACAATCAGTTGAAGGACGCCTACGACATCCTTAAAATACCTGGGCCTATCCCTCCAGAGTTCCCTACTGAGCACACCATGGAAGCAAGAGTTAAATGGGAGATGGAGAAGAGCAAATATAACAATGATAGGAATATCTATGAGGACAAACTTGCAGGAGTTAGCAAGATCAGACAAGAGATCTTCAGAACGGTGGCATTCAGTGAGCTGGAAATAGCAACTAATGGGAATAGTTGCATTGATGTGAAAGATCTTCTACTTGCTCTTAAGAAAAGGTTATCACCCAGAACAGCAGACCGCCAGTATGAGGTACGGAAGAAGTACCAGTGTAGGAACTAGATAAAGTCCGAATATTGACCCAAATACTGAATATCGAAAAGATGAATTGAATTGATTATTTTCACCCCAATAATTACATGATAATCAGGTAGTATTTATAGGAAAGAGAATGTTGAAATATATGATAGGGGCAGTGCTGGTATGCAGTGATCCGGTTTCCGGAATTGAGACAATAGAAGATCCTTGCTAGTGTAATCAACAGAACTCATTTCTAACAATCAGAACTTGCAAAAGGCGCCTAAACAGAATCTAGATCAGTGGTTAGATGCTTGGACCCTGAACGTCTTCAATATGAAACTGAGCAATGCCCCACTGAATTTTAGCTCATATAAGCAAGCATACTTTTCCTTAACTATATTACAACCCGCAATCGCTCGCTTGCGCTCGCTTATCCAGCTTGAAAACGCGCCGTTTAATCCCTCGGGCGAACGTAATGAGATATATAACAACTACATATGACTCATATAGATGAATTCCATGTAATCTACAGCTGTTAATAGAGAACAATCACATAGATGAAAAAGATGAATAACACTGTAGTAATGTTATAGAGTTAATAAAGAAGCACTAAGCAAGGTGTAATTAAATGTCAGACAGCTCATGTAAAGAACATAGCAATTACAATCAAACAGTAAATATTTGAAATGTAATAATTTACATTTATCAACCCTCAAAATATCTGTAATACAATTGAAATAGACAAAATGGCTGAATGTAAGTAGAGAACTGTCAAAAAATGAAGAAAAACAGCTCAGAAATAATGAAATTACAATTAATAATAATACAAAGCAAACTCTGTAAACTCTGCAGATTCTAAAAATTGAATAATTTGCATCATTTATCAACTCTCTCTCATTTCTGCTTCATTTTCAACAGTTTCAGCAGCTCATCAACACATCTACACTCATTTCTTAACAGTTAAATCAATAATTTGTCAATGTATAAACATTTGAATATAGATTATGATTGCTGATAGAATAAATTGTCAAAGACAGCAATAGAATGATTGCACAATTATAAGAGATAAAATATAAAAGAAATATTATTATTATTATTATTATTCTTTCATTATAAATGTAACGTAATCCATAAGCGAGCGAAACACATAAGCAAGCGAAACACTTCCTACCATGCAATCAGAGTTAAGAGCATAAAAGAGCTCAAGAACAAAGAGAATACAATTAATTATATTATGAGATAATTTCTATATGCTTAGAGCATGTACGAGCAGTATGTCCAATAGTCCCACATACACTACACCGTGGTGCTGCACGTTTTCGTGGTTGAGAGCCAGCAGCCTCAACCACCTTTCCTTCCAATTCATTGACCCTTCGTACGCGATCCAAGCCTTCTTCAACCCTTAAAGCACCCTCTTGAGCTACATACGTACAGCCTCTTTCTTGCTTTCTCTTTTGTTTAGCATTTGTAGCCCTTAACTCCCTATTTTCAGCTGCTAGAATAGCAGCACTATGCATTGCCATTTGACATCCCTTGACCAGCTGATTTAGGGCACGATCAGTTGGGCTGGGTGGGCTCTGCGTACGGCGCTTAATATATCCTTTAACTTTCTTAGTCTGCTGCTCTAGCTGGTGTATATTATGTGGTGTAGCAGTGGCCCAGGAGGCCTGAGAGCTATGAGAGGTCCCAGATGGGGTGGGGGTATGCATTGTTGTATTAAATCGTGAGAGAACCTGCTCAGGATCGTACGGAACCAGCCCAGCTGCTCTAAAACCACTCTTAATGTTGCTCTCAGTCAGGGCCTGTATCTGAGCTGCAGGATATAGGGCCAGAAACTCCTCCTTATCAATATGGTTGATTCCAAGCCGCATTTGGTTCTCTACCTGTTGTCCGTACACTGTTTTCAGTGAGGAGAAGCAGCCAACATCCAATGGCTGAAGAAGATGGGAGGAATGAGGTGGCATATAGAGAGCAATAATCTGATTCTCAGAGCAGAATTGATCAAATCCAGCTGAGGCATGACTTCAGTGCCAGTCTAGAATCAATAGTTGATATCTGCCCTTCGTACGGGGTAGGGTCTCCTTGTTGAACACCTCTTTCAGCCAGTACACACCCAGCTGGTCAGTCGTCCAGCCATTCTCACTGACTCCAATCACCCAGTCACTTGGCAGCCCTTCTGTCTCATACCAACAGGACTGGTGCATCTTTCCCTTGAGTATAATCATCGTACGTAGAGCCCAGCCAGTTGCATTAATTCCAGCAATAACAGTCACCCATTCCCGATCTCCAGGCTGTACAAGCTTAGAATTCCCAGCTCTTTCAGACCCAGTAATGACCCTGGCAGTCCCAATAACCCTCATCTGAAATCCAGTCTCATCAAAGTTGTAGATATCATCATCCAGGATCCCATACTTTGCAATGGTGTTTTGTACGAGTCTAAACCACCCACGGATAACCTCAGAATCCTCACATAGTGCACACTGATAATCATACTTGAGGGAGAATTTGGATTTCAGCTCTTCATGGCGGTTGACAAAGTTTCGTACCCAGCATTCACCAACTGTGGGTGAGGGGTTGGATCCTCGACTGACAAGAAGGAGATTGGCCATTTCTCGTACGGCTGCAACCCGGGGTGGCTGACCTCGCTCATTCATGGCTAGAATCCATTGAACAAGAGATTCTTCCTCACTAAGACTGAGTTTTCAGTTTTTTGGGGGAGTATTGATGCGTGTTGTACGACCCTTCATTCGATGGAATAGGCTGGTATGAGGAACATCATACAGCTTTGCTGCAGCTCATATGCTTAGAATTTGGCCTTTATTCAAGGCTTCAATAGCTAAAAGAAGCCTTTCTTCTTGATTAAAAGCCTGATTGCATTGTGTGGTTGACATTTTTAATGAAAAGCATTCTCATCATATGGCAGGGTGGGAAGTGTTTCGCTTGCTTATGTGTTTCGCTCGCTTATGGATTACGTTATACAATCAGTGATTATGACATTTATCTGAAATACTTCAGAATTTTTCAACTTAAAAATAAATTAATATATAAAGTCAATTTAATACATGCAATAGCAGAATTTCAGCTCAGAATCAAATAATTATTCAAATTATTTAATTTATAAAAGAATGTTAAAAGAAGAACAATAGATTAATATATTCAATTTAAAATAAATGAAATAAAGATTATAAAAAAAACAGCAGCTAATAATAAAAAAAAAAAAAAAAAAAAAAAAAAAAAAAAAACCCGGTGGCTGAATGAGTAATGCGGCCACCAGGTAGCGCCTTGGTATGGGGATTCAAGATGTGTGGGTTTGAAACTCATAAGAAAGCAACATTACATTCAGAGTCAACTTCTCAGCTTCTAAAATAAAAAAATGTGAATTTGTTAAATAAATATCTTCAAATGAATCTATTATCTGATTTAATTTATTATTTCTGAGTTGAAAATTTACATTGTGAGTATCAAATTCTGTCTTTCATTAATTTTTCTATATTTTTATTATATTTTTGACATCATTCAACACTAAGCATTCCTTCTGTATAATCAACTCTTGATTGTATTTAACATTACACAAGGACTCGTCATAAGGACTGCTTGCATATGAGTATAATAGAATAATAATAATAATAATAATCATCACATCAGCATTACATGAATTATAAATCATGTATTTATAAATCAATTCATTCAATTTATTTATATTCTCAACAGTGTTTGACAGCTCTGCAGATATAATCTCATTACATCTCAGATCATAAAAATCATTCAAAGTTTTTTAATCAAATCAATAAATGCATATGAGACAATTTATATTTTTAATATTCAATTGTTCATATTCTGATCAACATCAGTCTGAACAGCTGCTCAGATTTGAAAATATCAAAAAAATGAAAAATCTTCATTGCAAAAATATATACAATTAAATCTGAACAGTTCACTGCAATTTGATCAGAAAGCAATTTATGAATAATCTCCTCTCATTCAAAATTAAGACCCGGTGGCGTAGCGGTTAATTACCCACTCGGTGTTCCAGAAGGGGCGCGGGTTCGAATTCTGCAGGGCTCATTTTAACCAATTTCCACTGTTAAATCACCAAACAGTACCGGGTGTAACCGGCCCTTTGGGGCCGGCTATAACAGGGCGCTAAATTCTCACTGATCTTGTGGGGCTAGCACCCCCCGAGCGCTTCAAGTTAGATCAGTACTGGATAGGTAAGGTGTGGTGGGGGTGGAGACACCCGCAGGATAGCGAATCATCGTCAAGCTTAACTGACCAGGGATTCACCGCCACTTCACCCACTACTATCTAGGCACCCCTAAATTCCGGGGAATTAAGAAATAAAAACTACCCGATCAGGGCACCCCGGGTCTAGCGTAATAGATGATTAGTGCAAGCAAGGCTGTGACGGCCAATTGATAGGCTGGAATGCCGAGATTGGCAGCCGGAAGGTCGGAGGATTTAACTAGAACTGGGTAGCTCTGGCGTTATTCTTAGTGAGGAGCCCACTTAGATAGGCTAGTTAAAGAACCCGGGTGGGCGGCGGCGCTCTAGAGGGAATGATAACCCCTAATGATAGCCTGAGAGGACAGAGGCGGCAGCCGGTTATATAAAGTGTTAAAATATATATATAACTCAAAGTGTAAACTGCAGAGGTTTATTCTATAACCTTGTTTTATTTTAATTTTCTTATTTTAATTTTTGTTTATGAGTAGTTTTGATTTGTTTTTGAGAAGTTTGAGTTGTTTTATTGATGTTATAATTTTTGCAAGTGGTTGATTTTTTCTTTGTTTTAATGATGCTGTCTTTTATAATGTTTGTTTCATTTGTTTTTTAAACTGAGTTATGTTGACTCATTGACATTTTTTTGATTTTATTTTTTTTGATTGAACAGTTTAAATAGTTGTTTTATTCTAAGCTGAAATTCTGATATTGCATGTTTCAAATTGCTTTTGTATATTAGATTATTCTTGATTTAAAAAATCCTGAAGTATTTCAGTTAGATATCATAGTCATTGATTGCATACATCTATAATTGAAGAATAATAATAATAATAATAATCATTCAAAATTAATTGTAAATGTAATGAAAAGTGTTCAGCATCTGTAGTTGAAAACAATCATTATAAAATTCTGCATGAAATGTTCACTATTTGTATGAAAAGCAAATAATATCATACAATAGTAAAGCTGCTCACAGTCTGTATCATCTGTTTGTATAACATCACATAGATCATCATATTAATCAGTGTGGATTTTTGATTGATGAATGTGAATTCAAGTCAACTGTTATTCATCAATGTTGACATAGATATCAATTAAATACTGCTGAAACAGATATCTGATTTGAAAAAGAGAAGCATCAACATCATCTCATTGAAAAAGATGATATACATGTCATATATGCAGAGTCAGATTACAGCTGTCATATTCATTCTCATCATCAACAGCATCATCAACATCATCATCAGAGTCATTGCAGACAGATAGAAGGTCTGCAAGCACATTCATATCAATACATCAGCCATGATTTTCAGAAGGAAAAAGTAGAACATAATGTAATGAAGATATAATGAATTATAAAAATCAATACATATGAAACTTAAATCAGCACTGAGCTATCATAGTATCAGAAAAATAATATAAAAATGATAAATACTGTTGAGAGTATTCTGTATAACAACTGCAATCTCTGAAACAGTAAACAAATTCTCACAACAATGATCACTGTCTGTCTTCAGCTGTATAATAAAATTCAAATCAATATATACAGCAGAATTGCTCTGTAGTATCTTTTATACAAATTGATAAAACTGAATAAAAGAGTTAATCTTAGAAATGTTAGCAGTCAACAATATAATAGAAAAATATAGAAAAACAAATGAATAAACAGTAAACAACATAATATAGATATAATTAAATAATATTAGAATATATGACAAAGTCCACATCATTTATAATATTCACATCAAACTGTGGATTGTGAATTTACATTTATGCAAAATAAACATTTTCATTTGATTCATATTTTAACAATTTTTATAGATGATAAATTTTTTTTTATATTTGAAATGACACTAAACTGTCAATAATCAAGCAATCAAAACATGAATTCTGTTTGTATTTAAAATATGTAAATGTCAGAGCAGAGTTGTAGTTCTGAATATATCTACAAAAATATTTTATATCAATAATATTATTATTATTAAACAACTCATATAATTCTGATGAAAATTCTCTGACAAATGACAGTTTCACAGCATCTCTTGTATAATATAAGAAAAACACTAAGAGAATTTTTAACAATTTATATACACATTTATCAATTCAATACTTAACTCTGCAAATAGAGCAGCAAATATTCATTGGATTAAAATTGAATGATTGACAGTAATGAATGTAGAAGTGGAAGCTGCAGAGAATAGATTAAGAATTATGAGTGATTGAAGAATTAACAACCGATTTAAAGATAATTGAGCTGATTCAAATGTCAAAATCATTAAGAGTTGATTAATTCAATGAATTTATATATATATGATCAGCAGACTCATCTGCTGCAGAAACTGCAGCAACAGCTATTAAATGATGATGTTTAACATCACAAACACATTTATAATTAAAAGCTCAGCAATCAGTGCAGTTCTTGAAGACATAAATAATAATATAGAATAGATGAAACAGACAATCTTCACAACACACATCACAATGTAACAGACTAACAGTTCAATTCACTGTGAGTTGAGCATAGAAACAACTACATCTCTTAATGACAGATGAAAAATTTGAATTGAACATATCTCATGTATGTGATACTGAGCTTGACAGCATGTAGAGCATATACAGAATAATGCATTGAATTGAGATCATTCAAACATACTGAGAGAATGAGAATCCCCACATACCAAGCAGAAGCACATGAAATAAGTATATTTGTGAGGGGTGATGACAGTGTGAAGAGTGAATAGTAGAAGATAGTATGTAGTGTAGTAGAAGATAATAGTAATAATAATTATAGTAGTAGTATAGTTGAAGTTGTAGTTGTAGTTGTAGTTGTAGTTGTAGCTAATCGCTGAAGAGGAAAAGAAAGAGAAAGAAGATGTGCGAAATACATGCATCCATATATATATACATATAGAATTAGTGGTAGCGAGAGTATAATGGAAAGAGGTAAGAATAGACGAAGATATAAACAAAGATAATATAATAATAAGGAAATAATAAACGAGTGCATTACAATTGAACACTTCCATATCACAGTAGATTGCTCTGAAGCTGGAAGACTGTCTGAGGACTAACATGACATTCTCAAGCTATATCATTTGGCTTCCAATTAAGAAGAAGCAATCACAGCAAGTCAGCTTGTTTTGAGAGAGGTAGGCTATGCAAAGAATACAGCTTAGGAAACTCAGAGAGGTACAAGTTCTCTTGCTCCTGTGACATAGCCATCAATGTATATATTGCTAAATTCAGAAATCAGCACAGCTTCATTCAACAGAGCAGGGAGGATAATAAATCACCATCAAAGCATATAAGACTTGTATAGAAATTGAGGCAGAAGATGATAAGAATTGATTTCAATCAATAATTGATTCAAATGGTGTCAACGCGTTGTTTTTAACTGCCAAGAAATGACAGAATTTTCGAATACGCTATTGTGGCGGACGTAAAGCTTGCGAAAACAGAATTTTCTGCCACCCCCTGAAAAATAGTAGCAAAACACCGCAGAAATAACCAAAATATCCACGTATCTCTAGAATCATTCAAATATCATCCAATTCATTCAAATACACACCTTTATCATCAAATCTGCCAATATGCCCCGCAACACCCACCGTTCTACTGCCTCGCAAGCTCGTAAAAGGACTCCAACTACCCTGCGCCTTCGTCTGTCCAAACCGCCTGTTCCGGATGTTCCGGATAATGACGAGAATCCAACTGATGATGAGAAGGAGGATAAGGAGGGGGAGGAGGAGGAGGAGGAGACACAGTCAGAAGATCCTCGATTTCTGCGAACACCTACCCCTGAGCCTGAGATCTCATTCCGGCTGTATGAACGGGTGATTATCAATGGGATAAAGGAGCCTATAAAGATCAAGTTACGGAATGTCACAACAAATGATATGACTGTCAGCTTCTATCGTATCCAATATACTGCAAAAAGAATAGCTGAAGAGTATGTTATGAAGCAGAACTGCAAGGAGATAGAAGTTGCAAATTGTATAGCAGTCATCTCATCAAACAAATGTGGATCTTCAATCAAAATCACCCTCGAGAGGGAGACAGATTGGAGAGAGATTATCACTCTTTTGAAGGAGTTATATAAGGAGAAGATGAGCGGATTTAGCATTGAGATTACCACCTCTTTTAATCTTCTTGATATCTCAACTTTATCCTCAAACACCTCTGTAATACGCGGTCCTGCAGCTTTCATTGGAGTGTCGGATTCCCAATTAACAACCCAGGCATTGGCATCAAAAAGAGCATTAGATGTCAAAGAAGAAGTAATCTCACCACCTGCCAAATCCCCTCTCTATCGTCCTGCCAAATCCCCTTGAATTCATGAAATATCTGATGACGAAAAGCTGCCGCCTACGCGTACAAGATCCACGGCCACTAGCCAGCAGCTGAAGGAGGCTCGAAATCGATGGTCAAATGAGCATGATTCTTTGCGGATTGGGCGTGAGATAACTGCTCACTGGCGTTGTCAAAAGATGAATTGTCATAACTTTGAGCAGGGCACTTGTTGGATAGCTTTTGATGATACTCATATTCAACTCCTGAGTAGTGAGATTGCCAGTTGGATAGATGATGTTGAACGTGGACATGCAACAGTTAAAAATCCCTCAAGAAAGATGACAAAAAGATTAATGAATAGAAAGGAGAAGAAGGAACAAAAAAGCGAATCTATCTCTGCTTCTAATCCTTCTATACAGACACCTCAGATGCCAGCAGTTATATTTCCTCCCTCAACTCCTTCTTCATCTAATATTTTGTCTCCAAGTGAGATAATCAATGTGATGGTGATGAAATATATGATGGAAGGAATGGGAGGCATGGGAGGACTGAATTCAAACTTGTCATCGAATTCAAACTTGCCATTGAATCCGAACCTGCCATCGAATCCGAACCTGCCTTCTATTCGAAGTAGTCCAATCCCTCAGTTTGGTGAACACGCGGATCTGTTTATTGATGAGTTCTTCAACTGGTTGATGACAGAGAGACCTCGAAGAGCAGAAGCTCTTTTAACTGCAAAGAGCATTATTCAGAATGAAGGATTTGAACTGGATCATATACAGACAATGACAAATGAGCAGGTGGTTCAGTTGAATATTGGAATGGGTATATTCTCAATAATAAGAAATGGGTTAAAGAGTTCTATCTGGCAGTCACAGTTGAAGGAGATTAAATTGTCTTTATCTGCTGTTTGTAATGATGACAGCAGACCTCATACTGCTTCTGCTTCTGAATTTGAAACTTAGATATTATATATCATCATAATTGAATTGCAATCTGAATCTTTTTAAATTTTACAATACTATTCTATATGAGCAGATCTGAAATATCCTCTTGCATCTTCTTCTCCCATGAAATTCTCAACTGCATGATGCAAGAAGGCTTCAAAATCTCCATCAAACTGATTCTCTAACTGACATCTGTATCTTCTAATCCATTCTTTCAACGCGTGAAATGACTCCTCTATAGGATTATAATCAGGAGAATATGGAGGTAAGAATAAAAGTCCAATGCCAGCTTCTCTGCAGAGATCTCGCAGTGCTTGTGAACGATGAGAAGAGCAATTATCCATCACTAAGTAGTGATAACCTCATTGGCATTTGGGCAGTATCCGGACACGAACAAACTCATTGAACCTCTCTGTATTATAGGACCCCTGATATATATCATAATCAAGATATCCATTGACATTTATTGCAGGTAAGATTGACCATCTGCGAGATTGTTTACAGGGCCTTCTAATGCGACAAGGGAATCCTCTGCTTGACCATCCATATCGTCGATCTGCAGTACGTTCATTCGCAGCACTCTCATCTAAAAAGATAAGTTGATCAGGTTGATACTGAGTAACTTGAATACGCCATTCAGCTCGAAGTTCTTCGTTGCGTTGACTGGCCACAGGTTCAACCTATATCAAATAGAACTGACAGATTAGCAGGTTCTATAAGTGACAATTGCAATAATTAATCACCTTCTTCCGTGTCAAATTCAGTTTCTTCAACAATCTAGATATCGATCGAGGGTGGATATCAACATCAAATTCATCCTTCACAAAGCAGACAGCCTCATCGCGATATGCAGTTGAATATGCCTCAAAAAAGTCCTCCAAACCTGACAAGATATCCGGTGTGATCTTTGGCTTTACACCCCATGTTGAACGAGGACTTCTAGCAGTTCCAAAGCAGCAAATATTTCGTTGGATTCGATATACAGTGGCCAGATGGCACTCAATGGTCCGCGCAATCTGAGCAGGCATATAACCATCGTTTAGAAGGCGTACGATCTCATTGGTGGTAAATTCGCTGAGCTGGGGGGGCATATTGGCAGATTTGATGATAAAGGTGCGTATTTGAATGAATTGGATGATATTTGAATGATTCTAGAGATACATGGATATTTTGGTTATTTCTGCGGTGTTTTGCTACTATTTTTCAGGGGGTGGCAGAAAATTCTGTTTTCGCAAGCTTTACGTCCGCCACAATAAATGTCACTCTGCCTTTTGGCCCAGCCGCGCCTCAACTTCCTATGTTCTAAACACCAGTGACACCAGTGATTGTTCATATGAGGATATTATTTGTCAACCAGCCTCATCCTTGGAGCTGCATGCTCTTCCTCTCCTCTCCCATTGTGGAGTAGCAAAATGAGATATATTCTTCTTCCTTAACCACGCTGCTTCGGTAACCTCATGCCAAAGGGACGAGTCAAGAGCACGAGGGGAAATCTTTCTCCTGATCAAGGATTATCAGCGTGAATTGTTGCAGATAAGGTTTAGGAAGTTTGAGCAAAGTCAGAAAGTTACTATGCATCATGGGTTTGAGCCAGAGGACAGTTTTATATACCCGTGCAACTCTGTTGCAGGACGACTTCGGGGGATCAACAACCTCATTCAACACCCAAACACGCCCTACACCATAGGGCTCCATCACAATTGATATTCATGAACATGCTACATACACGAAGCAGAATAAACATCAAGTTTAATATGATCTCCAAGGATAGGCTGTCTACATGCGTGTCTCTAACCAATGGCTTTCCAGCGATAGACGGCCAGCTGCAGTCGCGAGACACAGGATGGTAATTAATGTTGCATCTCACAGGTGTAAAAGTCGATATGCAGCGGGTGAGGGGCTCGAGGATTTGCCACATATTTGCATATATCTGGACATATCTCTTCAGCCCTGGATTTCTCCATGTCCATACCCACTCTTCGAGAAGCAGTGCATGGAAACACACCATATGTCTCGATTAAACCATGCCCACTGTCAAAACACAACGGTCCCTCAAGGCGATAGAGGCCCAAGTCGCTTCCGTGCTACCTAAAAGTGACATTACCGTCAAGCATGCAATGGGTGCTGATGAGCGTGCTCTAGTTTCTCTCGGATATAGACAAGAATTCAATCGCGAGTTTTCCCTCTGGACTACCTTTTGTGTTAGTTTTTCAGTTCTCGGGCTTTTACCATCATTTGCTAGTACGCTATGGTACGGTATGTTCGTCCTATTCCCGTTTCCTAGTTCACTGGCAGCTACGGGACGACGATTAAATCCTAGATAGTTTAAAATCTATGTCTTGGTGATCTAAACTGGGATTTACTGCAGGTATGGGTTATGCGGGTACAGCGGGAATGGTCTGGGGGTGGCCTATCGCAATGGCTTTTATCCAATGTGTTGCCATGAGTATGGCTGAACTCTGTTCTGCCATGCCCACGAGGTATTTCGACCACCAGGTTTTCTGAGGTTTCATTTGAATTTGATGTCGGATTAATCATTAGCTAACTTTAGACGATTAACTACTCTAGTGGTGGCCTTTACTATGCGTCAGCAGTTCTAGCGCCGCCCAAGTATGGCCCTTTCGCTGCTTGGTTTACAGGGTGGTCCAACTGGATAGCCCAGGTCACGGCAGCTCCATCTGTGAACTATGGGGTAGCCGCCATGATTCTGGCTGCGGTCTCAATGAGCAAACCCGGCTACATTCCGACGGATTATCAAACATTCTTGCTCACTACCTCGATCATGATCCTTCATGCGGTTCTTAGTAGTATGCCAACGAAATGGATTGCCAACTTAAATTCTCACGGCTCGATTCTCAACATCATCGCGCTTACTACAGTCCTCATTGCTATTCCCGTGGGCACGACTAACTCTCCCAAGTTTACGCCATCCTCAGTGGTCTGGGGGGCAATATACGAAGGTACCTCATTTCCAAAAGGTCTCTCGGTCCTAATGTCCTTCGTGAGCGTGATCTGGGCGATGTCAGGATACGATGCCCCATTCCACCTCAGCGAGGAATGCTCGAATGCCAACCTCGCGTGTCCCCGCGCCATAGTGATCACTTCCGGTGTTGGAGGGCTTATGGGCTGGTTCCTTCAGCTTGCCGTCGCCTACACAGTGACAGATATCACAACAGTGCTGAAATCAAACCTTGGCCAGCCGTGGGCATCATATTTGTTCCAAGTTATGTCGGATAAACTGGCCGTCTCTATCCTCGTCCTGACAATTATCTGCGGCTTCTCAATGGGCCAAGGATGCATGATCACAGCGTCCCGCGTCACATATGCATATGCTCGTGATGACTGCTTCCCCTTGTCCAAAATCTGGAAGAAAGTAAACCCTTATACGCACACACCAGTCAATGCCGTTTGGTTTAACTGTGCCATTGGGATACTATCTTGCCTGCTCATACTGGCGGGAAATATTGCGACTGGCGCTCTATTTTCTATTGGCGCCATCGCTTCATTCACTGCTTTCGCGATTCCCATCGCCATTCGAATTCTAGTTGTGGGGGACCGCTTTCGACCCGGGCCATGGAATCTGGGGAAATATAGCACTCCAATAGGTGCCGCGGGGGTCCTTTTTGTTATGTTGATGGTTCCGATTCTGTGTCTTCCGACAACGACTGGTTCGGAACTCAGGTGAGAGTGTCTACCCCAGGAGCCCGCTGATTTAGTTTTCCTGTTCCATGCACACTGACCCATCTCGCTCTCATGAACCAGCCCCAAGGACATGAACTGGACCTGTATCGCATACGGTGGGCCAATGCTTCTAGTAACCATCTGGTGGTTTGTTGATGCGCATAGGTGGTTCAAAGGCCCCAAAGTTAACATTGAGCATATCCTGCAGAGTCACGAGGAGGATCCATCCGATGCTGAAGGTATTATAGCTTACGAAGGGAGTAGAGAAAATAAGAACTCCTCCTCCGCTGAAACGACGGATGTTGGTTGTTGTTGAGATAAGCAATATATTCTCATTTTGCCCTTCCCCCACACTATTCATTGTAAGTCATATGGTTGTTTTCGTGTCGTGTGTCTATGGAAAGGGGGATGAAGCAGATGAAATGGATATATAGAGACTTTGGGGCGGATTTGGGATTATTGGATTTCTGGGGGTTTCTCGTTTCCTTCCGCTTGCCCAGAGTGCTTCGCGTATCGGAGTACGCATGATTAGTTGGAGCCGATTATCAGCTTACATGGGGAGTATTGAATGCCCATGCCTTATTTAAATGTTGGGTGTGAGAGGGCAGCAGCTCCTATATCCTATATTTTGGGTCCATTGTCTTCCTCTCAAGGAAAAATCGTTTAGTCACTCCTTCTATTTTACACCCTTCAAAAGGTAAAAGCTAATGCCTGATGGTAAAGGGAGGAGTAAATAACTTCTGACATTGCATTTCAATTTCTCTGGTGTACAAAAATTGAAATACAAGCCGATAGATAATTGTTACTCGAATTCTGATGCAGAGGAGATATGCCAGATTACACACATTTACACGCATTGTATCCATTTATTTTTTTTTCGTCGTCCATATTCTCTGTATGTCCTTTTCCTTGTGTTGTCTTCTTTTGTGACAATGATCCACTCGTGCTTTCTGACTTTATTTAATTTCCCTCTTTCCAATAAAACGGTTGAAAAGCTAGAGCCTCCTTCTGTCATGCTGTGACTGAATTTCCGATTCAATACTTACTTTTACACCACTGAAGATATCTTTGAAAAAAAAGGAAGAAACAAAAAAGGTAACAAAATGTAGGGAAACGAAAAATATATATAAATATAAAAACAAAGATAAATAAACGATAAAAAGATGTAGGGCGCAATTGGAGAGAATCCAAGGCCATGATCGGTAAGGAAAAATATAATATTAATATAGCAACCTAAAGGAGAAAAACAACCAGACAAAGAATAGAATCAGTCCTACATGAAAATGGGAAGTTATTGCCGGAAATGAGAAAAAATGAAGAAAACAAAGAAGTTCATGAAATTTCAATAAAATTGGGGAGAAAATAGAGTAAAACAAGAGCAAAACAAGAAAGAAAAGAAAGAGCTAGCGAAAGCTAGTCGACCTTCCCTGACCCATTTCCACCACCGAGTAACCCTTCCTTTCCATCAAGGTGGAAGAATCCAGCCCCTGAGCTACCAGTGACTGCACCAAGTAGACCTGCAGGACCTCGATTTCTTCTATGTCTACCCTTCATGAAGAGGTAGGCAAATATCAGAGCAACGAAGAACAGGGCAATGGAAAGGACAGGGTGGTTGCGGAAAAAAGAGCGGGTGCGAAAGTACATGCTTTCGAAAATGCCGACGGTGGATTTCGCCTTGAGTCTCGAGGACGGCGAGATGACCTGACTGATGGTTTCGAGGATGGAGGTCCGGCTTGGCATTATGTAGGCACCGCTAGGGGAGGTATCCCAGTATCGACGGTTCTGTACCGTTTGAAAGAAAAGGAGTCAGTTCTGGGAGGTTTAATGGACACTTCGAGATTTGATACGGGAGTATTGCGTATGAATTTTCGATGATAGAAGAGGGGAAATGGAGAGTAAAAACTTACGTCTTCGTCAATGATGATAACACGTTCACCGTTTTTCACGTCAATTCCGTACGTTGTCCGAATCCATCGATCCCAGAAGATACCGTCCACCCATGCGAAAACGACCTGCTTTTTGTCGCTCTCGCGGATGGTAATTTGTCTGTTTTTTGCCGCACGGAGTGCCCGTTGGTCATTTCTGTCTTCTGCTTCTTCGATACGCAGTTCTTTCGCGTCCCGAAGTTCCTGCCTCTCAAGCTGGAACAATTTTGTCTGTTTATCCATCCACTCAAGCGCTGCATTTTTCAGCTCCTTCTTGTCCTGGATGAATTCGTCTGAGCGCAGACGGCTGAGAATACCAAGCACTACGTATTTGCCAACGAGAATCTCGCGAGCATTAGCAGCGGTGAGCTCTGGAACTATGGGTAACCAAACACTTTCCATCCAAGAGAGCACCTGTCGGAAATCTCGCATATCTTTAGGGGCAAGTGCGCTGTAATAACTGGCCTTTCCGTCTCTCGAGACGAGAAGGCGAGGCCATGTGGAAATTTTGAATCTCTGAGCAAGAGCATCGCTGTCAGTCTTGACTAGCTTTGCACGCCCAACCAAGCTCAGAGTCAAGCGGTCCAGAGCCGCAAAGTCCTCTGATGTAGTCGCCTTGTCGAAGAAGTATAAGAAAATAACCTCCTCAGTTTCTTCCATTTTCTTGAAAGCGGCAGCGTCAACGTATTGAACACCATTGCCAACAACATCCACGGCTTTTCTGGCATAGCTGATCAGGTCGCCCAAACCTCTGAGTCCGTTGTATTCAACACGCTCCCCACCTCTGAAAAAATAGATAGTAGGGAAAGATTCTACGCGAGCATTTTTGCACAAGCGTCGTTCTGTCTCGCAATTAACTTCACCAACATTTAGGACGCCTTTCATGTCTTTAGCCATCTGTTGCCACGACGCAGCCATGGCCTGACAATGACTACACCAAGGTGCATAGAACTTGATAAACCATGGAACTTGAGTGTTTGTGACGAGTTTCTGGAAACTTTCGGCTGTGAGCGGTATCGATGTGCCTTGAGGATTGGGCAGGGTTCCATTGGGCCTTTTTGGCTTCATATGAAAGGCCTTCTCCTTAGGTGGTTCGGTCTTTGTTTCCGGTTCGTCTTCTGGTTTAGCTTGTGGTTTGGTTTCTGGTTTACCTACTTCCTCAGCAGTGGCTACGGTGCCAACCTTAGTGTCGCCAGGCTTCGGTAGCTGTAGGTCATTGAGAGGTCTTGAGCCAGGCTTAATTTTTTCGAGTTTCGCTTCGATAAACTTGCTCAATCCTGCAATCGACTTTTTGCCTGTAAAAGTCTCTACCTGTTCCCCCCTGTAGTAGAGTGTGAACATAGGGAACGCATTGATTCCGAGGCTCTGGCACTTATCCGCGTTGGCAATGCAGTCCATAGCTGCGAAATTGAAATCGTAGAAACGTTGAAAGGAGTTAAGGGACGAAGTGGTGTCTTGCGTTTGTTTAGATGTCGACGTTGAGAGGGGGTTTGAGGTCTATTTGCAATCAGTAATCCTATTCTTTGGGAGACTAACGTTGTATAATACTAACATAGTAGAATTCATATAATGTTTGCCATGTTGGTGCGACAGATATACAATACCTACAATAAGGAGAAAAATGCTTCACAAACCTACAGCCGTGTCAGACGCTGATATTTGTATATATATCCAAGAAAGCAATAACGAAAAACACAAAAAAGGCCCAAAACGTACCAGTAACCTTCCTTGATAGTTTCATCAAAATTAGATTCCGTTAGTTTCTTCATTGGAGGCACTTCGATTCCATTAAAAACCGTAGGGCTTTCATCTAGGGCAATCGGCTTCTCTGCCCTGGGGAGCACTCGCGGCTCTGGTATCGGCCCAGATTCCCCCGCCGAAGTAGAGATAACAGGTTTTAGCAGCAAGGAAAGTAATGACCACGTAAGGAGTGAGGCCTTCATTTTAGGCGGCTGAAGGCCAAATGGGCCCCAGTACCAGAGCTTAATCTATCCCCAGATCACTGCCGAAACTGGTGAATATTTAGGTCTTGTTCAAAAGAGAGTTATTGCTGTCAATAGGTAGTTGTTTTATTAACGGAAAGAGTTGAAGGATGTAAGATTGGGGCTGGAATATGGTTGAGATGGGTGGTCTGGCTTCGTCCAAGATGGTCGGGGGGCGGCCATGTACTTGGCGACGCGACAATATCCGGCCGAGCAACTAGAGTCGTGACACAGGCTCGCGATGGGTACAGTTGCTGAGTTGAGGTGCAGCGGACGAAGCCTTGCCTGGGATTGTTCGTTCGTCGTCGTCGTCCAAAAAGTATTTCCCCTTAAGACGTTTGAAGTGTTTGAGCCGCATGCTACACGGTTTCTTTTTTCGGAAGCGCCCCGGAAGCGGAACAACAAATCCTCCAGACTCCGTTATTGTCACTTTGGAGCGCAGAAGCTGGAGACCGACACCCACTATTCACAAGACGAACTGCTGAGCACGCTGTTTTCAACTGCAATTGGGCAGCTTTTCTCTTTTCGTTGGCATTACCCTCATATAGACTCCAATCATGAGGTCCACTTTACGGTTATTGGCCAACGTCAAGTCTGCCAGATACCTCCAACCTCATGCACCCACTGGTCTCACCGGCCTCACAACCCACCCAAGACCCAGACAAGCCCTCCTCATTCTATATACTACCACTTTGAACAAACTCCAGAATATCCCTGAGTCGTCGGTTTACCGCCAAGCCACAGAAGCCCTCACAAAGCACAGGTTGAAGATCATCGAATCCACCAAACCCCCAGGCTACGATAAATGGCAGCAGGAAGTACAACAGAAAGTGGCAGCAAACCCGGACCTGGTCAAAACCATCTCTACACCAAGTGGCGCTCTGGCGGGGGCATACTCTCTATTAGGTGGTCGGGTGTCAAACCTTGAAAAGCGACATTATGCCGAGAACATGGAGAATGCGTTGCGCCAAATAGCGGAGGAAAAAGAGGAGTTCGAGAAGTTGCCTGAGGACCTGAAGCCTGCTGTGGCACAGTGGTCGAGAGAAAAAGAGGAAAGCGAACGACTTCAACGTGAAGAGGAGCCTGTCGCGACACAATCTAGGATTGATTTGTATGAAGAACCGGCTTTGGAAGCGACGCAGTATGATTTATCCAGTAAACTTTTCATTATTCCGTCTCTTTTTATTTTAGATCTCCTGTTCTGATGTCGAGTTTACAGGATCTCCGAAATCGAACACCAGATCGGAGCGGGCCTGATAGAGGAAGTTATTGAAGTTGCGGAGGGAGAGTTAAAACTCGTGGATGACATGATCAAATTCAAAGTGTAAGCCCGCTCCTCCAGGAACCGAAATGCACCAGGAAATATTCCTTCGCTGATTCTCAATTTTTTATAGATGGGAAGAGCTGGTAGAAAAGCCGAAACCCGGCCAATGGACATATTTTGGCAGGGACACAGGCAGTGCCGCGAACTAGAGCCCGGGCCGGTTGGCATGTTGGACATTTCCATTTATCGATCTAGTCCTTAATAAGGTGTTTAGAGAACTTTTAATCTCTTTGTTCCTAATGAAATTCACGTTGGTTCTTGTAAATACTAGTATATCAACACTCCAAACACCTATTTTTTTCCACCTTCACACTGTTCAAAACATCCAAATCCGATTCATCGTTTTGTTTTGTAGGAAAGTATATGGCGGGAAATACCTGTGTTTCCCACAATTGTGCGATATCTTATTACAAATTAGTGCAAATCGTCAATAACTATATAGTATATGCCAGATTTGCCCTAGATATTTCCCTTTTTATTGATCATTGTAACAACTTGAATCCAAAATCCGGTGTGGTGTGGCGCTAACCATCTTGGGACAGCTGGTGGGACCAGTGACAATTGATTGATACGGACAGTTTGCAACTCACCAGGCTCAACACATCCGATTCAGCCACCATTACCCGCGCTGTTGTCCTACGGACACATTGAACTAGCAGCATACTGTTCGGTTAGCCCCAGCGATTGAGGATATACCCTGATCGCCGGGTGCCTCCTTTTACAAGGCCGCTCGTGGGCCGCACACTTATCTATCACCACACACACCCTAGCGAACGTTGCCCACAATGCGGTTGGATGTGAAGGTGCGTGGAACGCTGGTCTTTCCGAGTCCCTGCCTATTATCTGGCTTGCGAGGGGGTTGTTTTTCATTTTATGACTTGGAACTGACTTGATCTTCTGTACCAGCGACAACTATTCGCCCGGTCGGAGAGAGTCAAGGGCATTGACTTTCACCCGACTGAGCCATGGGTAAGTTTGCGACACTTCCTACGCATGCCAGTGCCCATTTCTCTAACTTATTTTTCATTAGATCTTAACTACATTGTATAGCGGTACGCTATTGTTTCCTGGGCGGGCGGTAGAAGGCCTTCGTTACTGATGCGCGGGATGAACAAACAGGTCATGTTTATATATGGTCTTATGAAACCCAGGTAAGCACGCTTTCCACGTAAAAATCTGTTTCCAGTGATTCTAACCTCCTGTGTAGTCGATTATCAAGACATTTGAGCTTACTGATGTCCCTGTCCGAGCTGGCCGGTTCATTGCCCGAAAAAATTGGATTGTCTGCGGTTCCGATGACTTTCAACTCCGCGTCTACAACTATAACACCTCCGAGAAGATCACATCTTTTGAAGCGCATCCAGATTACATCCGGTCTATTGTCGTCCACCCGTCGCAACCGTTCGTCCTCACAGCTTCCGACGACATGACAATTAAGCTGTGGGATTGGGACAAGGCCTGGAAATGTGTACAGATTTTTGAAGGACACAACCATTATGTCATGGGTCTGGCCATCAACCCCAAAGATACAAATACATTTGCTTCTGCCTGTCTTGACCGGACAGTTAAAATATGGAGCCTAGGCTCGCCGCATGCGAATTTCACACTTGAAGCTCATGAGGCGAAGGGTGTTAACCACGTTGATTATTACCCACAGGCGGACAAGCCGTATCTATTGACGACTTCCGACGATAAGACTGTAAAAGTTTGGGATTACACAACAAAGGCACTCATAGCTACTTTAGAAGGCCATACTAGCAATGTTTCCTTCGCCTGCTACCACCCAGAGTTGCCTGTGATCATCTCCGGCTCTGAAGATGGAACCATCAAAATTTGGCATGCCAACACATATCGACTAGAGCAATCCCTAAGCTATGGTCTGGAGCGTGCATGGTGTGTCAGCTACCAGCGTGGCAAACAAGGCATTGCCATGGGTTTTGACGATGGAGCTGTTGTCGTCAAAATGGGCCGTGAGGAACCCGCAGTTTCTATGGATGGGTCTGGAAAGCTAGTTTGGGCGAGACACAACGAAGTTGTGTCGACGGTAATCAAGGGTGGTGACTCAACTCTTAAGGATGGTGCTCCCCTTTCACTTCCGACGAAGGAGCTTGGTTCCTGCGAGATATACCCACAAACACTTACTCACTCTTCGAACGGACGATTCGTCTCGGTCTGCGGAGATGGTGAATATATTATCTACACTGCACTTGCATGGAGGAATAAAGCCTTTGGACAGGCCTTAGACTTTTCATGGGGCTCAAAGGATAACAGTAACGATTATGCGATTCGGGAGTCGAGTACAAGCGTCAAGATCTTCCGCAACTTCAAAGTGAAGAGTGGACGGCTCGATGTGGGATTCCAAGCTGAAGGTCTAACTGGTGGTGTTCTTCTGGGAGTCAAGGGCCAAGGCGGTATCGGTATGTTTGACTGGGACACTGGTTTACTCGTGAGGAGAATAGAAGTCGATCCTCGAGCTGTAAGTTTCTTGAACGTCTTAAGTTAAGATTTCTTGATGACACGATCATCTAACATTATCTATCTCCAGGTATACTGGTCTGAATCGGGAGAACTAGTTACTCTTGCGTGCGATGATACGTTCTACGTTCTCAGATTCTCCCGCGAGAATTACATCGCAGGCCTCAACAACGGCGAAGTAGACGAGGATGGGGTCGAAGCTGCTTTTGAAGTAGTCACAGACGTCAACGAATCCGTCAGGACAGGCGAATGGGTTGGCGACTGCTTCATCTACACCAACTCTACCAACCGCCTAAACTATCTCGTCGGTGACCAAACCTATACAATCTCCCACTTCGATCAGCCAATGTATCTCCTCGGCTACCTGCCACGGGACGGACGCATCTACCTGGCCGACAAAGACGTCAACGTAGTCTCCTTCTCCCTCTCCCTCTCTGTCGTCGAATACCAAACTCTCATCCTTCGCGGCGACATGGACTCCGCCGCAGATCTCCTCCAAGACATACCCGCTGACCAAATGAACAAAATCGCCCGCTTCCTTGAAGGACAGGGTAACAAGGAACTAGCCCTCAAGGTCGCCACAGACCCGGAACACCGTTTTGAACTCGCGCTATCCCTCAATATGCTCGACATCGCTCTCGAAATCGCCCGCACCGCTGACGTCGAGCACAAATGGAAAATCGTCGGAGATGCAGCCATGGCTGCTTGGGATCTCTCCCTTGCTCAAGAATGCTTCTCTAATTCCAAGGACCTGGGCTCATTGCTGCTCCTGCACACTGCCAGCTGCAACATGGACGGTCTTCGTCGGCTATCTGAGCAAGCCAGCGAAGCAGGCTCGCATAATGTCGCCTTCTCCGCGCTCTGGCAACTAGGCGATGTCGATGCGTGCATCGATCTTCTGGTCCGGACGAACCGGATAGCGGAAGCTGTTCTATTTGCGCAAACGTATAAGCCCAGTCGAGCAGCTAAGCTCGCGGGTAAATGGAAAGAAAGTTTAGAAAAAGGGGGTAAGACGAAGGTGGCGAGGATTATTGGGATTCCTCCCGGGGCTGGGATTGAAGGAGTTGAAACCGATGATGAGTTGTTTCCGGAATGGGATGAATTTTTGAGATTAGAGACGGAGGGTGGTGTTAAGTCTGCGGATTTGATTGATATTAATGGTGATGATGGTGAGGCGGGAGCGGAGGTCAATGGCGTTTCGGAATAGAGAAAGAGTAACGAACAAATTGTTGCAGCTCCATTGGTGGGGGCAATGAGATGGAAACGGCTTTTTACTTCTCTTTTTATCTGTCCCCTTTTCGTTTTCTAATTTTTTATTAGCTCAGTCTCGCCCTGTCTCGTTTTTATTTTACTATTTCCAGTTTTGCTACTTTTAATTCATTCTTTCTATTACAGCTAGGACGAACGATAAGTAAAATTAAAAGAGGTAACTTATATATTTACATTTTCATTTTCGTCATTCTCATTCTCATCCTTTGTATAAATTCTATGTTTCCCTGTTCTTTTCTTGACTTTCTATTGCTTTTAAATCCTCAAGGGTCCATGCAGAAAAACTTAGATAGCCTCGTGAAAATCATATCTTTTCTCGTCACACCCTCCATTCTTCATCCCTGCCAACCCCTTTGATACATTATGCATTTCAACCCTCCCATCATCCACCAGCCAAGTTCAGGGACTTAAGACGACCAGTCATCTCACTGTAGAAGCAAAGGTACAACCGGAAAATCATTCTCAGTTAGACTTTACCAATGTGAGATAATCTCCACGTAGAGTTTAAAATTGAGTGACACGAAACTGGATATCACTGGTACCTATCTACCCATTCTTCTATTTTTGATCTATTGTAGCCCCTGTTACTGTAAATGCATGCAAACTGTTTTCAATGGATGTTGGATTTAATCAAGGAGTAAAGCCCTCACAAACTAGTCGGAAGAATCGCTTTCACAGCTTTACTAGGACGAAGTACGGCAGTCTGTGTCTTCATATGTGCAGGTTAAATTTGATGCCTGAATCTTTCTTATTTAAAACCTTTTCAATAATGACAAAGAAAAGAGTCAAAAGAAAAGGTGTCATAAGACAAGCCAGAACAGGCCAGGGCAGGAGTACCAGCTAAATACAGCTGTAGAGTAAATGAGCAGACAGAAGAGAAAAAGAAGCGAGAAAATGATAGTGGAAACTAACCAGACAGAAACAGACAGAGGCAGAAAAAATCCCATCAGACTTTGTAAATATATCACAAAATATATTGGTTGGTCAGATAGTTTTGATTTCTGGTGGCTCAGCCGCGATGGTATATTTGCCAAACACGGTTGCAAAAATGAAAATGAAAATGAACATGAAAATGGGCAGAGAATAACTAGGAATAGATCTCAAACAGATAAATGTGAACACAACTCGCTCAAGCGCCTTGTGTATTTGCGGAGATCAATCAAGGGAAACCGAAGGGAACAATATGCAGGGAGGTGTATGCCGCTTGTATACCGGACAGCCGTGGGGAAATAATAGATATCAGGGTTGAAAAAAGGATCCAGAAATCTAGATTCGGACCTGGAACGAAATGAAAATGAAGGTTGAAAACTTGAATGGAAATTGAAGCAACAGAGAACTGGTGAGGTACTTTCAACGCAATGAGAGAGAAATGAACATAAAATGGGAAGTGGGTGAAAGTTTGACAAATGAATAGCGAAAAAAAAAAAAAAAAAAAAAAAAGAGAGAGAGAGAGAGGGAGAGGGAGAGGAGGAGAGAAAGACAAATGGACGAGGACAGCAGAAAAGCAGGAAACGAGTGAAAACAATCCAGTCAAAGGAAAACCATAGGAGATTCGTTAAAGTTGTTTGAGCTTCCAGCGTCAAAGGAATCCTATCCTAGCTGAGCAGACGGGAGTTGGGGAGAAATGAAATCGAAGATCTCGTCTTCTTTCGTCGGGCCAACGTCGAAGCGGCTGAAAATATAAAGTATCATTCAGGAATACTTCCGAAAGATGGGTCCTTTACGCTTCCTCCGGCGTCGCCAAGGCCAGCAACTGGTCGAGTGTAGGACCAGCCTTCGAACTGTCGTTGCATGGTTTGAGAAAGAACAGACCCCTCCACGCGCGAGTCTACAGGAGCCTCGCGCGTGAATTCTTCAGAGAAATTTACGGTATCGTCGGCATCAACCTATGATGTTCAATTAGAAAATTATGTCCAACCCGGGAAAGGTTCAGATAAAATGAGATTTGAATATGTCAAGATAGTCCAAAATGAAACATACCACATGAGGACGAAAGCTCGGCTCATATTTTCTCTGCAGAAGCTTGCGCCAATCAATGTTGGAAAAGAAGTGATGTGCTTTGATTTCAGCGGCACCATTTGCTCCAAGTCGGCGGTCTGGATCACGCTCAAGGAGCCTAGTAAGAAGATCTCTAGCCGCGCCAGGAACAATATCTTGGCTTGGGAAAGTAAGCGGTTCTTGGAGGATTTTGCGGTACATCTCATTCGTATTCTCATCGTAAAATGGTGGAAGTCCTGTCAACATTTCGTACAAGAGGACTCCGAGCGTCCACCAATCCACAGACTTTGTGTATCCCTCCCCAAGTAAAAGCTCGGGAGCGAGATATTCAGGAGTACCACAAAACGCTAGCAGGAAATCAGTACCAGTCTTAATTTAAATTATCTCGACTAGCAATCACTTACTATTCGTCCGGTCTTCATCTTTCATATCGCGCTTACACAATCCAAAATCGCACAGGGCAATATGGCCCGTGTAATCCAGCAGAATATTTTCTGGTTTAAGATCACGATAGATGACTTTAAAACCGTGGAGGCACTCTAGAGCACAGATCAATTCGGCTGTGTAAAAACGGGCCCTGTTGATATCGAAACGTTGTTCTTTTTGGAGATGATAGAACAGTTCACCGCCGTTGACAAAGGCCAAAACGAGATATAGCTTTTCTGGGGATTGGAACGAGAATTTGAGAGGGACGATGAAGGGGTTATTTATCTGAGAGAGCACTGATCTCTCAGCCAATGTATGCGCCACTTCGGACCGAGAAATGATGTGGGCTTTGCGTAGAGTTTTCATCGCATAGATACGACCGGTATCGCGTTTCCTTGAATAATGATATTGTTAGATTACCGTTTAGCGTGAGCGTTGTGGAAATGAGGAGCTAGGCTCACCTGACTTGCATGACTCTTCCAAAACTTCCTCTGCCCACGACTTTCAGAAGTTCAAAGTCTTCAATTTTAAGGCTTCTCTGCTGGTTTTCAACAAACGACACGCCAATTTTGATTGCACCGGTACCGAATTGCAAGTTTGTCCATTCCGTGCCTGCCTGTCCCATTTGACGCTCCTGTTCTGCGTGTGCTGCAGCAGCCTTTTCGCGGTCCTTCTTACTTGCCTTCGGATCCTCCACAAATGGATGAACTTCTTCGAATCTCGGGTTAATTCTGCAAGCACCCAAAAATACATCTTCATTTCTGCCAGCACCTGGCCTAGCGGCAGGGTTCCGAAGATAGAGTTGAATGTTGAGGTCAGTCACACGAGAGACATCAAACTTGAAAGAGGTATTGTCACCAGCCCAAAGAGGGTTTTCTGGAGTCCCTGATACAGCATCGACGAAAACCTGCTGCTTGTCAAAATCCAAAAGAGCATACGGAAGGTATTTGGCGGAATATCGACCATGGATTGTAGGTGCAGCATTGATACCGCCACTCGTCGACTGAGGTCGGTTGGATTGTGCATAAGAGCTAGTGACTGTCCCCTGAGTAGAATGGGATGAGGATGAGGTGGGTCTGATAGAAGTAGGTCCCGCGAAGCTATTGTTGCCTGAGATTGAATTTTGGAAATGGGAATTGAACACCTGTTGGTAGTGTGGTGAGAGCGAAAAGCCCTTCCCCTCGTGTAACGTAATAATGAGAATACCGGGCTTAGCTGGAGCAACAGGAGGAGAGACTAGAGCCTCTGAGGCAGCTAAATTGTAAAATTACCATATTAGCGACACATTGTGATATATACAAATCACAAATGATATAAAAAGAAGGGCGCTCACCAATGCCATTTAGGCTTGGAGAAAGCGCAACAGGAATTTGGGTGTTGTCTTCTGCAGGAGCAGCATCAGGTTTAATGGTAGAGGTCGAGGATGACCTCCCAAACGAGTTGGCTAGAGGTGCGAGATGCGTCTCCTTAAGCTCTTTGCAGGGGAGAATGTCAGTAACTCAGCAAATTCGAGAGGCAAATAACGATTCCAATGGGGAAAATGTCATGCATACTCTTGGTGAGTTTCCACGACATGATGATAAGCTTGGGAAGTTAAGACGGAATGAAGAATTGCAAGTGCTGGCAAAGCGGCAGGTTAGAAATTCGAAAAAAGCTTTCTAGAGCTTTTAATGAATATATAAGGGTGAAGTTGGGTGGGAAGAGAGGTCAAAGAGGGAGCCGTGATATGCTTGTTCTAAAGTGTCTAAATGAGGTAATGAAACTCCGACAAGTGGGTCTAGAGAGAGACAGAATTCGGCAGCCAGACTGAAAAGGAGAGGAGAGTTAGGATGATAAAGCAGAGTCCTTCCCAGGCGTTTGGGATTACCCGTAAGATGGCTGCTGCTGTAGGTCGTGTGAAGCGGAAACAGAGAAACAGAGAGAGTCGCCGTGGTGATGGCGCAGGTGGTGATGGTCCGAAATTGTTTCGCAGCCAGCAAGAACGCAGAAGGGATGAGGCTCGCCAAGCCTGCTCAGTCAGCAGCGGCTGATTAACGGGGTTTCGAGCGCCGGCTGAAACGCGTCGTGAGGCTCTCTCTGGAGCGTGGCTGAGTCCGACTTCTACACAGCCCTTGAATGTTGGGTGGTTTCCCAGCACGGTGGCAGCACTGGAAGGTGGACACCTTATTTAGAAGTCAGTCAGTTGAGTTGACTTAGTTAGCTATGTATTATTAAGTCATTCCTAACCCTTCAATAACTATATTCAGCCACACTTGGAACGCGCTTGGACGGAAGGCACTAAACCTAAAGTGGTGACTGCTAATATCACATGACCTTGGCAGCGGCTGGCGGCTGGCGGAAAATAATGTTTCCGATCCCCAAACAGCTGCTGTCTTATCAAACAGCGCGGCCCGTAGTGAACCCTGGAATGCTTCATACTCTCTTCGAATATCTCACCTACCCACTAGACAGTTTTTGGTTCAATTTCATGTCGCGTAGGTGCCACTTCCAGCCATCGGGCCAGTTACTGATCATTCCAGGACCCGACAAAGTGAATGGCATAACACATACCCACGCGCATCCTCGACAAGTAATAGAAATACAGTCGATACTTGTTGCCTCTTCCTAGCGGCCTACCAACTTATCGCTTCACCCACACTGTTTAGACGGACACTCAGGAAAAGGCAATTCCAAGTTGATTCACTCGATGGGCGTCATACGGAAGAAAACTGCAGCGCGCGGGACCGAAGGTGGAACAAAATACCATTGCGACGTCTGTTCTGTAGATGTCACCTCGACGGTATGTACTAAGTGCTTATGCTCCGCGTCACCCAAAACTGATATCGTGGGGGAATGAAATTAGGTGCGCATTGCATGCGCGCATAATGCCTGTCATGAATATGATATGTGCGTCCCATGCTTCTCCGCCGGCGAAAGCTCAAAGAATCACGATCCACGAACACACCCATACTACGTCATCGAACAAAACTCTGTTCCTATTTACCAACCCGACTGGGGCGCAGATGAGGAACTCTTACTGTTAGAAGGTGCGGAGATCTACGGTCTAGGATCATGGGCAGACATAGCGGATCATATCGGCGGTTTCCGAACCAAGGAAGAAGTGCGCGACCATTACATCGAAACATACATCAATAGTTCCAAATTTCCTCTCCCCGAACGCGCTGATCCTGATGACAAGACCCTACAAGAGCAAATATCGAAAGAGGAGTTCCAGGCACGTAAAAAGCGACGAATCGAGGCCCGTAAAGAGGCAGCCCGGGCCGCCCCTCCCGCAACGCCGAAACAAAAACCCACAGCCTCTGTGCCAGCCTGCCATGAAGTGCAGGGATATATGCCGGGCCGCCTCGAATTCGAAACGGAATTCGCGAATGAGGCTGAGGAAGCTGTACAGCACATGTCATTTGAGCCGGGCGATGGGCTCAACGCGAACGGGGAGATGGACCCTGAGATGGAACTTAAAATGACCGTGAAAGACATCTATAACTCTCGGCTCACCGCCCGAACAGAACGCAAGAAAATAATATTCGAACACAATCTATTAGAATACCGCAAAAACACTGCCCAGGACAAGAAACGAACAAAGGAAGAACGCGAATTGCTCAACAAAGCTAAACCCTTCGCGCGAATGATGAACCATGAAGATTTCGAAGAGTTCACGAAGGGCCTCGAATACGAACATAATCTCCAGCTCGCAATAGCTCAGCTTCAAGAATGGCGAACGATGAGAATCGGTGACTTGAAAAGCGGAGAGAAGTACGAACAAGAAAAGCAGCAGAGAGCCCAACGCGCAATTCCACAAGGAGCTTTTGATAGAATGGCAGGTACAAGGCCCAAACCATCACAGATCCCCGATGCGCCTTCGGCCGCCACCCAATTAACAATGCCGGAGCTACCTTTGCGCCTTCAACGCAGCGGAGCCCAACAAAAACAAGCAGCCCCCGTACCAGCCTCCACAGCTCTCGAACCTGCACGAGCTCTACCCATGAATGATTTCGATAAGATGTTCGCTAGTACCGAGATGAACGGGACATCGACTCCAAAGCCGTCTGCGAAGACGAAATACGTCATCCCCCCAATAAGTGGACTTTTGCCGTGGAAATTGGAAAATGACATCGCGCCGGACCTGCACTTGTTGACGAGGGAGGAAGTGGAACTTTGTAATATTCTTCATCTACAACCTAAACCGTATCTCGTCATTAAGGAGCATATGATTAAAGAGGCGATGAAGCAAGGCGGGAGCTTGAAAAAGAAAGACGCCAGGACGCTGTGTAAGGTGAGATTCTCACTTGCCCCTCAACTTCCCCAGATTCCCTGCCCAGGGAACTTCTCTCGATTCCTTCTGCTTTTTTTCATCTTTTTCTTTTTTTGACTGCGGCGCAGCTCCGCTCGCAATAATCAATCAACCATTTATATTGACATGGCTTTATCCATAGATCGACGTCGCCAAATCTTCACGAATATACGACTTTATGGTACATAGCGGGTGGATAATGAAGGCATAATGAAATTGGAGGAACAAAACGGAGATTGAGGAAAAGAAGAAAATACACGAATGTCATCACCCGTAATATCACTAATATTATCATCCTTCTCACCATCACCATCATTTCTCCCTCACCTCCGTCTCCTTAGGCAAGCCCCCAACCGCCCATTCCTCAATTTCATCATTACACAAAAATATCTTCTTTTCCTCGACCTTCACTTCGATTTTGATAAATAGTCAAAAGATTAATTGCCTACTCGAACAGCCATTGATATCCACCACCTGCGAAATGTGTTATTGTCGACTGAGCTAGGGCCCACGATTTTTTTTTTTTTTTTTTTTTTTTTTTTTTTTTTTGCGAACATGTATAATCCATTGCAGGAAATGTTTACCATGTTTAATCACATCACGTAACCTACCTGTGAAATCTACTGGTTGGCTGTTGGCGCCTACATAACATACATAACTCAAATTATTTCAACCGCAGTATCAATGAATCACTTGAGTAAGGTTATAAGTAATGTAATTAGAAAAAAAGGCCCAAGTTTAATGGGATAATTCTTTGTGACTTCGTTATATAACTAACTATCCGCCCAGATGCTTTAACTGGTTATTTAACTGAGCTGCGCCCCCCGCGTTATCGGCATGGGCCCTCGGCGCTTCCCCAGGAACATTGTTAACCACTAGTTACCCCGGATCTTGGCGTTGGGACGTGCATGTATGTGCAATGTCCTGCGTATGAAGAAAAGCAGCTGCAACAAGAACACGGTGTACATTGCAATATACATAATAATATTAACTAACTAACTATTCTCCTCAAAGCTCAGCATCGCCTGTCACCTGGGTTTTTTTTTTTTTTTTTTTTTTTTTTTGGTTTTTGTTTGCGAGTGGAGTGTTGGATATTAAGCGCTTCACCGGTACGGGTAGTGGACACCCCCCCCCCCCCCCCCCAATATTGACAATCCCTGTCAAACAAATCTCAAGTCTCAATAGCGGGTGTAGATTGGAAAGGATGGACCAGTTGGGCAAGAAACGATAGAACCCAAACCACACACAATTTAAAAAGCGGGCACGATAGGATAGGAACGCGCAATCAATCGCCCGGCCGCTCGGCCCATTTCCATGGGCTTTTTGGCTTTTGTTTTCGGACCATTCGCGCGCTCTTTGGATATCTGTTGGAAACGGGAACTGATAGTATGGGCGCAAACGCCTTAGTTTCAAAAAAAGAAAGAAAAGGGTGGGTGGAGAAGGTGTCGGAGTTGGGAGTGGAATTTTGTAAGGCTGCAGATGAAACGGAAGGGGAAAAATGAAAATTATCAATCCTTAGTTACTAGTTTTAAAAATAAGGAACTCATCTCATGAAAAACTCCTTTTTTCCTTTTTGCCCTCCGCTCATCCCGAGGAGAAAAAAATGAAAATGAAAAATGAACTCAAGGAAAAACCGAACTATAACTAGCCGCAAGTATTTCAATGCATATAGATAAGTTGAAATATCTCCGCCTGCCACACCCATACCCATCACACACATACACACACACCCACACACACTATATGCTAAATTCAAAATTCAAAATGAATAAAAAAAAAATTGTTAAAAAAGAAAGAACAAAAAATATACAAGGGAGGGGAAAAGGGGCCATTCACAAAGCCAACCCAGCCCTCCTCTTCCATTTCTTCTCATGCCCGAAATAATGCGATGACGACAACGCCTTCTTCAACTTTCCCTTCCCACGACCACCACCCGTAGAACTCGACCCGGACCCGGACCCCCACCCACGTCCAAACCCAAGCCCGAACCCTAGCCCCAGCTTCCCAGAATTCAATTTCTTGTCCATGTCCTCCTTGAACTTCTTCCAGCTGCGCTCGCGCTCCTCCCAATCCGCCATCTGCGCTAACATGAAATCCCACGTCTTCGATTCCAGGGCGCAGAGCGCGTCGTCGTCTAAGAGATGTCTTGTTGGCATTGTGGTCCTGGTGGTGGCGGTGGTGGTGGCGGATGGAGTACTTGTGGACTGTTGGTGTTGCGTGCCGCTTCCGGTCGTAGTTTGGCTTTCGAGATATTGCTGCGGTGGCTGTGGCTGCGATTGTGGTTGTGGTTGTGGTTGAGAGCATGTGTCAGGTTCCGGTTGTACAGCGACCACCTCGGACGGACTGGGGGCAGTTGACGGTCTACTGTTCTGTTGTTGCCCGTCTGGAGGGGAATTAGTTGCGTCTGCGAGGGCGATGAGGGAGCTATATTGATGGGTTCGTCCCATCTGGGGTGCCTGTTGGTGGGGCCGACCAGTGAACGGGGAGACAGTTTGCGCCTCAAGGTTATGGTTTTCTATCTGCTGGCGAGTGATATAGAGGCGCCGCGAACGGAACATTGCTGCTGCCGCTTCACCGACTAGATCAGGGTCCTCATGAGGAGAGATGGGCAGTTGATCAGCAAGGTCAGCTTGGCTGGCAACCGTTCCTGCGACTTCACCCGAAGTCGTCTGGAGGGGCGAGTGCGAACGAGGATTCACAACGCTTTCCTCGTGCAAACTAGCCAAAATGCTAGGGGATGAATTCCGATGACCATAGCCCGCCATGTCTGCCCTTAGAGGAGGTGAAGAGAGCGCGGAAGAAGAGGCTGCATCGGGTTCGCTCACACCATTCATAGTCTCAGATATCGCCTGGCATAAAGGCGGGAATATACATCTCGCTAAATTGTCATGCTGAGAAGCCGCTGAGGCCCTCCGCTTTGCCACATTGTGGTAGTGGCGTGCCTGCAACCCGCCCGCAACAGGAACCCAGTCTGAAACATTATAAAGAGAATGCAAATGGGAATTGGTCAGGTGGCTCTGCCGGCGGAGACCTCCAACAGACGAACTTGCTGTTACGCCCCCGAATCCCGGAGCATGATGCTGGGAGGAAAGGAGTCCGGACGATTGGTTTGGGGTATTAGGGGACGCTTGGTTTCTCCCCGCAACGTTGGTATTGGGTACTAGTAATGTGCCAGGATCACTCTCTCTGTTGTATGATGGATGATGTCCAGAATGGTAAGAAGGAGCCGCAGAGACGTAAGACGGGGCGTTAGAACGGATGGAGGAGGTTTCGGGGTCGGTTTGGCGAGGGGTATATGGGGGTAACGGTTCCGGATATGGGTGCAGCAAAGATCGAGCGGGACGAAAAGCCATGAGGTTGAGCGCCAGCTGGTCCCTCCTGCAGATTTTCGCAAGCTGGTTGGCGAGATAGAATTGTATACGAATATTGTAGCAATTGCGTTGAGTGTTCGTTCACTGTTGAGATGATGGGACAGGAAAAAGGAAACAGGAGAGGTTTAAGATGCTCTCAAGGCTTTTCCTCGGGAACAACACCGGTCGCGTGTGGAGTGTGGAGCAACTAGACAGTGATGATTCCTACCCCGCAGGCACAAAGATGGCTGATATCAATGATGTGTCTAGCCCTTGCGGTGATGGAAAGGATCAGGGTGGCAAGTAGACTTAGGCGCATGCAGGCCCCCAGCACACGTTTTTCCTGCCGTTTAACCGTCACAGTGACGCACAGCCTGCGGGGCGGCGACTTGGTAAAGGCAGAATAGAGGTGAGATGGGGGGAAGGGGACACAGTTGGCCCAGAAAGGGATGCATATATATATATGTATATATATATATATATATATATATACCTAATTAAATTATATATCTATATATATCTATTAGTATCTATCTATATATATATGTGTGTGTGTCGCGTGCGCGTGTGTGGATTCTATATATACTACCACTTCGCCGCGGCGGCGGGATCCAAGCAAGGACGCTTCCGTCAAACAAAAGCTTAGATGACTCATCCACGATTCACATGTAGCTTGCTTACGGCGCCGGTGCGAGCATCCTTCCTATCATTCACCGGGATCATCACACCAGAGTTGGAGTTTAGAGATCCGATGCGCCAGTCCATTCCCAAGGATCTCGAAAACCCCCAAGACCCAAAAACCATGCGTTCTCTGTATCTGCCCTCGATTTTTAGCCAATCAGCCGTTGCAGGATGAAGGTCTTGAAACCATGTGGGTGGTGATCTCCTCTCGTTGCCTTCAGTTCTTCAGGCACTTCAGATTTAATGATGTTGATGTTGTCATAGGGAATAAAAGGAAACGGCCTCGGTCTACAGCCGGTTCTCCGGCAAATTCTGGGCAATCTTCATCTCGACATTCTGTAAACCTGCGGCGAAGGTTGGCTTCTTCAATAGGAGCAAAGGTGTTAGGTCATCTAGGCAGCCTGGCGGTGGCCATGGAAGTCTGTAACAACTCTCATCTATGACAACAATAAGTTCTGGAGAACACTACAGATATTTTGCCAAAGTCTGACGATCGCATTCAACAATCGAAGTTTTCCATTTTTACGGAGAATAAGACTGAGGTTTGCCATAACCTCACCACACTTGCTCCTGAAGTTCATCTATGTCAGGAGAGAGCACTATTCGCCCCACAGCGTCTCGGTGTCGCTGAGGATACAAAAACCAATGCAAGTTCGGTTTTCTGGCTCCGCAAGTGCCCCAGAAGGCCATATCAGTCAATATTCTACAAGACCAAAATTACCTATGACCCTCGATGGAGACTTCGGAATATGAAGCTTTCACCTGTGAAACTGAGGAAAAATTTTATTCAGGCACCATCTTAACACTGCAGGGGCAGATGACCCAGAGACCAAACCTCTTCTCAGCACTGCATTGCTTGGGATTGCAGTGGATTTTGCATCGACTCACTGCTCTCAGTGGCGCTGCAGATATTTTCTCCACTGGATTTTGATGAACATATCGACAACTCTGGTATGTTCTTCGATCTTGACGTGTCGGATGAAAATCGTCTCTAGGGGAAGAAGAAGAAGATTGATTGAATATACTACAGTGATAATTCAGATGAATTTCTAGATGTTGGCATATCAGCCGAAGAGGATGTCTTCATCACAAAAACTCTCCGATGAATGCTAATTTCAAACTCAACTATATCTCCAGAGACTGCATTTTAGTATGTATTAATATTCTTTTTTTTCGTGTCTTTTTGGTTTCTTTTCGTTTCTTTATGAATAGGCCTCAGCCTGCTTTCTTTTGCTTTTATTTACCTCCCACTTTCCTTCGCAAACCGGGAAGCGGGAAGCGGGAAGATGGGGTTTGGGGGGGGGGGGGGGGGGGGGGAAACAACCTGCCTTCCCAAAACCCTGGTTTCTTTCCCCTTTGGAGGAAAAAGGGTTCCATATGTTTTTTTATGATCGATGTTAAAAGGAACTACGGAAAGGGGAAAAAAGCAGAAGTGAAGAAAAGAGAAGGAATTATTAATAAAAAGAAAAAGGGATGGGGATTAGAAGTCACGTTTTCATTCTTATTACTGTAACTATTTTAATGAATGCATCGCTAGCACCCTGCCTTAGCTGACAAAAAAGGGGTGGAGGGAGAATAATTATTTCGCTACCTGAGCTCCTATTCCTTGCCGTGTCCTGCCCTATCATTGTTTCCGAGAGAAAGGACGCCCCTTCCCTTCCCCAACAAATAGTACTTTTGTAGCTTGGTACCCAGTGCTCTGTTTCCATATTTCCTTTCCCCTCAGCGGTTGTCCTTCACACGCAATGGGGGGCGGCGGAAAGATACATTGTAAATTTGAAGAAAAGAAAAGAAAAGAAAGAAAGGAAAAGAAAGAAAAGTTCTGATGAACGAAATCTAGTCTATTTCGTTTCCTTCTGGACCTTGTCGACCTTCTCCAGCACGCGAGAATACAGAGGATGCTCCTTCTCTAGCCCCGTAAGTTTCGTAGTGGCGTCCGCAGCAGAATTTTCCTTCAAGATCTTGAAGAGCTCAAAGCTCTCCTCGTCATCGGGCACATTCTGGAACTTCAGAGCTTGCTCAACGGCGTCCATCAGCGCGGTGACCGTGTGGCCCCGCTCAGCGAGCTGTGAGGCGGGCCCGATGAAGCGTTCCTTGCGAGATAGTTTGCGGAGCGGCGCGCGGCCGACGCGCTGCACGATGTCTTCGAGATGAGGGTTGGAGATGCGGGTGATGATCGAGCTGACGTACCTCGCCTGTTCTTCGGGCGAAATGCCGTGTTTCTCCACGATCAGTCTTGACGTTTCTGCCAGTGCTGCATTGACCTCTTTGCGGATCCTGTCATCGCGCAGGGCGTCATGGATTGTCTTCTTCCCGGCTGAATAGCCGTAGTAGGCCGCGGTTGCATGGCCGGTGTTGACGGTGAATAGCTTGCGCTCGATGTAGGGTTCCAAATTATCAACCCAGTGGATATCCTTGATGTCTGGGTGTCCGACGTCACCGAAAGGTGTTTTCTCCACGACCCATTCGTAGAATTTCTCGATCTTGACGTTGAGGCCAGACCCAAGGTCCTGGGTGGGCACAATGCGGTCGATGGCGGAATTAGCGAATTGGGCACGGCTGTACAGCGACGGAAGACGGGCTTCATCCGTGTTCTCCTTGATGAAGCCATGGAGGGTGTCTGTGGCTCCAATAGCGTTTTCGCAGGCAATGACAGCTAGTGGTTTGGACAGTGTTCTGGTGTCGATACCCTTGGCGATCGGTGGGGCGATGAACTTGAGGATGTTAGGGCCAACAGCACAGGTGACGACATCGGCAGTAGATATCTCCTTGATGACGTCGTCGAGGTTGTGTTTGGAGTTTATGGCGCGGTAGTTGGTGATGACTTTCTGCTGCTCACCCTCCTCACTAATCTCAGTGACGGTGTAGGATGAGTGCTTGTTCAGGGCATCAATAACATTATCCATCACATCAACGAAGACAACCTCATAGCCAGACTCGTGGAGAAACTCGCCCACGAAGCCACGGCCAATATTGCCGCCGCCAAAATGAACAGCCTTCTTTCCCATGGTGATGTAGGTGGTTAGCGGGGTAGATATTAAGGGAGTCTGTGTATGTATGTCGGTGTCTATCACTTCTGAGTTTTAGCAAGTCGCTAGAATGGAGAGGGAAGAGTTAAGAGAGGTCCAAGGAGAGGAGACGAGAGGAGGTACTGGAGAGGGTAAGTGAATTGGCTGGAGTTAATTGACTTTGGGGGTGAAAATAGAGGAAAAGGAGAAAAAGAGGACAATGTGTTCGAACTATTTATGACTTCCGGATTGGGCACACCCGCACAACTTTGGTGGCAGGGCTTTTGGTTTGGAGATGAACACAACAAAAGGAATTGAGTTGCCCAACGCCAATGGACCTTGTTCTGGGCACCTCTTGTGAGCCCATAGAACTGGCTAGAGAGCTGGAGAATCAATCTTCACAAGGCATAACCATGCACCAACGCCGCCAGCAGTCTTCCAAGTGGACGCTTGCGGCCAATTCGCTGCTGGGTGGGCTCCAATATTTAGTACGCGGGAGATACACCACAACCGGCCAATTGTGGTATGGGGAGGGGGGTATCTGCCAGGTACCCCACCCCCCGCTGGCAAGACGTCAACAAACTGCCCACGACAGGTTTAGTCAGATGAAGCTAAAGCCGACGTTTGTCGTTGTTCTTGAGTCTTGACGTTGACTGACTGTCTAACTTTGTCTTCAGCAACTTCAATGATTATGCAATGATAAACGGTTGGGGTAGCGCCTCTCTGCGTTGCGCTCTAACACGGCTGTTGTGGCTACCCATAGCCCTGGCCATACCTTGAACTGGAACTGGGTGTCGTTGGCCATGTTGTCTATCGCTCCGTTTGCAACTGGAGGATTTCAGGGTCGGGATATATCTCGTGTCAGATCCCCTAGCGCCCTGCCCAGCCAGTTAGTTGGCTTCTTGACGAAACAATCTAGCCCAGGATCCTCGACCTCCATGGAAGTGGCGTTTACGCTATGTCATTACGCTGTACATCTGTACAGATTACACCAAATGAAAATTATGCCCCCAGCTTTCCAGATTCATCACTGCAACACTTGCTTTCAGTATCGAGAAGAGTGCATTGTTTCTTATGACCATTGATGGGATATAAAGGTCAATCTTGCAATATCTGAAGAAACGTCGTTCATTCGCAAATTTGAGCGTGCCGTCTCCTTTCACGATTATTGGCTGCAAAATCAAAAAAGCAAACCTTTCGACAAGCTTTCTTTACGCGCTCCTGCTCTAGTACAGGCACAAACCCTGCCCGCCCTTACCCCGAGAGACTTCACGCACTCCAGGGGTGGTCAACAGGGTCTTTGCTTGGAAGTGATGCATCACCATGAGCCCAACTGATGCCCGAAATATTTACCATCTGCTCCAGAGGGTGTAACGGCGAAGAAGTTCGTTCCTCCATAATGATTCTGACAAATGCAGATATTTTGATTCTACGGAAGCAAAATTGGCTCTGGATTACCACTCTTGTCAATACAACGTAATGGCGACGATGTCGGTTCCGCTCTGAGGGGGGAAATGGATGTGGATGCAATATCCTTGGGGCAAACATTTCCAATTATGCATGCCACAGGCATGGGATAAAGGAATATATAAAGCGGCTAAAGATATCCACCTACTCGCTGGTCACGCATCAGATGGGAAACTATTGTTAGAACGAAAAGCACATGCCTGGTATCAGACATGGTATGCAGTCATGACAGGGAATTAAAGACATTCGCCGCTGAAGAACGATCAGCGAAACAGTTAAGATGTGCTATTTATGGCGCCATTTCATTGGCTTCAATCTCGTGGTCGGGTAACATCAAAACAGCCCACAGGTGTGGCTTTTGGCATGTGAAGGTAACATATCTACCATCCTTGCCTAGACCAATTTGATTTGATAACATTATCTCGTTGGCTCGAAGAATTGTTTCCAATCGAAAGAGCGCGCAAGGGCCACCTTGTGCACGGTCGCCTAAAATGATCAATGCGTCAAATTTATTTTTTAGCATCGCCATCGAGAGCTGCTCTGCGAACAGCAAGCAAGAACAAAAACATATGTATTCTGACCCCCTCAACCCGAGCCATTCTATGTCCATCTGAGAAAAGAAGAGAAGAGAGCAAGAGAGAAGAAATGAAATTGGATGATGCCAAACCAGCTGAAGTTGTCTTTAACAATCAGCCTTTTGTCTTAGAGGAGTTCTCTATGATAATTGCTGCAGTTCACAAACAGCAATGGATGTATGTATTATGAAGGTGGTGAGCGATGGCTAACCAGGGCATCTAAATTGCTATGCATAGCTATGTAGTACGCATCGAACTAATCATGAATGACAGCATCATAGACGAGGCTCACCACGATATTGTGAAGGAAAAATATTGAGAGCTGGGCATCCACGCCTTTTATCTACATAACTTGCATGTCGTTACTTTGAAGGAGGGAGGGGCATGCTAGGAATGGAATTGGTCCCTTAATGCTTCATCACCATGGTCAAGTTTTATCCAGAGATCTACGCCAGCTTTCCCTGGACAAGTTTCTCAGTGATGAGTACTGCCCCAGTGTCTTCTTTTGGAGTATCTCAAATCTTTCAGATGCATCACCTACACAATTGTACTCCAGCTCGGATAAATAGCTTTCTGATGGGCATCCGTGAAATACATAGAGCGTGGTGACTTGAGGCTCAAAAAACATGCTCCCCCTCAAGGACGGATCCTGGGCATGTTGTTTGGATTGATTTTGATCAGGGAATAACCTATTATAAGTGCCGGATCACATATATAGAGACAGATTCTCTCAACCGGGGAAGAAGAAGATACAATTGCAGATCTCAGAAAATGTTAAACTGAGTGGTTGGTTGTTGAGTTCATTCCGAATCCCACCGTCCACCCTTTACAAAGCTGACCTTACACCCTTATCGAAACTCAAACAAGAGTAGATATTCTACAGCATATGGCGGGTTCCCCTCTCATTCATTCCTTAACTCATGTGCTCACTACCCATCGATCCGGCTCGAGTGTGATGTGGATGCTGCTGCACGCAAAACGGAGAAAGCATAAGCTGATCTACCGAGAAACGACACATCAACGGGCGCATAACAAAGAATGGACAATCGATACCCAATGTCCCAACTTGGGTTTCTTGCTCCAGTCATGCAATTGCTTCCTCACATGTCTACCCGCTATACCCGCTGTGGTTTATTCGGTTGCATTTTGGGGTTAAATTATTCATCATCAAAGCCTACATCTAAGCATGATTTGAAACTACGCAACAGTTTCGGAGGCTTGCCGTTGCATACACTATTTTGATTCAGCCTGCGTTCTATCGCATCTACTCAAACAACCCTTGGTGTTGCGCGGCTTCGAATACCAATAGCTCATTTCTCTTTTTTCTTGAACTCAAGGCATACGCCAGATAGTTCAGATGGACACTGCTGTATATTACTAGGCCCAAGTTTCCTAGTCAAGTTTGGTATTATCAAAGTAAATAAATTAGTTAATTAAGAAGATGAGATCCAGCCCCATTTCCTGAATGAATATATCTATACCAACTGGGAGGAAATGAAACATCGCACAACACAGATATATCTTACAATCATACCTAAAACATACATAAAGGGCAACACCGGCGGGGGCTCATATGAATAAATGGGATAGGAAAGAAATGGAAATATGATGTGTATAGAGTACATGATAAATGGAAAGGCCCAGGACATTTCCAAAACAACTGGAGAGAAAAGGACGGTTCTAAAAGTACAATATGTGTTCTGTACATGTACAAACATAAGCCAATTCATGGGCGGTGAATCAATCAAACATGGGATACCAGGTACCACGAGAAACGTAAATTGGAATTACAAATAAGGACAGCTAAGAATTGCGGCGCATAATTTAATATACTGTTCCTCATAACATCTAGAAAGATGAAAAGTCTTCGTCTTTACCGATTTGGATTGAGAATGTTTTTCAGACGCTTGTTTTCGGTTTCCAGCACACTCCGCTCTTCAGCGCTGAGCGTCCTCTCCTTGCGGGCGAGCTCATTTAGCTGTTTGGCCTGCTTCAGGATATAGACCGATTCCTCGAATGAAGGTAAATAGGGACGAGAGAATGGCCAACAGCCCTCAGAAACTCGGTCTGATGCAGCCTTGACCCTTTCCCCCTCGTCCGCGTCTTTGCCATGCTTAGAAAGCGTCGCGTAGGCCAGTAACGATATCAGTTTGTCAACCTGCGACCGCAGTGCGTCAATAGCGTTCAATATTCTCGTCTTGAACACCATATCAGAAGTCTTCGTATCAGACACACGCGCCAGGATGGGAACGGATTCCCTGATACTTTCTTCCGAAATGCCGTACCTGACAAGTTCCAGGTACTTGGAGAGAATCTCAGGCTCCGGCTGCATGAGAGCTGTATCCATAAGCCCAATCAGCTCGCCAGCTGTTTCGAGAACGTGTGGATTCTTTCGATCGCGAGAGCAACAGCTTATCGCGATGACGAAGGTTTTGCGCGCAACCATGTCGGGTCTAGGTAACATATTTTTAATAATGTGAAGAGCTTCAGTGCTGGAGCGAGCAACCCGCAGAAGACGCAGGTATTCGTGGAATGAATGTGTATCTGGCTTTATCATGGATTGTTTAGGTCCAGATGTGAAAAATTCCCAGTACGCCCGGCCAATGGCAATTCCGTTTGGTGTTGTTCGGCAAGCTGATAAAACCAAGGATAATTCATCGTTCGTAGGAGTAGGGAGAGTGATTTGTAAACGGCGAGATTTCGTTCTCGTTCTCGTTTGCGCATTTTTGTGGATCTGTGAGAGGTCTACCGGCTTGAATAGGTATTTGAACTCTTCGGTTTCTGACAATGGTTCCGGCTCTTCATTTAACTGTTCGACTTCTTCGGCTGGAAGTCCTAATCCTTCAGATGCCAGTTCCTGCTTTTCGGGCAATGGTTCCGGCTCCTCCTTCTGAGCACGGTTCATTTCATCATTGCCCATTGACACCCTCTCCAGCTCGGGACTTTCAGCACTAGACTCTTGTTTCCCCACCGCCAACTCTTGCGCTGTCATTTTATTTTGCTCTCTAGTTCTGGGTGCTTCAAGTTGCGTATCCACACCTTCAAGCAAAGGAACATCCATCGTTTGGTGCAGTAAGGCGAACACGTCAAGGCAATCACGTTTTCGTCGGCCGAAAAGAAGCAAACGCCCCATTGCAGATACGAGAGGTTGATCGACAATGAAGTCGCCCGCTCTCCAACGGCGTACCACATCAGCCCATATTCTTTTCCCTTCCCGTACTGCCAATGCTTTCTTCTCCGCAATGCCATCTACTTGGCTGCGAGGATTAAGGTTCTTGGTTTCGTTAGCTGTATGTGCCTGAAGGCCGTTGAGAACAATGGTAAAAGTCCTTGAGTCAGGAGCTCCGTCACCACGTTCAGGAAGCGACCCAGCCACTTCCCACAAGGCATCCATATTGCCATGCCGGGAGCACACGCCCAAAACCGCATTGACATGTAGGACAGATGGCTTAACGCCGGAATTGGGTGAGCACAAGCTTTTGTAAATCGACAGTGCCATCTGTACTGATTTTTGAGAACTGCTGCGTGCTAGGCCCCGAAACATAATAGTATAAGTGTAAGAGTTCGGTTTCCGGCCTCTTTTTTTCATCTACATCTAGTATTAGATTTTGGGGGAATTTTGAAAAAAATGGAAGCAGAGGATCCTCACATCGTTATAAAGCTTGAAAGCCGCAACCGGTCTGTCATTTTTCATCTCATGGTCAAATAGCACGTTCCAAGCAACCATACAATCATAGCCTCTCGACTGTGCGGTTCGCACTAATGCAACCGCCTTCTCGAGGTCTCCTTTGTTAAGGATCTGTGCCACTCGCTTTGACAAAACTACCCGATCCCTTGCCCACTCCAATTCAATATCGATTGCCTTCTTTGACACCGTAGGTCTCCACACTCTTTTCTCTTCTGGCTTTAGTTTCCCTTCAACACCTATCCCTGAGTCCCCAACGAGATCTGCTTCAACGAGTTCCTCCTCCTTTCCGCCAAGCTTTAAGTAGCCAGTCGTCTTCAAGGATGGGGTACGAGGTCTGGAGTCTGATCTTAATCGCGTAGCGCGTCCTCCACCACCCGGTGAACGTTTATCGAACCTTGAGGTGGAAATACTTCTACATTCGGATCCATTCCCAGTAATACTCTGCGCCAGGAAAGCTCCCGAGAGTCTGCCATATAGCATCGAACCCCTGTTGCCAACCAATCTGGTAGCTAATGTGCTACAGGCACAGACATTTCTGCACCGAAACATTTAAACACCACCTCTTCCGTAGCTTTTAGTCGTCGTGCACCGTTTCCTCGAGTCTTTGCCAATAGAATAAACGGGGTCTAAACCTAGAAGAAATCGTTAACTACTAGTATCACTCAGCAAATAAATTTGTAGGAAGCTTCTACACACTGGGACGAGGCGGGAAACTTACCACAATTTGGCACTTTTATCACAAAATCCCTGAACAGCTAGCTACCTTATTACATGAGCGGATAGCAGCTCAAAAATCAGATGGCTGGGTTTCAATTCGTGTGATAAAAATGTCTTCTGTCGACTGCGACGCAATGAGATTTTCTTTGGCTTCCGATGATTAGCCGGATGAACTAAATTCCGCCGAGAGCTCAACTGGGAACCGCCAACGGTCCTGAAGGGTTCAAGTACTCGATAGACAAAATACTACTGGTAAGAGAATATCGTGCATAGATATATTCATGTCCGCCTTATCCCTTTATACAGATCGGTTAGGTTATATTGACTCTCTGAAAACATCCACCCGTTTATAAGCGCGCAATCCCTCAACTACCTAAACATCAAAGCACTCCGCCACCCCCTATTAACCAATATATTTAGTCTGTAGTACTTTGTACATGCCAGTGTACATCTGGAACAATCTGTTAGTTCAATCATAACCTACACCAATAATATCTCTTTCTAACATTTGTGTTAGCCAAAAAGCTGCTGGGTCCGGAAGTCAGATGCCACTCTATGCGTTTGGTTCGAACGGCTCTGGTCAGTTAGGGATCGGGCACTTGGATGATGTTCCAGTTCCTTCTCGGTGCCTCTTTGAGCAGGAGAACAAAGAAAATAGTCCAAAAGACATCGATATTGCCTGTATATCAGATGAGCCCGTCCAAATCGCCGCTGGGGGGAACCATACTCTAGTTCTTTTCAAGTCCGGTGCTGTTTATGCCGCTGGGTCTAACCAGAACGGCAGGTGTGCCCATGATCCCAATAGAATTACATCATTACTACATTTCAGTAGAGTGGGTTTTGCTAGAGGGGACGGCAGTTGCGTTAATCGCTTCAAGGCCATTTTCGCAACATGGGAGGCGTCCTTTTTTGTGGACGCTGAGCGGGGTCATCTCTACGTCTGTGGAGTGGGCAATAAGGGTGAACTGGGACTTGGGGAAAATTATGTAGAGGCCAATAGCCCCACGCGGATTCGCGAATTTCCACCAACAGGGTTGGAAATAACTTCCATTTCCAGCAGTGTTTCGCATACAGCGGCGACGCTCTCGAATGGTGAAGTGTATGGATGGGGAATTTCAAGGAAAGGTCAGCTTGGTGAAAAGAATATAAAGAAGAAAATCTTATGGGCACCGCAGAAGATCGAGGATGTCTCGTTCTTTGCTTGTCAGGTTGCTTGTGGGAGGGAATTTACAGCTGTCGCGGGGGATGCACGGACGGGAGAGTTTGCCATTTTTGGACCCGAAAAGTGGGACATACTGTCCGGTGCACCGAAGGAGATTAAATATTACACTACCCTAGCAGCTAGTTGGCATGGTGTATATGTCCACAAACAGGATGGTTCTACCATATCGTGGGGCAGGAATGATCGCGGTCAGTTGCTTCCACCAAACCTCCCACGGCTTGTGAAGCTGGCTATAGGGAGCGAGCATGCCGTTGCTATGATCGAGGGCACAAATATTGTGGCATTCGGATGGGGTGAGCATGGTAATTGTGGACCAAACACTGATGCACAAGGCAATGTCGCTGGACGCTGGAATGAGATCCCGCTGAGTGCTGAGGGCAGCAACACAGTCACTGGTGTAGGAGCAGGCTGTGCGACAAGTTGGATTATGACGGCCTGAAGCAGAATGCTAAAATAGGGCGGTACGCCAAGGTCATTCCTTGGGTCACTTTACCAACTCGTTTTAAAGACCACAATCTCAGCGACCAAGTGACTGCAATTTAGCCATACAAAAAGATTTTTCAAGTCATTCGCCAGCCATATCAATCAAATATCCCTCGTATCTATTCTGAAGTCAGTATCAGTGTGCTAAAACACAAGGATCTACATACTTGTGATATCCGCTGTGTTGGAGGTATTGCCATTGAGCTTTCTTGGTCCTGATCATTTCGTCTCATACTCGCCGCAACAGGCGTGATATCTTGGATACGCCCTCCAATGCTTGCCTGCAGCGCACCCTACGGAACTTATTAGCGGTACTGTTCGGGAAAACAAGGGGGGGGGGGGAGGGGGGAGAACTAGTTGCTGGCATACCTGATCCATATGTGTGTCCCAGCCAAGAGTGTCTTCGTCTTCGTCACCATATCTCGGTTCATCCCATTGTTGGTCGTCGTCAGCCGGGACGAACAAGGACTCGAAGGGAACCGACTGGTGTGGCGGATGTGGCAGGATGCTCGCCTGAGCTCCCTCCCTGGCTCCTGGCTGCGAAGGCGGCTGGAGAGAGTGAGTTCTCGGGACAGATTCCGGGACCTCAGGTTGGGGATTTGCTGTCGGCTCTATTGGATGGACAGTAGTCGGCCGTGAATATGGTCTTGCGGATAATTCTCGGTTTCCGTTTGTGGATCCTGATGACGCCTCTCCAGCCTCCCCTCTCGTCATCAACGTGAACGCGCACGCCATCCCACCTACTTCGTAGGACAGCTGCATTGGCCGGCATGGACGGGTATATCGTGCCACAATATCTCCATTCAAAGAATGTGCATGGATGACGATAGCCTTAAAGTCCTTGACGTTGATAGCCACATGAAGATTATCCTCCACTGTGAAATGGTCGAAATCTTTGGTATCGATAGCTACAGATGTATGAACGGGTTGCTTGAGAATTTCTGCAGGTAATGGTTAGAATTTTAGATAATTATAACCAATGAATCCATCTGCGGCTTCCTTACGTTTTCCATCCACAAGTTTTGTAGTAAAGCTCGTAAACACCACTCTATTATTTTCAGAGAATATATCCAGCTGCTCGGCAGTAGGCGCAAAATGGTCAATAATTTCTCGCAAATACTTGGAATCTATACTCCACTGATTTTGAGTTTTTGATTTGTCGAATAGAGCATGCTGAATCTCCGCGGTTTCGTAGGTTAATTTGTATGTCTTGACGACCCCTAAGTGACCGCGCATTTTTTAGTTTTCCAAATTAGATAAAACAAAGAATCAAATGGCATAGCAAGAAAAAAAGGTTTCCACCGCACCCTGCCTGCATATCATCTGGATGATAAATCTGCATTGAGTTTCATTGGGTCCGTCCTGGAGCCGGACTTCACAGCGCTCAATGGCAGTCTCTTTGTCTTTGAAGTCACTGACTCGGCCCCTAAACACTGACAACAGCGCCTATATATATATATATATATATCATTCTTAGTAGATAAACATGCGATGCACACAACAAGACTCTAAAAAAAAACCTCGCTCACCACCAACCTTGATATATATTTGACAGGTTAATTTATCTGCAGCATTACCTGCCGCAGCACCGGATGCAACGCGTCTCGCGCCACCAAACATGTACTGCGAGAAAAAGGTCGAGGCATCAAACTTGAAAGACGCATATGCCGACTTGGTTGGATTCAGTGCTGAGAGCCGGAGCTAACCTCCGTTGATTTCTGTCAGCAACACACACACAAGATAAGGTCTTCAACAGAAGAGGTACCGAAGGAAAAACGAGTTGAAAACTAGATTTCATACAAAGGATGCCTCAGCTTCAATCGATACGCTTTCGTTGAATTTTGCAAGGCATATAAGCACATCATGCAGCTGAAGCAGAGCATCTGGAGGCAACGTAAAGTGGAGAGAAGTCATGGTGTAGAGACTAGAGAGTGATCCTTGATGAATATTGAAGTAGGGATGTGATTCACATGGCTACCCGTCTTGGATTTTACCTGAGCGTTCCCATATATTTGAATTAGTGCTTTGAGCGCGTTATGAGCGATGTCTTGAGCTCTCAATGAAGGAAGGCGGTTGTAATGAGATTAGGTAATCATCAAGGACGGCCTTTGTTGGAATGAAGCGAGGTATACAACAATAGTCTTTTTTATTCTTATATACTTAGGTGTTGAAAACGGAATATATATAATATATATATATACATCCTCTGTCCTTGCAATCAAGTGGATCAGTTCTTTCACCGGGATCGAGAATCTTGACCTGTCAAATAGCATCGACAAGAGTAGTTACTAAACATACAGCAAGCACGTATAAATCAGGAATACCAATCGACCCAATCTAACGTCTACACACTCCGCATATGTGAGGTATAATAAATGGTAGAGTAGTGGTATCGGTAGTGTTCAGAGAGACAGGCACCGTAACTAACGCCAAGGTACCCCGTATGAAGTACGATAATATGGAAAAGGGGTTCAGATAACTAACTACGGAGTACTGGTACCCATTTACAAGATGCGGAACAGCAAGTTCAAGTGGAAAAAGAAAGCAGTAAAGTAATGTCAAAACGCCAAGCAGATTACTATTCATATAGGGAAAGGTGGCAATATTGAAGGTTTACGCCGTCAAAAGGCAAATATCCACTTTCTGTACGGCCCTGGCACTGTACGGAAAAAATCACCGAACAGGCCCTTAGTCTTACGGGAAAGTACGACACGTTTTTAGATGGCAACTTCTACAGCGGAGTTATTTCTCTCTTCCTGTCTTTGGTAAAATTCAACCTCGGCGACCCAGGGGCCCTGGAAATATTTGCATCGACAGAAGATATTGTCAAGAAGCAGGCTAAACGACATTTCATGCCAGGAATTGGGACGTATTTCCTGGAGCAATTGCGCGCTTCGGGGCATGGGCTTTTTGTGACCAATAAATATTAAGTAAGATGCCCTTCGGACATATGCCCACGTTCCCGCAACCCAAAAACTTCCCAAGACACTGCAAAGATGGAAAGAAACTACGAGGTTCGAGAGCCACAACATACTGTTTCCTCAGCATACTAACCTTATTCAGGGAGCTATCCACCGCTTAAACACGAGGCGAGCGATCGCAAAACCAAACCTGGATGACATGCGTGGCTCAGATGACATGGTGGAATGGTTAAGGCTTCTTGGCCACTCGGTACGTACATTATACCGCCCGCATAATAAAACGCTACTGAGCACAAGCATAGACGGGAAACATGAGCCGCTTGAACGTTATACACATCGCCGGGACGAAAGGGAAGGGTAGCACTTGTGCATTCATCGCATCCCTTCTTAAAGCGCACGGCGATGACAGCGGATACCCTCAGAAAATAGGGTTATACACATCCCCACACATAAAGGACATACGTGAGAGAATTCGTATTAATGGTGAACCGATATCGAAGGATCTTTTCACTATCCGCTTTTTCGAGGTCTGGGACAAGCTGCCGAGCAAAGCTACAGACAAGTTGGATATTCCGCGTTACCTTCAACTCTTGGCCCTGCTCTCCTTTCATGTATTTATCAAGGAGAAGGTAGACGTAGCAGTTTACGAGGCTCACTTAGGTGGAGAATTTGATGCAACGAACATCATAAAAATGCCGACCGTAACTGCCATTACTTCAATTGCGATGGATCACGTCAATCTACTGGGACCAACGATTGAACGTATTGCTTGGCACAAAGGAGGAATTTTCAAGTCAGGGAGCGTTGCCCTTTCAGCCCCCCAGGAACGTGCTGTTGCGGAAGTACTCCAAGAACGAGCTGACGAAAAGGGAGTCCGACTCGAATTTGTCAGTCTAGACAGTACAATTCCGATCAATGCCCTAAAGCCGGAACCTCAGAGATTAAACTGCTCCCTAGCTCTTGCAGCCGTTCGCGCTTGGCTAGCTAGAAAGGCACCTGGACTGGGTATCACTAATTATAGCATCGCCAACGGCATCGAGCAGTTTTACTGGCCGGGACGGTATCAGCAAATCATAGACCGACATTACCAGTGGTTTCTTGACGGAGCGCACAATGAACTAAGTCTTCGGTTAGTTGTGGAATGGTTCGCGAAGGCAGCGTCGGAATATCAAAGGTGAGTGATATCCTAACCGGAAACTACAGACTTTATGCATATTGATGATCTCTAGTGACACGACACCCACACGCATCCTTATATTTAGTCATTTTTCAACCCGAAATGGTATCCATCTTTTGCGAACCCTTGCAACATCTCTACGAGACAAAAATATTCAAATGCAAAATGTCATTTTTAGCTCATATGACGAAAGGCAAGATGGCCGAGCCAGAATTGGTAAAACTCACTCACCACAAGGTAAAATGGGTACTAACTCAACCCGCAGACAGAAATCTAGGCAATCGCTTCTCGCCAGAACTTCAAAAGAGTTATGCAGATTTTTGGGAAGAATTCGATCGAACGGCAACAGTATCATGCGAACGGACAATCGAGGAAGCTTTGCACCAAGCTAGGAAAATTGGTGATGAGAATAACGGCATGCAAGCTTTGCTAACAGGAAGCCTGCACCTAATCAGCGGGGCGCTCTCCCTTCTGGAGTCGTAAGACCGTCTTCTACGATTGAAATCGTCGAGGTTACCCTTGAAAGCGAGTGAGCAGGAAACAGTTGAAAGTTGTGTTTTATCCCGCGTGCTAAGCGCCTTTAACGGCACAGCGAAAAATTTCGAGAATTTAATGGTCAGAGTTCTGCTATGCACAAAGGACTTTTCAAAGAATCATAATATGTGTAATGCCTGGTCAACAAAAGTACCAGTGTACAGGGCTGGCTCCTCCTTGACAATGCGAAATTTCGTCCTAACCCAATGTAATCTGTACACTGCGAGCCGGTGGATTCTCAGTTGAATCCGAGGCAAGAATAACTGATGCTGACACGTGATATTACCCCGCTTTCATGTGTTGGGTGTCTGTAGTTGGATTGGTTGCGAGCTCCTGTATGTATTTTACAGAACATGACTAAGCGAAAGAGTTCGTTGTGGTGCAAGCCGGAGCCGGAAAAATAGCTCGGCGTGGCCGTTACTAGATCCCCAAAAATTAAACTTGAACCTGAAATCAAATAAAAAATGTGCGCTTGTCCTCCTAGTCTTATTCATACTACTGTACCAAACCCGGAATCCCTCCTCATGGTTGGTGCAGGGGAATCTTCCGCCAGGATATGCACCCGTACAGCCTCCAGGTTGCAGTGGGAGCAGCCCATCTCCCGATTCCAGCGGTGTATAGTTTCCCAGATCAGCGCTGGACCTATGCAAGCCACCAGTTGCAATTGGAGCCCATCCCTCAATTCCAGTGGTGAAAAGTTTCCCAGATCAGCAATAAGGCGTCTGGTAAACCCGGAATCCTTTTGCGCAGCTTTAAGCATGGGTGACCAGCCTGCATTCGAACGAGGCAATAAGTGCAAGGAGTGGTTTGGGCACTCTCCACCCGGGTTCATAGCTCGGCAGCCCTATCCGTTCCCACATTCACGTTCTGCATCGAAGCCGAGCCGGATCAACCCTTTTGACCATAATCCTCCCTTTGATTATATATACCAGCATCTGTTCCCAGCGAGCTATATGGTTCTTGGTGGAACGACTACGAGGCTCTCTACCGTCGAGCGGAAGCGGAACGAAGGCGGGCAGAAGAATTGAGAAGGCAGGCAGAAGAGCGAGAGGCAGAGGAAAAAGTGCGCAGCCAGCCGACAACACTCGGAGAGCTCATCAAAGGTGTGCTGCAGCTCAAGTATATATATTCATTTTGTCGTGAATCGGAAGATGCCAAGCTTTGTCGAGGCGTAGATTACCTTCAGAAAATGATAGGTGATTTACAAGTTGTTTGCGCAGAAAGCACGGTGCAACTGGTGGAAGATCTATAATTTCGTATTGCTTGGACGGCAGCTTGTAGCTTGTTTTCAAGTTATATCAATAAAATCCCAACTCATCCAAAATCTCCAAGGAACACCCACCCAGAGCGTGGCCGTTGCATGGTGGAAATGCTACTCGCATGTAAATGAATGGTACCATACGTAAGCCAATGCCCTCAGCCTGTACCTCCGTGGTTTATTGAATATGGATGGCCATGCACATATTGATTCCCAGTTGGGGCGAAGCGAAAATCCGAACCATTTGTTCATGGTCTCTGTGCTATTCCAGGGGCACGAATTCCCCGGGCGGGAAGCAGTCAAGGTAAGGCTGGCTTGCATTCTGGACCCTGTTGTGTCTCTCGCTAGACTCCATAAAGAGAGGCCTTGCACCCACCCTTCCCTCAATCAGGATTTAACAAGAGCCAGTGCACTTCAGCACACGAACCCTTTTTGACCCTGCTTCAGCGAACCAGTTCTATCTGCCGGTCAGACACGCTATTCTTTGCCGGGTGGCGAGTTGTTGAGAATGGATGTCCGATCTCTGTTGAATCCTCCAGATGAGGAGAGAGGACGGTGATCGCTGCTGTTGCATTAACAGAGTTGAGAAACAGACCTCAGCCTCCGTTCCAGAGCCAGGTCAATTTTCCACACAGGGTAAGGCCAAGAAGCTCTATCGACTCTAGATAAATGAAAGTACTAATCGGAATATGAAGGCAAATATCACCAGACTACCCGTTGAACTGAAACGGCAGATTGCGGGCCACCTGAACACGAAAGACATCGCACATCTAGCCCGTACCTGCAAATCCTTCCTCCTCTCGATCGAGCCATGTCTTTATGAGACAGTGAACTTGGACGCCTCCAAGAAGGCATATTTGCATGTGTTAAAATTGTCGGCAATGATCAATAAAGATTCAACCCTGGCTGGACATATCAAAACGCTCGAGATCGGTGATCTGAGAAAAGAGGATACCAGACAGGTGGACGAATTGGACGAATTGGTGAAAACGGCGGGATGGGAGACCAGCCCATCGGCGGATGAAAGCGTCGCACGCTTGCTCTCTCAATTGGGCAGCCTTAGGTCATTTTGCCTTAACCACCTTCATGGCGAGGTGCATCTAGCCACCTTTAACTTTGCCACGTTGCCAACCCTCACCACGCTCAAAGTGCCGGCGGAATCCCTAGTATCGCGTCAATCGCCACTAATCAATCATCTGCCTTCCGCATTAAAATGTCTTTACGTGAAAGAGGCGAACGATGAAGTGAACGAAGACACCTTGCCCCAATTGCTGATAGACTATATAATCGTTGAAACCGATAAGTGAATATGGGAAGCGAATTCCGTCACTGGTTGTAACATGGGTTGCAGGATGCTGGTTGATATACAGCTGGAGGCCCATTGCAATTGGTTCCCAGCGTTCGCAAATGGTTCGCCTATCTGGATCACACCCTGGAGTTTCCATTGATCCCGGAATTGTGCCAAAACTGCGCCTTGCAGCGTGCCATGCGCGCAGCAGAGATAATAGAGCCGTTTACGAACTCTAGAATAAAAGTATCTCTAGTTCCTATTCTTTTCCTTTCTCGAGGAATTGTTCGCGGGCCCAGTCCAAAGTTCTTCCAAATTCTATCAAAATGCATCAGGCAGAGAATTCGCCACTGAATCATGAGCAGGATTCAAGGATCGAAGAGCAGACAAGTAACTCAATGACATTGGAATCAATGCCTTTTTGTGGATTTCCAAATGTCAACCAGTTTGAAAAGTAAGTGAAATAGTATAATTCGACTGAGAGAATTGCTGATGATTTGTAGCTGTCTCAAAAATTTGAATACACAGGGAGAAGCTTTGATATCCTCAAACATGGCTAGTAGGATCAGAACAGTGCTCGACTCTACCACAACCATGGCTGGCAGGATCAGAACAGTGCTCGGCCCTAAAACCACCGCAGAATCACCAGAGTTTCAGTATGGAATGTTGTTTCTTCTATTGGTTTCTTCAAAGGGAGAAATATGGCTAACTTAATGTCGAAGACGCTGGTGCAAAACGATGTTCACACTCAAGTCAATCAATAACCAGCTTTTGATCTGCCGCGAAGGGAAACCCATTGCAATTTGGGAGAAGCTGTTTATAATTTTGACACGAGCCCATCAGCAATGCCATCATGGAGACCTGCACAAGACTTCACTTGAAGTTGAAAGAATCTATTTCAAGTATGTTAATAACATAACTGGTGGTCAAAGCTCTTGCTGACTGACATTTCAGAATCCCTCATAACATAATTAATGAGTTCATTAAACTCTGCCCAATTTGCTGGCATCGTACACTCAGATCGCCTGCTGAACTTGAAGATGAAGAACTCGATATGATCGATTTTGACCAGCCAGATAGAATACTATTTTACTTGAAGCATTTTGGGGGGGGGTTTGGTAACTACGTCAAAACAATATTTGCTACGTCTTCACTATTAACAAAGTTTACAGGACCCCGCTCCTACCACACCATCAAGACAGAGCCAATTTCGCTATGAATCTGATGGTTCTGTTCAGCTTCCTTCCTTTAAAGAATTAATCGCTACACTCCCGAAAGATTGCGCGCGGCAAATGAAAACGGCAGATGTGGCCTGCTGTAGTGAAATGGAAGCGTATCTAGGAGAGACCCAGCCATGTCGAACTCGAGTGGATGCAACTACTAAAATCTCCACCCAACCACATCGAGAGGACTCACCAAGCGGTCGCGAACCTTGGGGGTTTTGCTAAGTACCGACGAGAGATTCTTGCACAGTGGGAGCAATTCCAGGAAGAAAGAAATAGCCTCAGACAGTGTCTGGCCATTTGTGATGGCTCCTGAACCAGGATGTCGTAGTCATTTCTTGTCTTCCTTGTTGGAACATTCAACTTAACGGAACGAATGGAAGAAACGGAAGAGGTGGAAGAAGTGAAAGAAGCGAGAGATTTCGTGTTTTTCCTGCAGCGTTCGACTAGTCCCCCTTTTCCCTTTTTTCTGTTTTTCCCGCAGGTTCCATAACTTCCGTACTTTCTACAACTGGCTATTTTTTCAGCAACTGTTTGATTTTCACATGTATCTTTTGCTTTCTCTTGGAAAGTCTAAAAGTTTCAGTAAATCAAAAGGAAAATTAACACTGAAGAAATAGAGCATCGGAAAATTAGAAATTCTGAATGTTGAGTGTGAAAATCAAGAAAACCTAAGCTACACTTCTATCAGACCATCCCAAACTTTCCCTCACAGTTTTATTGCCATCTGGCAATAACCAATCACCAATCTTTCGTCCTATTTGAAAGTGTTTTTCGATATGATCAAAACGTTCTGTCCAGGAATCTGACCCTCTTGCTGCAGTGGGATAAGTTTGCGACAAAATCCACACCATGTCTGACCCTGACCATTTCTCCCAATTTCACTTGCTGACACAACAGCTTTGACATCAGCTTCTCTGTAACCGTGTTCACTGCAGAGGTGCTTTTGTAACTTGTCTTTCCTATCAAAGCACCGGGCACATTCATTCTCGCTGGAATTTGTAGACAGAGCCTTAGCAGGGTCATCGGGACAAAAGTTCAGGTCAAGGATTTTGGGGCAACGCCAGGCTTGCATTTGAAAATGTTCGGTATTTTCGTGCCGAATCCATTCTTTTTTATTTCCAAATTCCACGAAGCATTTAGTGCATGCGTATTGAATATGAGGTATTTCAGGGAACAGCCAGTGCATAGCTTCAGTCGTGGTTGCCGCTCGAGCACCATATTGTCCGTTCCACAGAATGAGGTTGACGCCAGTTTCAGTAAAAGACCAGTCCAGGAGCATGCCGAGGGATTTGCTGTTGTTGTTGTAGAGGCGTTAAAGCAACATGTAGAAACTCGAAGTCCGGCTTTTCTAATTCCTTGAACTGTTTCAACGCCTCATTCTCCAGCTCTTCAAGGTTTGCAATGGCCTTCCCATTTTCCAGGCAGAGTTTGACTATTTTTGACAAAGACGGGAGCACGCCGTAAAAACCAGGATTGTGGGGTGGATATTCGCCGGCATTTTGGATAAGGTTTTGAAGCTCTTGCTCTTTCGATCTCTGTAAGGAAATATAGTTGCCCACGGCCTCTTCCTGGGAATTGAGGAAAGTTCAGCAGCGGTACTTTTGTTTTCAGAGAGGAACACACGTACCTCACCGGTTGGGAACATCGTTCACTTATCTCTCGTAGCGGCAGAAATAGCACATTGGAAGAATCCGGGGTTTGGAGTCAGAATACATTTTGGGAAATGGATAGATTGCTGGGGAGCACAATCCTTTTATGAGCCAGCTGGCACATCTACCAGCGACTACGTGCAGCCCATATCTGGGGGCTTATCCGGGTAGAAGTTGGCCTTCGGTGCAATGCAGCGCACATCCGGCATTAAGATTGGAAGGTTTGCAAGGAAGAGATCGGCGGCAGGACGGCTAGACCTCAAGAGGAAATTTTTTTGCCGCAGCCTGCTTTAGTTATAGTATCAAAATGGAAAAGCAATTGTATGAGATATTTTCTGGTGATAGAGTCACCGATGCCATGCTGTCTGTAGCCGCCAGACTATTCAGTGAGAACTACGGAACCTGGGGAGAGCATTCACGGAACCCAGGTACGCCAGGATGATCTTCTTCATTGTCATATATCTAATACCTTCCCAGGGAAACCTGTTAAGATTGGTGCGCGCCGCCTGCGAGAGGAATATATTCCCCATCCCGCTACCGAGAGCTACTATGTTACGGTGACTGTTGATGGGGATCTTGCCGGAAATGCATTCTACCGCCGTTGGAGATACAATGGCCAGGGCGTTTGTTGGGTTACTCAATTGGTAGTAGACAGAAAATACCGTGAACGTGGGCTTACCAAAACCGTGTCCAGGTTGGATATTTTTGGTTTTTTCGGTGGCCGCTCCATTTCGGGCTCCAGAGCATCAGAGGACACTAAATCATCGGATGGACCATCATAGGTTGGATAGCTGTAGTCTGTGAAGGTTCTCTTTCTTTGTGACCTTCGCGTCCCCAGGGGCTGGTCGTCCGTCTCGTCTGAAATGATGATGACAGTGCGGGAACTATCCGCTGACGCCATAGCTAAGAGATGGAAAGATGGTCGTGTCGTAGATCAGCAAAGAGGAGTGACGAAGAGCTCCAGAGAGGGCCTGGCGGAAGGTTTCAGTCGACGGTGTAGGATGGAAGGTAGAAAGGGAATTGAAAGAAAGATGGATCCGAGGCGGGAGGGAGCCCATATATATATACTCAGGGCGGGGAAAGTGATCACGAGGTTCGGGCAGGGGTTCGTCGGTTCAACTTCCTGGCCTGTTGAGAGAGGGGTTGATTGATGGGCTTCTGACCTAGGGAAAGCAGTGGCCCTAGGGACGGCAGTGAACCCAGGGACGGCAGTGAACCTAGGGACGGCAGTGGCTTCTTCTTCTTCTATTCAATTTAACGTCCGGCCCAGCCGCTTTCCGCAGCTATGCAGACGATGGGTATCTATAGCTAATATACATCATATAATACAGTCTAGATGGTAGCCAAGGTCCTCCAGTGGGTCCCCCTGACTCCTGTTTGTCCTATAAACCGAAAGAACTCAGTGCATGCCTTATCGTATTTTGTCCTCCGTAATTGCTCCATATTGCCCGAGGAGTCTAGTTAAGATCATAAATCTTGCAGCCTTCTTAGCTAGCTTAGGCGTCGTCAAGATCTCCTTGAGATCCAACCTTTCCCCCCTTCCTTCCCCGTTTTCCCATGTTTCCGTTCTGAGGTTGTTAAACCTAGGGCACGCTAATAGGACGTGCCGTACTGTTTGATTTCCGCCACCGCATTCGCATAGGGTGTCAGTGATCTCTGGCACCTTTCTTTCATATAGGAATTGTCGTAGTCCAATCTTGCCGGTGCGCATCTGTACGATGGTTGAACTGAGGGCCTTGTGTAAGGAGTGGTGTAGATGGAGGACCGTGGGGCTTGGTGCGGGTGTGAGCGCGTAGGTGGCTCGCCCCGATGACTCGTTCTCCCAGTCCCGCTCCCACTGTACCTGGGTCTGGCGGTGAATTTCCGACTTGGCTGCGGATATCAGGTGTCTTAGGAAGTCAGGTGTAGCTGCGGTGTCATCAGTGTCCACTGTGATCATCCTCCCTCTTCTGCCTCGTTGTTGTCTGCAGCCCGTCGCTTCCATTGCGAGCTTGTCCGCCAATTCATTACCTTCGATCCCTTGGTGCGCCGGGATCCAGTAGAATTCCACCTGAAGGCCCTGGGAGCGGACCCTCTCTAGAGCATCTATGATCCTCCGAAGTATGGATTGGCCGGATGATCTTCTGGGGTTTTGGAGAGCCCTCAGGGCTGCCTGGTTGTCCGTGAAGATCGCTGCTCTGCGCCGGTCTGACGTTAGGATTAGGTTTAGGCCCATGAGAATGCCAAGAAGCTCGGCTGCATACACGGTGGCAGTCGTTTCCTTGCCGAGATAAGCGAGTTCTTGGGTGTGGATCGGCGGCGCCAATGCAGCAGCCCCCACTTTCCCGTGGATGCCGCTACCGTCAGTGTAGACTGCTAGTGGTGGATCGGCTCCGCTGATAATGTGTGTGTGCAGTCGTTCCGCCGCTTCTCGATCTTCCGCGATAGTGACCGTGGGCGCTCTCCACCACGGCTTTACCGGGAATGGGATCCGCGACTCCAGGTGACTGACCGCTCCTTCTCCCAGTGTTGTCTCGAGGCTGTTGTAGAGGCGCGTTAGTGGGCGGACGGCAGTGGCCCTAGGGACGGCAGTGAACCTAGGGACGGCAGTGGCCCTAGGGACGGCAGTGAACCCAGGGACGGCAGTGAACCTAGGGACGGCAGTGGCCCTAGGGACGGTAGTGGCCCTAGGGACGGTAGTGAACTAGGGAAGGCAGTGAACCCAGGGAAGGCAGTGGCCCCTTTACACAATGTATAGATTGAATCTTATAGTTAAATCGCTGCTGTTTTTAGCTAGCTCTCTAACTGCTATAAAAGATGCTCCAGGCTCTCTTTCCATCTTCCTGTTGAGATCATCTAGTCGCTAGCATTACAGGCACTTTCTGATATCCATCTGCCCGAGTGCAATCCTGAATCAAAAAAACAACATAGGTAGCATGCTTCACACCAATCACTGATGCGCCATAATGTCGAACTCTTGTATTTGTGCGCCCTAATGCTGAATAACACCCTGGCAGCGGCAAAGAGAAAGACAGAACCAATACACTAAAGACTAAGTTAGAATGAGATAACTGCTTGTTCATTCAGATTTAGTGAAAGGTTGAGAGACATCAGTCATAATTAAAAAATTGATACATAAACAAAAATTATAGTTACGAAAGGCAACTTTATCTGATCACTTTGTGTGGCAATAAGAACTTACATATATGTGAACAGACGCAGCCGATGGCTGAAAATTGGCAAGCTTAAACATATAAGAAAAAGAGTCCGCAAGCTTAAAGTAACTATTTAAAAAAGCAAAAAAGATCTGCAAGTCAAAACTGCAAGCTAAAAAGATCTGCAAGCAAGATCTGCAAGTCAAAATGATCTGCAAGCCAATTCTCTAAAAGTTAATGCTAAGAATTTATTGTGGCAGAGGTGGCTATTCTCTATCAGAGAGAGAAAAAGGGCCTAGGGAGTTTACAGCTAAGTTACATTCCAATTTCTAGAGTTCTTCGTCTATCTCATCCTGCGGATGTACTTCACGAGTCCGCTTCGGATCATCCTGCTCTTCTTCTTCTTCTTCTTCTTGCCTTGATCTTGTTAGCCGTCCCGCCTTCCGCTTTCCAGTTTTAGTATCATACATCGACACATATTTCTCAATATCATCTACTGATGCAGAAGCTGTGATGGATATTCCAGGAGCTGTCTTTGGACCAACAAATAACAATCTCTCCTCTTCGGCTACTGCCAGGATTCTTTCATCAGGTAAACTTTGACCTTTTTTCCCGACATAATGCATGAAAAAGTGATCTTTAGATAGTAAGAATATCGTAGATTGAAGAGCGAAGTCATCATTCCAAAATTTGTAGAATTGTCGAGTAGAAAACATATAGAAGACAATGAGGCCGTCGTCTTGAGAAGCATACCACATGTTCAATATCTCATCTGTACTGCGATTCGCTGCTATGGCAAGCCTCGTATTTGGGTCGCCGCTAAAGTCTTCAAATCCTGATGCTTGGGGGACCGTTAGCTTATTCGTGCCCGAGGGCACGTAGCTGCTTAAAATGGAAGGTTGCCCTGGCAGGATAGATCGCTCAAATGGGACGTCTCGGCTACCTGATGAATGATCTTCATGAACCCAGGATTCTGTAGGTGGTGTCGACTCCATATAACTACTTGTTTGCCACGGCAGGGTGGGTCGTTCCAATGGGATGCCAGGGCTGCCTGTTGGATGATCTTCATGCTCTGGAGATTCCGGAAGTTCCAAAATTTGATCATATATGGGTTCCTTCCCAAAGAAAGAGAATATTATCTCCCGTGTAACCGCAATTGAAGTCGGATGATGAGCAATAGATTGATCAGTACCGTAAATATGCTCAATGAAAAAATAACACCGGTCACTCTCAAGGTGGGAGGCAAGGGGTCGATTATACCGACGACAAAGAGGCTCGCTCGTTGCATTTTTACTGAATACTGGCACTCCATCAGCTATTTTTCTTTTCTCCTGCAGTTGCTTTAGAGTGTTTTGTATTCTGCGCACAGTGTCACTAAGTCTCTTTGGCTCTGGTTCATAGAGTTCGACCTGACACATATGCTCAACGAAATAGCGGCACGTCTGTTCATTGGCATCCTGGTTAGATAACTTTTTAATCTCTGTGGAGCTAAAACCTAAGCTTATGGCTTCGTCTGCCAAAAAAGGCAAACCTCAGATAGAGGAAAACGTATGGATAGCCTCAGACGTGTGAGAATCCTTGAGCGGGCTGACGAATAGCCGTATAGCACAGAGCCACAGCTGAACGTATGATAGATACGATGCTGCTTTCAAAGTACCTGCTGCTATTCTGTAACCTGCTGCAGATGTTTGGATGATGTATGAATTTTCAGTATGCACATATTTCTTCAACAGTGCATTCCTGACAGAGCCCTTAAAAGTTTTCGGAAGAAGACCACGTAATGCTTTGCTAGGGAGTTCTAGGAATAGTAAGTCCTGACTGAAAGTGTGAAGAGAGAGTATTCTTCCGGAGACCTGAAGCAAACGTTCCAAAACCTTGCTTCTTCTCTCTGAATCTATAAGTGCAGGAAATATTTCTCTGTTGTTCATCAGATCTTGAATACGTTTCTGATCCACTAGAGAGTATGCTGGCATCAGACCCTCTAAGAGATGCACTGACTGTGCATCAACCAGAGCAGCAGCATCATGAGGAAGCACAGACCAGACTTTAAAAGTCTGGTCTAAGTAATTAATCGACTCCTGTTAAGAAATCAGCATGCCCTAACAACAAACATTTATGGGCAGGAGACTCACCTCATAACATCTGGAGTCAACAATACGCCGAAAGAGTTTAACATTGACTGAGGCCCACAGCCCAACATACGGTAAGAGGCGATCAAATTGGTTTAGCAGTCGCTCCTGTTTCTGCATCTGGCGCACATGGCGGCGTTTAGGGGAACTCCACCTTGCCCACCAGGCTTCCGCTCGAGGACCATTACCCCGTAGCTGATGATAGCGGAGGTTGCGATAGATGTCACCATCGCCGAAATTCTGCTCATTTGAGTACTTTTCTCGCAGCCGATCTCTCGCAGCAGCTGGAAGGCCTTTTCACTAGTTAGTGGAATATCATACTCGTGAGAAAAAGGGCAGGACTTACTGTTACTGTCTAGATAAAGTCTTGCTCCCCACCATCTCTCACCAGGTAGAAAAATTCCTGCGCCGCTCGTATGCGGCTTTTGCCCTGCAAACATAGAAGCCTTGTGCCATGCCCCAAGATTAGATTTGGGGGTTCGATACCATTTAAAAGCACGACCTGTGTCGTCCTGGAGTCATCTATTGCCTGGCTCAAAGTATTCTGGCTAATGAGAACAGGAACATAATTCTCAGGGTCCTCACGGTCACAACCCACAGACTCAAATAATTTTAGCAGTCTCAAGACATTTTGAGTCTCGACATTCTGGCCTACGGGCCGGGAGCCGAGGACGTGGTCATCCTCCAGCCGAAAATGTGAAAGGTCAATCTTTGCGTACCCTCGGAAATGCCGGATGGCCTCTACCGTCTCCGGGTTGGCTGTGTGGCCGTCAATATCCTCCATGTGCTCCATGTTTGGCGCATGGCAGGGACAGGAGGCAAACGATTCGTAATATTTATATAGTGCAACTGAACCAGCCTGCACCAGAAAATGGCTCGCAGAAGAAGTTCCTTTCGGCGTGCGCACGTTCGCGAAATGCCATGGCATTTTATGCCGAGAAAATACCATCACCTGGATCCATGTCTTTTCGCGTGAAGTATATCTCCGATGCTATGCACTGAACTAAATCCATCGTCTATATCTTCTTCCCTGTCATGGGGCTGCGTTTCTAGCTTTACCAATCAAATAATGCATGAAATGTCTGGCGGAAAAGGTACATTAGAAGCGCTAGACAGGGCCTGAATTACCACTAACCGCCATCATGTTTTAAATACGAAAGGGATATTGTTTCTCCAATTATAATTTTAGCAATTCATTAACTGCTTTGTGTCATTGATAAGAGCTCTGACTGAACTGTCTGTAGAGGTGAGATAGCCTCAGTCACTCTCTGTAACCATTCGCCAGCAGTCTGTTGAAAGAACTTGGTCGTTGATAGCCATTGCTTAGCTTCTCCTTCGAGATGTATGATCTTTGCCTGCTGTTCCTCACTCAGTCTCTTTAAATTCTCTATGGTTTCCTCAGCAAGCTCTCTTCTTTTCACCTCACAGGCTGCTTGTAGCTTCCATTGTACCAGCTCCTCAGATTCTAACTCTTCATTTCTAGCTAGAACAGCGTGGAATACCATATTTATTGAGCCTGTGTCAGCCTGGTCATCGTCATCTTCTGACACTTGTAGCAATTCTTCTGCAAAAATAGCCTGTAAAAGCTTTCTCTCCAAATTTTCATCCACTGCTTGGCACAATGTCTTGTACGCTCTGATTGAGTGTTTGCTAAGATGCGTTTTGAGCAGTTGCTTGATTGAGGGAGCTGCCTTCCATCTATAAGATGTATTGACATTTGGGATCAAGCGCACATCAGCCGGATCAACTCGGATCTTCAAGATCTTCCCTGTTTGATTTTGTTAACTGAATGGGACATTTATCTTTCTTTGGTTGACCTTACAGATGTGATCTGATAATGCCCTTCGGCATTTAGTCCTCCAGTAGGAACGGTTGTGGTTACGTGCCTCTGCCATGGTCAGCAGCTATACATGTGTCTCCGCATAGATGTGAAGTTGAGGGTATAAGTGGCGGCATCTGCGGTGTTAAGTATGCATGTGAGATGCGCGCCGATTCTGTCTGCGATGCATTACAGATTCGGTAGGAGAGTGTTGGACCTAGTTACACTAACACTAGGATTTTTGTGCGCCGATTTCGTTCTCAATAAAATATTCACTTGCAGCTGTTTCCAGGATCTGTTCTATCAATGCTTGCAAGCCCACTTCACGACAGTACACTCGCAGAGCAAAACGACTGGCATCACAATAGAAACAGAGTGGATTATTGAATTGTTCTTGATATTAGCTTCTTCTTGTTTTCTTAGAACATCTCTCTTCCTGTGAACCACAGGGCAAAATATAATTTTATGTATGCTGTCCGCATGTAGAAAAGATGTTTCGAAACAGACTCGCCACTTGGCTCCTACAGCGAATTAAGGCTACGACTTTATCAACTCTGCGGAAATTGGGACAGTTTAGTGATTAGGAATTGAAGAGTAGAGCCTCGATTTTCTTCTAGCTGCTGAATAGTATGGCAAGTCAAGGATGAAGGATAGCGTGAGCTTGGACCCAACCGATGCCGCATTCCTTCCAACTAAATGGTTCCGAGGGGCCAAATTAGACGCTATGCAGCCAGCTAGTAGCGCATTCGACCCATCATTTACTTCCCTAGATGTCTGTTGTATCATCTTGTCTTGGCTCAGGGTGAGGAACGGCGCTTTTTGCTCGCGGGCTGTGGCGGACCGTCGCACTGATCCCTGGGCTGGCACGATTCTTCAACCGTAGCTCTGTCAACCCCAAAGTTTTCCACAGGTCGTGCTTCATCCAGCTGAGCACGATCGTCACTGAAATCCCATGTTCTCTTCCTCGAAACGCAGTTCGAACGAGATTCCCTGAGCGTATGGACATTGTAGAAATGGCGTTTAAGACCTGTCACGCCCTTGTAATTTGTGTCACCACAGCAGGGATGAGGGCATAAAATAGCTTTCTCGAAACTCAACTTGCTCAAATGCTGATTGTCAATATGATTCAGTAGGGTGGCAGTTTTCATCCATTGTGTAAACCGTCTTTCCGGTGGCATCCTCTCGTCACCCAAACAGAATGGGCAGAATCCAGGGGCAACAAGTGTGTAGCGGAATGTAAGCCTACCACATCGGGGTTGGAGATTTTGCAAATGGGTTTTGCACTGCCGAGCCCAGTCGGCCTCGTCATTGCAGAAGAGGGTACAAAGATAACAGAATTCAAGAAATACGCGGCCGACTCATCGATGGGCCCTTTTGCCGTTCTGGTATTGCTGCTGATAAGATGCGGCATTCATCGATTTTCTCCTGCACTGCAGAATATGTTTTGCGCGGAACTGAAGGGAGACACTGCTAGAACATTAGCAGCCAGCAGAGAAAGGCATGATGTGTTAGAACCGACCTAGACATTGAACAAGAGCACACAGGACACAGTCCATCAACTGGCGATAGCCTGGGGTAATATGCAACTCTTTCTGTTGACATGCAAAGATTTACTGCATCTTGCAGACACTGCCTGCCAACCTCACTATCAAGGGAGGCCTCTTTGAAAAGGTTCTCTTTGAGTCGAGCCCTTTCAGGTATGTATTTGGAGTAGATATCAAAGAGATTCGTTGTATCCTTTTCGTTGAACTCATTTCCCGCAATGTATTCATCATAGCTAGCCGCCCACCAACTAGCAGTAAAATCTTGTCGCTTTGACCGAAGCTTTCTGGCTTTAATAGAATACAACGTAATCCGCTCCGAAGTCAAAATTGGGTATTTATCCGGCTCGCCTGCGATTTGCCGGGTCAATTCAGCAATTTTTTTGTTGATTGACACGATTTCGTCGTCATGCATGAACTCAGCAACAGCCTCAGCATCGAGGTTTAGAGGAACATTTGGATCTCGATGATGGGCCATACTTCGCTCCATGTCACGGCATTCGTAGTCCGGTTTGAGATCATAAAACAAAGCTTGCATGTCCAGAGACTTAAGTTGTGATTGGTACTTCACAAATGTTGCTGAGTTTTTATGATCAAGGCCCTGATTACGGGAAGCCGTGGATGCGTTGGCTAGGCACCATTATTAGCTCAATCCAACCAGCCACGAGACACTAGATACTAACGTACGGTCAATTTTGTTTGCCATTCCGCCTCGGATTCCGTGGACGCGTAGGGGATCTCTAAAGCCGTCTCGTTGGGCCAAACTCGTGATATGATGGCGCAGCGATGAGAAAGTCAACGCGCGGTCGTGGCTACGTCCTTCAACAGCGACCATCCGGAGAAAGGGACAGTCTCTGACATTATCATTCCACTGAAGTGTCCAGGATTCCTTTCCTTTTGGCGGGCGTTTCTCCAGCAGCTCATCGATTGTTGAGATTCCTCTGAATGCATGGTCTGCGAGTCCAATGACAGACACCCAAAAGAGAAACCCCAACCCGAGTACAGGATGAGAATTGAACCAGGTTCTGGGTCTAAGCATCGCCATGAGCTCATCGATCAACGGGCAGCGGGGGATACGAACTTACAATATCTCATCGTCTCGGTAACGATGCCCTTTCAAAAACTCAGGATCAAGGGTGACCCAGCGTATCACTTCCTCTGATCCGCTCGTCCGTTTAATATTAAAGGTAAGATGCTGCAAATATGTTAGCAACCACTTCATCCAAGCTTATGGCTAGGTCTTTTCTCATACCTTATAGTAGAGGCACTCGTTTGTATTCCGGTAGCTGCTCGATTCAACGACCGCACCAGCTCGCGCGGCTGAACCTGCAAAGAGCGAGAGAGCAGCTCCAATCTGGACCCTTGCAGACTCATGTTCATAGTCATGCTCGTCCTCGCCAAATAGGCGATGCTGGAGTAGCTTGATGTCTTGATGAGTCACATGGAATGGCTCGCGAACCACTGTGGGCAGATTGTACTTGACTTGTAGCTCGGTTCTTACATGCTATCATCTAGTCAGCGCTGCAGGAACAGAAATAAGAGGAACAGAGATACGAGAAGCAGGGAAGATAACATGCATTAAGAACGTCTTGCCTCACGGCCTTTGAGATGCTTCGGCCAGTGTGACGCTCCCACTTTGAGGTGAAGGAGATAAAGTAACCACACACAGTCTTGACGGAGGGGAGAGGCGTGCGGTATGCGATCAAGCTTTCGGCAAATAGCTTTAGGGTCCGAGGAGTGGGATCGGGCTCGTCTTTATCGAAATTCGCATGTATAGGCTCGTTGCGAGAATGCCTCCAACTGAATTGAATCAGCACAAATCATCTAGCATCATGTGTCCGAAGCGTACAGTGCCCAATCTACAGCAGCTCGCTCTTGTTTAGCTACAGTAGCAGGGGCGAGCTTTCGAAAGCAAACAACGTTGTCTTGCTCTTCTTGTTGTTGCTGATACTCAGCAGTGAATCCCCGAGATGCAGCACATTTCAACCGAATCCATTTTTAGTCACGTGATGGGTGCGGGAGGGTCCGATGGTGGGAAGAGAATTGAAGGATGAAAGAGCAAAACCTCAATTTTACGGACCGTCCGGTCTATCTTAAATAGTTCTGGAGGTAGGGCTGGCAATTCCTCCTGGCCTACCTGCAATCACACAGTGTCATTCCAATCTCACCCATGTCTTCACCCAGCACACCCATACTCACCCGCACTCACCCGCACTCACCCTCGCGTCGCGCGACCATCACTCTTGAAGCGGCAGCAACTCGGAGGCTCGACATGCGGTTGGGCACGTTGTATAGTGGCTTGAGTACGGCTGAGCGGACGGGAAGCCCTATTTTCCACTCCCTATGTTCGTATGTGATAGAAGAGGTAGCCATCTTGTCTCTTATAGTGGCAGTCTGTCAAGTTTAGTTACTATTGCCAACGAATGAAAAATTGGGGAGGGGGGGAAGGAATAGGAATAAAAGCTAGACGAATGATCTTAACAAACATGACACCGACGGTTATTTGATTTGATTGATATGATTTGATTTTTCGGCAGGAGTTGGGAGGACAGTGGGAGAGAACCGGAAAACATAACGCAGCGAATTTGGTATTCAAGGGATGGATGGGAATAGAGTTACGTACATAAACAATTTGTAAAAAATCTGCACTCAGTAACGGTTATAGAGAAGGGGGGATGGGAGCGACGAGGACGCAAAAACAAAACGACGAAATTCACACATAAACCAAAAATAACGATTGAGGGAATGAACAAGGCGAACAAGAATCGTGAGAGATGTCAAAGAAAATGGGGGGATGGAAACATCGCAAGGCGCAATGAGAACAGATATTATGGGGCGAGTGAAAATGATGTGAGGAGGCCCTGGGGGGATGGAAGACGAAAAACATGACCAAATGGTGACAAAATCCTGCTAACAGCTTTGTGGAGATAAATAACAAAGAGGAAAAGTAATGGTAAACTGGGGAATCGTAGAGATAAAAGCGCGCAACACACAGAGAGACACATATATAGCATCGGTCCCCCTCTCCTCTCTAGCTCACTCTTACTCCCACACACATGCACACATAGTGAAAGATGAACCCCAAACACAAATGCAGAACAGAAAGAGTAGAAACAACCCACCAAGACAACCTCCCCCCAGATACGTAATAAGAAGCATGAGAACCAAATTAAGTAAGCCAAAGGGGGAGAGGAAACCGCCCTTCAATGGAACAAGGGCGTGTGTCAAGCAGTAAAAAAACAGACATCAGGGAATTGCTCTTCTTCCGTTTATCCCCCCTCCCAACATTTTCCTTCTGCCTTCTATCTCCCTTTGCACTTTCCCCCATCAAATCAAGCCTTATTGGTAGTTACTGGATTGATTTTCTGGGGCTACAGCATCAGCCGTCAGTACCACACTGTGATACATAAGAAAACAAGACAATATAATATTTATAGGAAAATAAAAAACTGCAAATTTTGTTTTCCCCCATGCTCAAACCAAAACCACACACATGAGAAAAAAGAGCCTTTTTTTATGTTTTCTTTTTCTTTCTCTCTTTCATTCCACCCTCCCGTTTATTTTCAATTTTAAAATTCTTGCATTTTTGTTGTGTATCGGGGTAAAACTTGAAGAACTTGACGGAAAAGATTCAAGAGGTGAGAGAGACAAAGACAGGGACGTGCGAACTATCACTCACGCGGTTGGTATACCTGGTTTCCCTGGCCATATGGGGAATGAGGATAGTTGGCCGGAGGATATGGTGCCGCCATCTGGCCATTGCTTGGGGGATATACGAGGCCAGCTCCAGTTGAAGCACCGTACTGGGTAGGAACCTGACCGTCCGCAGACTGATATCCAATAGGCGGTAGCTGAGGACGAACACTGGTAGGATACGATGCTGGTTGCGCCGCTTGCGAAGGGTCGGTAGGTGCGTTGCCATCGACCTGCTGGCTTGCCTGGGCGGCAGCACGTTCTCGTTCCTCAGCAGCCTTGCGTTGGTTCTCTTCCTCCTTCTTGCGGGCCTTCCACTCCTTGCGGATTTCTTTGAATTCTAAATTTAATTTTGCAAGACGAACCCCAGAAGCGCGGGGTCGGGTGATGATGATGTTAGCCAAGTTACAGATAAGCTCCAACGAACCAACCAGACGGGACATATATAAGGTGGATGACTTTGGGGAGTTTGGGATGGTGGGTAGCGGCGTCTTGGCGTCGGGTATGGTTTTAGCTAACAGCGCGCCGTTGCACGCTACTGCGAAGGTCTCCACGTGTGGTTTCCAGCACCAGTGCAGTGTAACGCGACTAGTTTAACGCACGAGTAAAGCTAACCACTTCAAGCATTTTGCGACCAAGACAAAACAACAAGCGAGCGGAAAACATATGATCGCGTAACGAGAACAAAATAAGAAACGCGTTCTCCGAAAAGGTAGGAACAACTAACCTTCTGGCGTTCTTTTCGCGCCATGCGATTGCATTGTGACATGTGCATTAAGGTGGTTCAACGTGCCATATGCTTTTTCGCATCCGTTCCAGCCGCATTTGTACATTCGTTCGATTTCTTCATATCGGCGGCGGGGGCGCTTGTGCTGCTGGGCACCGGGGATGGGAACGAAGGAGTATACCTGGGAAAGAGAATGAGTCTGTGTAGATAATAATCAGATGATTTGTTTTGATTTTGGCCATTTATTGAAGGTGGTTCGAACGATCCGGCAAAATATGGTCAAAACATTCCAGTGAATTTTCTCCCTCACGCAAATTAAGGGGGGTTGGTTTGCCAAAACTTGATAAAAACGTACCTGTCCTGGACGAGGGCCTGCGGTCGCAGCTGGAGACGCAGAACCCACCGTTGTTCCAGGGGAGCTATATGGCCCTGGCAAGCCATGTGGAGGCTGCCCATACTGATGTGGAGGCCAATCTGGGCGGCCATACATCTGTGGAGGGGGATGACCCTGATATTGAGCCATTTCGTGGCCCTGGGGGTTATATGGGGAGTACGGAGGAGGATACGTGGGGCTCGATGCCGCAATTGAGGGATCTATAGGAACGGCGGTGTCAGATTTATTACTCGATGGAGCGCGATGGTCACTCTGTTGTCCATCTTGTAGGGGCATAGACGGACTTGTTGCTTGAGCCATACCTGCCGCGCCGCCGGGCTGCGTGTGAGGCACGTGATGGTACTGTGGCTGACGGGTCAAGTATTCGGGATAGGGTCCGGGAGGGGGACGAGCAGCGGACGGCGGAGGGGGTTGAGGTTGAGTCTGCGGTTGTTGGGGTTGGGTAGGCGTGGGCACCGCCGGGTTCAGACCGTAGTTCGGCTGGGGAGTATTGGAGGACGAAATGTTGGATGGTCGGCTGTCCGTTGATGCAGTGTATTGGGTAGCCGGGCGGGCTTCGGGCTGCGAAGTATACTGACCGGACGCAGCAGCAGCAGTCTGTTCTGCAGCCGGTCGTTCAGATTGTGGCTCCGCCAATGTTGGATTCGGAGAATGCAAACCTGGCTGCGCGTAATCAGAGGCCGGCCTGTCCATATAATGACTTTTCTTGCGTCTGAAAATGGCAAAGATCCCTCCTATTTCCCCCTACAAAAAAACTGATACTAGTCTCTCTTGCGACTAGCCAGCGAAACACGATATGCGCACTTTTGGGGAAACTGATTCGCTTGGCGCAACTGGAAGGGAAAAAAGGTTTCCTCACAGGAACAGTAATGAACTTCTGTACGTTACGTGCTAGTGAGAGCCAGTGAGGCGTGTCTGGTCACGAAACAACCCGCGTTATCAGAGAGGGGGGGGGTTGGGAGGAATAGCAAGGAACAAGTTGATGGAAGCGCGTCAGGGAGCGACGATGTTTGCTTCCTGGAGGTGTCAAAAACCCGCCAAATACAAGGCGAACAAGCGGAAGATAGTCCTGTCCTGTTGGCGTTGGAGACTGCGTGGCCTTAGTCGTGAACTCGATCAACCACTAAGAAAAAACCGGGGAAGGAACTAGAAATAAAATAGAATGATGACGGGACGATTGAATGATGGGGTGAAGGTTTGCAAGTGCGTTTGGGAATGTGCTATGGTTCTCTCTTGGTAAGTGTTGGTCTTGTGCGAGGGTTGAAATCGCCTTAGCCGGGGCCTTAGGGATTTCAAGCTGAGCAGGCTCTAACCTTGACACCACACACGAGGTCGGAAGAGAGCGACAGGCTTCGTCAAACCCAGAAAGATGATGGTGTGAGGCACAGTAGTAATAAGCAAAAATAAAAAGCCCCTAAATAAAGTACCAGGTGGCAGCAACCGCAGTTCAGTAGTAGGGATTCCGGGAGTAAATAAGCGTGGTATCGTCTGGTAGAATCGCGGGGGCGGTGGGAAACTACTACGAGGCCGCTGGCTTGTGACGGGACAAGGAATGTCGGTAGTGGCAGTGACCTAGGGACGGACTGGTATTACAGTGGTTCGGTGGTGATGGGTAAGTAAGTGTGGTGGTCAAGGTGGGTTGGTGACTGGAGAGATGTGGATGGGGGCTAGCCTGGCCAGAAAGCTGAGTTGTTCCAGCTTGACGGGAGTTAAGGAGCAAAGGGAGTAGTAGCAGGTTGTCGTCTGAAGTAGTGCTGAGACGAAGGTTCGATCGTGGCAAAGCGCTTGGTTTTGATCTCGGTCCAAGACTCGGCCATAAAGCGAGCGTCCCTGGAAAAAACGAGCCAGGCAGGAGGGAGCAAGCAATGTGACCTTGGGGCCTGCCTCTGCGATGGAAAACCCGACAAGTTGGGCGGAGTCAAGGTGGGAAAATTTCCGGTGGATCAAGCAAAGTGTAAAAAAAAAGGAACAAAAAAAAAACAAGCAAAAAGTTGATCTCAAAGTGGGTAAGCAATTATCAACCCCCAATTGGGCGGTATGATGATTACCGGACAATCGTGTTTTTTTTTTCTTTTTTCTTTTTATTCCTCCTTGTTTTTCTTTTTTTTTTTGTCGCTCAATGATAGGGTGCAGTGGAGAGGTCAGTGGAGCTCGTTAATATTTTAGTATCTTTACTCTCCCGCCCAGTGGAGCCTGGCTGGAGGACCGACAATTGCGACACAGATGTACTTTTCGGATTATTAATCCCGCTGGCCAGCTTTTGGTACGTATGCGGTGGTTGCCGTCCTGTGCTTTTCCTGCGATCTCTTCGTGTACGCCTCCACCTGCCCAATTCACTGGTTCCCTAGCAATAAACCTCCTTCGACACTCTGGAATCGCGTTTACTTGGACAGGAGAGGATACACGTTCGGTTGTCGCCACTCCTTGGTATTTTTCCTTCTCTTCTCTTCCTTGTGATTTCCTCGAATTCGCAACCCTGGCCGTCTTAACCTGCCTGCGATACTCCCAGGGGTCTGATAGGCCGAAGATGGGAACGAGGGGGGCGTTAATTGGAGCCAAGAGGATGATGTGGGGGGGCTTGCGGTGGTCCTGCTGCTTGTTGTTGTCAGGTGTCGGCACAAAAGGAATTATAACAGAACAGGGGTCTTCTTGGGGGGCTTTGCCGCCACCGATATCCAGAGTAGGAAGATAAAATGGTACAAAAAGGACACCCAAAAGTTTAAAATCAGAGGAAATCGATAACAATCCCAAATTCCAAGCAGCACGGTAAAATTCAAAGGGGGGGGACCCACTCTCTGCCCAAAAAAGCTGACCAGACGGATCTTGCCAAAATGTCACGCCAACCAGGCCACAGCCTAGGGTAAACTCAATAAGCCAATGACGAAATTGGCACAATTCCCGCGGTGGATAGGGCTTACTCTGATGATTACTGATGACTCTCATGAGAGAGCAAAGTATGGAAAGCTTTTGTCTTTTTCCCCTTCCTCTCGATAGCTTTTTTCGATTTCTCCGAGATGCTGGTGACTTTTTTCTTCCCTTCCTACCCTAGTTTCGAAAACACCACGCGAATTGGGAGAGCGCGAGAGACTAAGGCAGAAAACGACGGAAGTCAGTCTGATTGTATCTCCGGAGTACAGAGCAACAGCATCATGTTCAGCCCTCGGCCATCTGCGTGGTCTGACGAGTACCTTCGGGCCGGGAGGCCTGTGGGCGATGAGGGGTTGGATCAGGGGGTCAAGAGAAGCGCAAAAATACTTACAGCAAGCGTGGAACTAACTGCAATAGTCGCAGCGTTGTTTTTGGGGCCTGAGTTGGACTCGTGGCAATGCACCAGGGGCAGAAGGTTAGCGACAATAATGGGCTGAAAAGATGGAGCAAGTTTGCCAACTAGGATGAGAGAGGAATGGTGTGGAGGACTAGGGCGGCGACTAAGGAGGCTGGTGTTTAGTCAGGGCTGACTCAGCAAACAGAGTCTGTGAGTCAGATTCATGTCATACTGGGAGGAAGATGGAACAAGTCGCTGGCAGGTGGGATTCGAGGATGACTGAATTATTTCGGATTTCAGTTGGTTTGCCTTTGGTCCTTCAGTCTACGGGCTGTATGCTATTTTTGTCAATTTTATTCCTGCGTATGGAATATCCCCTCGTCTGGCCACTAGGATACAATTAGCGCAATACTATTAGTGTAACAACTAAGCTGTTAGCTCTGAAGTACCAACCAATAATTTCTCATACTAAATTCTATGTAATTTGATTTGTTGATACCTCTTCACTATCTCACATTTTCTGCTCTACACATTCTGCAATCTTGAAACCTTCTCATATCCACTGCAGATGCAATCACTATCCACTCTGAAATAGAAATATAACTTTTACAGATAATTCCCAATTTTTCAATGCTTCTTTTAATTGATTGACTGGTTTTTTTTATTAACTAGTATAAAAACAGATGTAAAGTGAAAGTGATTTATCAGTGAATTCTTAGACAGATTATCTATATGGGAGTACATAAATCTCCAGCAATTGGAGATTATTTGAATAGAAATGATGTTTAAAAACCAGTTCATCCATTAAAATTTCATATAAAATAAAAACAATTGGAGCAGTTCAGAAGATATATTCATATATTCAATTCTCACAAATCAGAATTCTCCTTCTCTTTTATACAAAAGCTAGAGTTTTTATACTCCAACTTTCATACAGAATGTCAGAAACACTACAACTCAGATTCAAATCTCTTTATTAATGAGATGATGATTTGATTCTTTGAGCAGTTTAAATACACAGTTAAAATGCCTCAAAAATCAATCAAGCAGAGATATAAGATTTTTAAACTAGAAGAACAAGACTATCTTTGAATCTTTTCCATGTCTCATAATAATCTCCATATAAGTACAATGTTCTGTACTTCAGAATTAATCAAAACTGGATCTCTTGTAATGAAATTGATTGAACAGCTACCAGTATCCTTGCAGAGCACTGAGCAGTATCTGAAGAGATAGCTGACTATTTAATTTATATGAACAACTACTTCACCTCTGTTGCTCTATTTCATTATCTTTGAAAACATGAAATTGAAGTATGTGAAATCATCTATTCTGCTAATCTGCCTCCTCTTCTACAAAAGCTGAAAAACTTTGAATTATTTGCTCATATTCTCTACAATATTCTATATATTATCCTTCAAAATGAAGTTCTCTGTCTTAGATGGAAAGATAATAATAAAGTATTACTACTGTCTACAATTCATCTGCTAGACAGCTTTGTTGAATGTGTCAGGAAACACTCAGAATTGACCTTTACTAATGAATCTCAAATTTGAAGAATATTTGAAAATAATTGACAAAAAACAGTAGAGATTTCTACTATTATTAATGATTACAATCATAATATAAATGGAATTGATCTAGCAAATTAGTATAGAGCTTTCTATGAGACTCATACGCCCATTAATCACACGTGGTTGTTAATTCTATACTGAATTATCGATCATGCTATTGTTAATGCTTATATTCTTCATCGACTGACTACTACTGACAGTACTGGCACTACTGACACTATTATATCTCATGTTGAATTCCGTCGGCAGCTCTATCTTCAACTTTTTGAATTCTCAAATTCTTTATCTACTACTTGATTAAATCTGAATCTAAATCATTAGTGAATTTCCCCTGCCATCTTCTCAAACTTGTGCCTGGTGTGAGTATAAAAGAAAGAGAGAAGAAGGGAATAAAGAAAGAACTTCAAGATCAAGATATAATTGTACAGTATATAGCAATGTTGCTCTCTACTTGAAAAGAGGATGTTGAAAGAAGTTCCATTCTAACTAAGAGTCTGTTCAGTGATTTTGTCCGTACAGTGCCAGGGCCGTACAAAAAGTGGATATTTGCTTTTTAACAGTGTAAACCTTCATTATTGCTGCCTTTTCTTATATGAATATTAATCTGCTTAGTGTTTTAGCATTACTTTTATTACTTCCGAGCGGTTTTTATCATGATGATTATCATGCGATTCCAGCGGACGTGTTGCAGTTGAAACTCCTGTTATATTACTACTTTCTCACATCAAATATCAGTGAAAAATGGAGCTCACTCTCTGTATTGTAATATACAAGAATATGAGAACCTTCTGCTCAATCTTTCTGACATGTATTGCTTTGGATTCATGAATATCAGTATTACTTCTCAGTCAATC